ATCTTAAGTTTTAATATGACGTTTCCTCAGTGCGCATGTTCCTGTTTCCACGAAATCAAGCCCTTTTTAAGTTTATGCATTTTAATACTGTTTCTGTTGCAATTTGATCGTGGGGTGGGAATGAGGGGTTGGGCTGGGGTTGATTTGGGTATTCTTTTAATCTTGGGTTGGGGTAAATTTGGGTATTATTTGTTTCTTTTATTCCTTTTACTGTGCTACATGTTGTGTATGAAAAGTGTTATATAAATAAAGACTGATTGATTGATCGATTGTGGCGAGGTCTACAGCCGCTGAACATGGTATGCTGAGTTTTTATTGGTCTATCTTGAATACCCTTTTAATACCTGGTCACATGCCAAACCTGTTGCAAACTAAGATGATTAGTTCTTTTTTTTTTTTTTTTTAATGATCACACAGTTTTGCTAGTGTTTTAAATGTAGAATAAGGACAGGTTTTTCAAAAAGAACTTAAAATTTTTCAGTATTAACATCTAATTTTTTTGTAAATGATTAACAAACTATCAAATTCTGTGCCAACATTTAATACACAACCTCAACTACTGCTGTTTGTCAAGCTGCGGTTAATATTTGAATAGTTGCGAGTTCAACTTTACTTTTAATTCAATATATTATTTTTTCTTATCTTGGTATCTTACTCATTTTGATCTTTGCCGCAGAACTGTGCTCATTGTGAACATTATGAATAATACACATATTCCCTCTTTCCTAAATTTATTCAGACTCCTTTGCCGGAATAAAGGTTTGCCAAGCTCATGTTTTGCTTAACCACAAAGTGATCTAAATAATAACCTTTAAACTACTAAAGACTATGAAATATGTTAGAAATCAGAAATTACATGGCCTGTATCTATGCATGTTGTGATGCAGCACGACCCCCTGCAGGTCATCTCAGTGCAAAAATCTGCATGGCCTGCAGATGTGTGAATTCACAGCAACACAAAGGCGTCTCAGTTCCTCCGTCAGCTTTTGGGTCAGTAATAAAAAAAAAATCTCCTGCTCTCAGCCGAATGCTGATCTGCAGTCAAGAGTAAACTGACACAGATCCAGCAGACTGACTGAAATACATCTTTAACTCGACGTCACCTGATATGACAGATCTACTGCAGTGTCTCTCACGCCCCCTAACGGCTGTTTGCGACACTAACACACACATGCACAGACACACACAGCTGTGTTTGGTCTGACTCTCTGAGCTGCTGTTGTCCAGAGTGGATCTTTGTCTCTCAGCAACCTGAGGCCCATCAGAGGGGTTGGTTTCAGCCTGACCAGCAGTAACACTGAATCCTCAAAGACTCCCGTGATGTAAAAGCGGTCCATAGCAGAGGGAACTATTTCAGATCTGCTCATTTTATCAAAGACTGTGTGGGTGCTCCAGTCACTACCAGACCAAGACAGGATGGGGCTGTTTATCTACAACCTCTGACCTCCACCTACAAACTCCACGTACACTCTCTCCCCCTCCTTCACTCGTCATCAGCCTGCACTCCTTCAGTCAGTCTATAAACTGTCCGGCTGATAAGGTGCTGCTGTCCTCGAACTGTACATGACAAAATACTACTCTGCAGAACACTTGTCTTAAGTCCAACAGTTTGAAAATGTATACCATGAATGCAAAATGTGCAACTTTTTAATGCTAACACATCCAAAATTAAAAAAAGTTTGATATGACTTTAACCACCAGAAGAACTAGTAAACCTTCCAGGCTCAGTGAGTTTATTTTAGGTTCAGCATGAGGTAAAGCACACATATTAAACCCTTCAGGCAACATTGTCATCATTTTTCTCCTAAATGCTTAGGTTTTGATGATGCTGTTTTACATCAGCCTCTTTAATGCACCAGACCAATCCACTCCAAACACTGCCATCCTCTGGCCAGCTGTTGAGTGTCTCCATATTTTCTTCACATTCAAGACAGCAAATAGAAGATCACGCACAGTTCGGGAATATCCTGCACATCTTAAACTCTAGAGGGGATTTTTAACAACGTCATGCAACAGTTAAAGGTTTGCATGAACAGATTTTTGAGTTAAAGTTCATATTCATATGGAGACCTCCCTGTCCCTGAAAAAACATAACCTTGACCAACCATTTTCACCACCTAACTGTCTAATTCCAGGTTAAAATACTCCTTCGCTCACCCCAACTGTAGGTTTGAGCGATGGTGGCCCTCCAGGACAAAAAGTAATATAATGCAAAATAATAAAACCCTTCATCTGTCAAGTTTTTACCCTAAAAAAATCTATTGATACAAATTCTTTTACACACAATAATTGTGCTCTTCTTCCAGCTGGTTCATTTCCCTTGGTCACTCACCAAATACAAAAATATGTTTCTTAGTTTTTTGTCTTCTGTTAAATGGCTGAACCTTGTTATTCTAAATTTGACCTCGCTGTCAGCTGCGTCAGAGTACTGCACAATAACTGTCTTTCCCAGAAAATAATCAGGAAGATCTCAACGTGTCAAGTATTTTTTTCATGCACCTGTGACCACAAAAAGTTCCCCTCAGTCCATTCTGGTAAAGAGGGGCCTTTGTCTGTTCATACTCACCTCTGCAGAGGGAATGGCCTTGTTTGCTGAAGCCAACTTCTGTATAATTCAATTTTCTGAAGTTAAGCTGAGAAATATCTGTCCATGTGGTTCAAAAAGGAACCAGCAGCTTGGTCCTCATTGGTCTTAAATTGTCTTGCTCAATAGATCAACAGTACACAGTGAACTCATTTGAACTGCAGTGTTCATCACTCCCTGGTGACTGGCTGCTAGGTGGAACACTTTGCTAAGATATGTCTCACTATATGAGCCTTTTCATTAACCTGCATCGATACAGACAGCTCTTTGTTCTGAAACAGAGACTGGACTGTAAAATGTGATGTTGGAGCCAGAGTGTTACCGAGTCATCCCTGAGTCACTGGTGTTCAATAATCTCCTCGGTCCAAGCGAAGTCATGTTCCCAGCCAGTAAACACTGGTTTAAATCTGCACTGATCAATTTGTTTCTATGAGTAATGAAAAAAAGCATTGTGTTTGATGTGATAGAGGCCTTTTGTAGAGATGGACCACCAGAAAAAGGTCACCTGACTCAACAGATCCCCTCAGCTCTGTTGAGCGCTTTGACTTCTTTGAGCCCATTGTTTCAGTTTTGCAAGATTTAACACTCCCATTCTGGATTTGAGCTCAAGGCCTCCATAAAACCTGACCCCCTTCATGGCAGGTTAGCCCCAATCATTCCTCTGTAGTCCGATGAACAAGCGTGAACATGTATGTAAAGACTGTACCACTGCCAGCCACCAGGGGGAGCTGAAGATGTTTTTGCTTGCAAGTTTAAAGATACGTGGATTACACCTTTAAATGCCTCAGATATTGTGCAGTTTTATTTGTAATTAATATGTTTTATTGAGTTTGACATCATAAACGGTCTTATTATTGGTTGTATTTAAATGATACAAAATAAAATATAAAATGATAACTTTATAGACTATATGTAATTGGTTGGAAATCTGAATTATAAACTCTACTTCCCGATTTTGAACATATCCCAGATATTTTGTGTAGATTACATATTTCATCACCTCTGGTCTATTGGGAATTTTATTAATTTCTTAAAACAGAAAACAGTAAACATTTGGAGCAGCTAGCAGCTCAACAGATTTTTTTTATGCAACAAGGGCAATAAATTATAGATAAAAACTCTTATTTAATGTGAGTGATGCTCTGTGCTTTCTGAATTTGTAAAGCTGTTTTCTAACCTAATTTCATTCCACTTATTTTGGTCAGTCAAATAGGCTGTAAGCTGCATCGGTCAGTCAGTCAGAATGATCAGCAGAAGCTAAAGATGAGTCAGCAAAAATATGTATCAAATTGAAGTTTCAAGCACCATAGCAGTCTGGGCTTATAGGGGCCTGTAGCAGCCTGTCCAAGCTTGAGCCAAGCTTTGTCAACAAGAGGAGTTTGAATCCTTCTCTCAAGAGCACGAAGGACATAAATTTATGGAGAACAAATATTGTCAGATGAGGGACTAATACTTAAATCTGTGCCTCCTATAACACTTGTGGAGACATACATTTAAGATAGACAAATGCAGATGGAAAAGAAAAAGAAGGGATCAGGAGTTTTCGTATCAAATTATACAGCAGTCTGAGCCTATAGGGGCCTATAGCAGCTGTTTGAAGTCTGAGCCAGCTCTGACTGTAAGCTTTGTCGACTAGAAAATATTTTATTTTTCTCTAAAAACCATTATGGACCTTAATTTATGGGGAATAAATAATACCCGATAGTTCCCAAGGAGAGGGGATGATGCTTAAAAACTTTACCTCCCATACTACAAATAGAGACATATCATTTGGGAGACGTGAACGCAGATGGAAAAAGAGACAGTGAATCAGGAGTATGGGGTATCTAGTACCATGGCAGTCTGAGACTATAGCAGCCTGGAGCAGCTGGTCTAAGCCTGAGCCAAGCTCTAACAATAAGTTTTGTCAGGTAGGGGAGTTTCTGCCCTACTCTCAAAAGTACAGACGAGACCAAAATTTCACCAGGGACAAATATGATGGGTGATCTCAGAGGGAAAGGCATGATTGATGAAAGCCCTTCTTCCCATACTACCTTTGGAGATAATTTAAACATGCATTCTCTGCAAGCACAAAGTATAAGGAGGGTTACATGGTGTTAAGAGCTCTTTCAGATGTGATAACGCATTAAGGCATAAGGCTTTGTGGATGAGTTTTATATGATTATAGAGCACCTTCTATACCGGTGTTCCACAGTGCTTGATGGGAATAAAACAAAGCAAACATAGACTCAGGCAAACGAAACATTCACAAACAATCATGTGATGAGTTAGATAGAAACCTGTAAAATCACAATACTAGGGTCTTTTTTCGTGGTCTTCCCAGGACATATGCAGCTACATTTTGGATCCACTATCATCTATTTACATTCCTCATTGAGAAAGGCTGCATTCACAGGCAATAAAAGAGAGGAAAGAGTTAGATTTTCAACAAGTTTATTTCAGTATAAGTGGTTTTTAAAACACCTCACACTGTTTCTCCAAACATCTCCATTTTCCTGAAACCTCTGAGATAAGCAAGCAAGACATTAACATCTTCAAACATGGTCAACATGATTAAACTCTGTGCCCAACAACATTTTCAAAGCAAACTATTTGACATTAAGAGTCAACAATTAAGACAAGTGGGGAGCAAAACGGTCACATATGAACCAATAATTATACTTTGTACATGTGTAAAACCTGACTTAAAGAGACTCAGCGACTGGCTTGCAGCAGCCGATGTAAAAAGGTGCAGTGATCTGACAAACTCAATCAAATGCCCTAAAAGTAAGCTCTTTTTCAGCCTCCTGAGCGTTGTGTACAGGCTGAGTGTGGTGGTGTGTTCGTTTACACGTGTGTGCACCTGTGTTCTATATTACAAAAAGCCGGGACTTCCACTCCCCTCCAGTCAAAAAAAATTGGACAGCAACAGTTTTATAACCTTCAAGGAATTTACCTTACCTGTTAAAACAAAACGTGGGTGATAGTTACAGATCCAGCTTTTGGTTTTACAGAAATTCACTCGATTCTTTGTTATTCATGATTATAAATCACGATTTTGGGCTGTTGGTTTGAAAAAAAAAAAGTTGGGGCCCATATAAATTGTCATCAAAATTTTACACATTCTCGTTTTTCATTCTACATGATTAATCAATTGATTTTTATAATAATTGGCACATTTATCAACAGTGAAAATAATCCTACTTGCAGCCCTACAAACAGTTCATCACATAAGAACCTAATGTAGTTTAATAAGGCATTATGTGGCAAAACAGAAATTCAGAAACTCCAGAAAAAAACAGCATCAATGCCAGAAAATCTGTTTTTAAGGCCAAGAAAAACGAACAAAAAACGTCATGAGAAGAGTAAAGAGCTGCAGGGAGTTACAACCAAAGTCTGAAGGAAACTTTGAAGGTTTTTAAAGACTTTGATATATGAGGGTGACAAAAAAGGGCTGAAGCAGAGAGTGTGCATGAATTTCACAGGTGGTGATGGTAGCATCATGAGCTGGGACAGTACCTTAAAAATGACAGATATAAAATACATTCATGGAGACATTTTTACAAACGAAACAAAGAACAATAGAGAGCAGGACACCATCAGTTCAAATGGCTCAAGCCGAGAGGCAAACACAAACGTCAGTAAATGGACTACAGCCGTGTGACATGAGCAGGGGGAGCAAAAAAATCACAGTCCTCCAAATGTTTCTGTGCCGATATGTTCATGGATGTGCAACAGTACCAGTCTATGTACTCAGTGGCATCACCTTTACAGGCTCTGATCACTATCCTGACACTGGGACCGGACAGGGACAGAACTTTTTTTTTAATAAGAATCCAAATAAAGCAATGACAAAACAATTATGCTGGGCTATAAACCCTTACATGAGTGGTGTCTGGCAGAGCATGAAACTCATATTATGAAAAATAGACCTAATCTTCCCAGAAACAGCATCTTGTGTACTTATATCTGTATGGACCAAATTCTGACAACTTTTTTATTAAATTAGAAATGTTTACATCGAGATTAAAGTTTTCATTGAGTGTTCCAGTTAAAATTCATAAAAGCAGGTAAACTGTTTCTGGACAGACTTTTTGTGGTTGAATTCTCACACTTTTACCAAACACCACGACAGGCCCGTCAAATCCTGTTTTGAGCAATTTTGTCTGAAGCAACTCAGAAGTTTTAAACGGTGGTCTGACTTCTGAAAAATAACCTGCATCTGGCATTTACTACGTCAGCTGATCCAGTACCTCTATCAAGATTTATTCAGCAGTCCATGGACGGTGCTGCCTAAGCCATGGGGGTGATGGTGCTGCTGCGCGGGTGTCTGCTCCGACACAGTTCCCTGAGAACCCACTTTCTTTATGACTACAGCTATGGCAAAAAGCTGGGGACAAAACATGTGGTCCTGAACAATTAAAAAAAAAAAAGAAAAACACAGAGTAATGTGGTGCAGCATAACAAGGAGAGGACATATTAAAAGCCAATATTTACAAATATTTCAGATGGGGTTTTTCACCCTCAAAGCCATGAATTTTTTCATGGTACATGTGTTGCCTTTACAGGCAGACAAACAACAGTGTGCTGGTGGTGAGAAAACAAAGGTGTTTCAATGAGGACACTGCATGGTGCCACTGGTCGACCCAGTCACTGAGCTGTTTGGTTGCGCTGAGTGGAAAAGACTTTGTAGATTTACAGGTAACAACCGTTTCTAAACTGGTGATCATTCAAACAGACAAACAACTGAAAGTGTGTGAATGGTACACAAAATGATCCACTGCTAAAGGGGAAATCTGGGATTTTCAAACTCAGTTCCTGTTTTGTATGACAGTTTGAAATGCTCCAGCAGCTGCAAAGCAAACCTTAAAGGGTTATTTTGTGTTTTTTGAAGGGGTTTGTATGAGGTGAGCATTAAAAATGGGTGTATTATCCACAGAGGGGTGCCGGTCAGCTCACAGCTTGTACCAAATCACTTATTCTTAAGAAAGTTCATGATGTTATGTGAAGAGCCTCGCATTTATTTCAGTGTAGGTGTAACCAACGTTTAAAACTTTTCAGAGCTTTGTTTTTGCTCTTGTTGGATGCAGCTCAAAAAAGCTAAACAGAATTTCTTATGGGTCATGGACTTACTGTTGATGAGCACTTCATACAATCCCACTTGAAAAAAACCCCAAACTATTCCTTTCATTGCTGCACAATGCCAGACAAAAGTTCTGAAAGGCTCAAATTGTTGAGTGTCTGACAAAATTACACAAAGGATCTTTACAGAAATAAAGTTTTTGTTCAGAAAAAACGTTATTTCAAGGCTCACTTCAAAGCCACCAAACCCCATTGACAAAAACACTCATTTTACCAGAAATAAAATGTTTACTACTAGCACAGTTTTGTGGGGGAAAGGTTTGAAAACTTGTGCTCTGCTGATTTAAAGCCAGCTCTCTAAAATCTCCATGTCATACAACAAATCAAATAACAAACACATTACAGATGGCTTCAAACCAGCATCTCCTGTGCATTGTGAGGTAAAATCATTGTTTTTATGAAAGGAGTCTGGTGAAGCACTGCACAGTGGGATTTTACAGCTGTTCTTTTATCAATAAAAGCAACTTACCCCTTCGCAAAAAAGCCTAATCTGTATAAAAATCCTTTTTGTAATGTTGTCAAAGGGTTTCATGAACAGTTTGATCAGATCAGTGCCAACATTTGTGCATTTGTTTGACATTTTCAGACCTCTAACAGCTGGCACAGCATGTTTCATGGATGCAAAGCTTTAAGAATCTAATTGAGCAAATCACAATTTTAAGTCATCAAGACACCGAAATATTTCCAAAAACAGGCCAAGATTGAAAAATAACAGATTCCCCCTTTAAATAATCAATCTGCTTCTTACTGGACACCAATGTTACATATACTGCTTAAGTACACACTGTACTATAACCAAAATATGTAATGACTTCTCCAATAGTTTTACTTTTGTACATATAGTATACAGCATTTGTCTATGTCTATTTTTTCAAAGTGTGTGTGTTTTTTGCTTTCTATATTACAGTCTCTGGATGCTTATTTTGGCTTTAAGCAATGAACTGCTCCTATGGATAGTGAGTTTGCATTATAAATAGGGTCTCTCCTTCCCTGGGCAAGCTCCACAAACTCAAATCCTTCACAGTTTCTTCAGTGTCCACCTGTTCCTCACAGTCCTCATTTGACCCCATATATATATACTTTTTTTACATTATAAAAAATAAGTTATTGCGCATCCAAAAAAGTGCATTGTATATTTGAAAAATATCTCTTTCTCTGTTTATACTTTTCCGTTTTTCTTCATGTCTCCTGCTAATCGGGATGTTTTCCTATCAACGGGTTTAGAACAGCGGCAGAGTTTTTCATCTTTACTCCATCGTACCGCTTCGCCGCAGATGAGAGCGAAAGGGGAGGAGGAAGAGAGGGGGGAGAAAGGGAGAGAGAAAAAGGTATAGGGGTAATGTCGTGCTACGCGATGACCATGGGGACGTCATCTGAGAAGCCGCTGATCATGGGGGCGTCTTCATCATCGTCACCTGGAGAGGATGAGAGAAAAGTGGTGAGTAAAAGAAAATGTCTGCAGCCTACATCATTCACAGAGGTAACACTAACTTAGCGGTTCTCTTCAGGGTTTTGGAGTGATTTTCTTCTTCAGTTTTTGTGTCCCTGAGCTCCATCATGCTGTAGGTTCCTCTGGATCGCTGCTGTTCTGCTACCGTGGACCTGCCTGCATTCCAGCTGCTTCAACAACATGCCTTAACCTCTCCTCCATCCATCTCTCTCTTTTTCTCCATCTCCCTCTCTCTCCTCTCTAAACCCAGTTCAGTCTCAGCAGATATCTAACATGAGTCTGGTCCTGCCTGAAGTTTCTGCCTGTTAAAGGAAGTTCTCCCTCTTCACTGTGACTTAATAAATGCTGTATAAATAAATAAGTACTGAACTCATGTGGTTGAAGATGATATGGGAGGGGGTCTGGTCTTACAGGATGGGACTCAATCTTATCCCATCTTTATATTGGACCTTTGAAAATAGATTATGATCCAGACCAGCTTTTTTTGTTTGGAGTCTTGGGATAACACTTGTTACTGAAATGGGGCTATAGAAGTAAAGATTGATTGACTGATTGAAGAACTTAACTTCTCATTTCCAGGATAAAAAACCAAGCAGCCTTTACTTTCTTTACTCCTGATTTGTAGAAGAAGCTTCCTAAACACATGTGGTTGTATTCACAGAGATGCACCTGATGGGGAAAATCTAAGAAATTCTTATAAACATGACTATTTGTTTAGAAATTCCCTAAAAGTTGGGACTAGATCTTTGAAAAAAGATAAGCTTAGTACAAAGTCTTTTAGCCTTGACAAGAGCTTCAAAGAGAAGTGATGAAAGCTCTTAAGAGGCTCTAAAGGTCTCAGTGTTGTAATGGTGAAATGAAAAGAAGCATTTTCACTCTGATGTTTGATATGGATTCAGGAATTTAGAAACTCAATTATTGAAGTTTCACAAGATTTTCTTTCTTTTTCCTAGTTGAATTCTGCATCGAAAACTTAAACCCTTTATGAGCCACCTGACAATGATCCCCATCAGACTTCCCTTACTCGTGTGAGAACCTGAACACCGGGGCAGCCAGCAGAAACACACACATCAACAGAAAGGTCTGAGAAATCTCACCCAGTTCATCCCCGGAGGAGAAGATGGCCGAGCCCAGGCGGGAGTTGTAATGGGAATTTGCGAAGGCGGTGAAATTGTTCTGCAGCCTGCGGTGTCGGAGGTAGAGCGCCACCAAGCCGCCGCACATGCCCAGTAGGAGGAGGAAGAGGACCGGGACCACCACTGCCGCCATGTCCCCTGAATGGCCTTCAGCGCGGGAGCCATCACTGGCACCTGGAAAGGTCAGAAGGTCTTTAAAGCTAATTCATCAGAACAAAGAAGATGTTCACAGTACTCTAATGGGGCGCTCACACCAAGCACGGGTAAAATCATCTACTCAAATAATTCGCGCTAATCTAGACGTGTGAATGAATAGTATTTACTTGCTTCATTCGCACTCAACAGTAATTTCAACAGTAATCCCTGTTAATTCAACCAGTGGGATCAAGTGAATGACAAAGGTTTTTTACAATTTACCAGGTAATCCGACCTCCTCACTCACTTGCATCCAGGCGAGCTCCTTTTTATTCTGTAATTTATTATTTCAGCAATTGAAAGAAAGGGTATCATAAAATTCAGGGCACCCACACACCGACACGATCAATTTGTCCTCCATTTTAGATACCAGTGAACAACCGTACGTTTTCATATGTAACCTAGCAACCTTCATGCTGATAAGTTATCACGACGCGAATATTCGCTCAGGTTGAGACATTTTCAACTCCCGCCCAATACATGTCATTCGCACTGCCAGAGTAGTAGGAGCGTCTAATCGCATCTTTGCATTGACTTAACATGAAATTCATTTGCGCGTGTGATTTTACTTATGTTTGGTATGTGGAGACAGTCAGTTGCAGCTTCATTTTCAATCATTTCTTTATCATTAATACAAAATCTGGACTGTTGCCCTCAAAGCTTTGTCCAACAAGAAAAGGTTTGTACATAGAGATGTCAGCAGTGGGTCTACAAGCAGCAAAAACAACAAATATGGAAATGGCGTGGCCTCATCTGCTGGTTCTGTCTCCGTTGTCAACATGCATCAGGAAAAATGTATGAATGAAAATGAGGAAGACCCATGGAGGCAGCGAGAATTACAGTGCACCTGTTGCAGACTTGTAACAAAATAACCAGTAGTAGCTCATATGTTAGGTGATGGATGAGTTGGGCGAAACATGATGGATTTTAAAAGTCAAACAGTCCGGAGATGCCACCCCTATCCGCACAGTCTCTGAGTATCTGACATACCTGCAGCCAGCTGGTTGTAGAGCAGGAGTGCAGGTTCTCCACACAGCTGACCACTGATCAGGCAGCGAGCCTGCACAGAGAAGGTGTAGTTGTGTCCCAGCAGCAGACTGCTGATCCTGAAATACGTCTCTGTGGTGTTTCCCAGGTAGGACGTCTGGTTGGTCACACTGTCATAAACATGCACTTCATACCCCTGTTGACAGAAGAAGATATGAAGAGCAGAAAACATCAGAGTGATGAAGATGCTTCATTCAGACTCTGATTCAGCTTCATGTGTGGATTTGATCTGTCTGTTTAAAATGATAATTAAAGAGCGCCAAAAGGTGTGAGTATCACATTAGTCTGACTTGATTTGGTCGTCCGCTATAATTTCAAATAAGTCATGTTTTACTTCCTGGTCTCAGTTAAATCAGATTTTTTGATTAGCATTGGTGTCGGCTGGATTTTACAATATTTCTTGTCAAAAGAAAAAAAAAACTGTTTTTTCAAATAGGTGGACAAGTGAAGTAGTAGATTCTGACAGCCAACCTAGTGCGCAAAGTGTTACTGTGGAAAAAAGGGTGATAAAACCTTCAAGAAAACCCCGCAGAAAGGTGAAGAGAGAGTCATGACAATGTGAAGAAAAAGAGAATAGTCTCACCCTGCTCTCGTTGAAGCCCTTTTCCCTGACTGCCAGACTCTTCCAAAAAAGAAACACGTGATCTTTCTCCGTCAAAATCTTCAGAGCCTCTGGAGCTGGGAGAGGAACTGCAGCAAGAGGAGAGTGTGTAATTTTAAAGTGTATGCTTATTAGGAGGAACATGTTGAGTGAACCTTGATGGCTGAGCTACAGGACTGATGACACATCTGAGCAATGAGAAACTCCCCGCATCAAATGCAGAAGGGAACCAGATTTGAACATCTCATACCATATCTCTTCCTGCCTTTTTTGCATGAATAGTTTCATGTTTTTCCACATCATTCACACAACATTTGAGCACAAAAAACATTTTGAATGACCTCTTGGAAAAACTGTCCCACATGTGACTAAAATACCAATATAGAAAAAGCTTTGAAGAGGTTCCCTAAGAGCCCAGCAAACCACTCTCCTTTTGAAAGAGCTCTGGAGATGGAAATCTTTCAAATTTTCCCCCTACATGTTATTAAAGGCTGCTGCCTCATATAGAAGAGAAATGACCTGTTTTTTTTCTTGACTCCTTGCTGTAGTTTTCCCTGCAACATTAAACTTCATTTGAGTGATGCAGCAGCTTTCTGCAGGGACGTTAATGTCTGCAAACAAACTGATGTGTTTCTGCCTAAAAGAAAAACAAAATCCCTTCCCTGTACTGCTCCCATTATTTACTATTATCATTATTTTACTTTTTTTAGTTTTTAGGCAATACACTGAATTTGGTTTGGTTTTCTCCCCATTCTTTCTTAGGTTACCTTGAGTTCTACAGTTTTATTTTTATAAGATATGGCAACAGGAACACTTAATCTGCGGTAATATTGGGGGGCATTTATTGCCTCTATCCAAACAAAAACTTTCAAGGGCACAAAAATAATATGTAAATTATGTAAATAATACATGGCCTGTGGTCCCTACAGTTTTTCTGTGGATGACCAGCAGCTAAGTCCCTGTTTAGCAGCACCTGTATTAACTCGACTCTCACAAAGTTCATAAAAATTTGAGACTTTCCTGTCAGTTCTGTCAGCCTGATAGATGAGTCCTTCCTGTAAACTTTCCGTTGTGAATCATGTTTTCTCATCAATTTCCCTGCTGCTGTTAGCTTCTTCCATTGCTGTTCTCTGAATCACCGGTGGGAAGTAGCGGCCGGAAGCACTGTTGGATTCTGGGCTGGGCATTGTAGCTCATTTGACTTGTGTTACAGTGTAGACTTATTGGAAATACCACAAAATGGCGGCTCCTGTCTGCTCCGATTATTTTTTTCATCCTGTACCGTCTCAATCACAAGATCAATAGTTAAGTCGACTCCCATCCCACAGGATTCCCGTGATCTGTAGGATTCCTGAAAAAATGTAAGTCACTAGTCTGGACTGGAGTAATGTTGACCCTGAACTGAAACTGTTTTCTCAGATAGCTCAGTCATGCAGACGTGCACCTGTTTGATTTTGTTGAGTTTTGTCTCTTGTGCATTAGCTTTTGTTTCTTTTAGTTGTATGTTTGCAGCGTGCAGCATGCAGCTTTTGCAGAAGTCTTTCAGGACTGCACCATGTACCCAGGCTTGGACCAGTCCTCAGTTATGCTGCTATATGCTGAGACCACTCCTGTTTTTCACTCCCTCCTTGTCTGTCACTGTAAATCCTCATTTCTGACTGAAGTCACTGACTGTAAATTCTTTTTCTCTGGATTGCTGCTGCAGACGTCTGGCTGCTGTGGACCTGTGTGACTCACACTGCTGCAAATATTATCCTTTCTGTCTTTTGAACCGCTGTCTTTCTTCATCTGCGTCAGTCTGTCCATTTTCAATCACATCATGGTCTCAGCAGATGACTGTCTAACATGAGTCTGGTTCTGCTCAAAGTTTGTGCCTATTTAAAGAGAGTTTTACTCTCCTGTCTATCTTGCTGAATGCTGTCGGCGCACCTGTGCTCAGAGTGAAGCTGGCCTCCTTGCTCATGTTTCTCAGGCGGACAGAGATGCTGTATCGTCCTCCAGGCTCCAGGCCTTTCAGCTGATACTCCACCGTGTTGTTCTTGGTGGTCAGCTTGTAGTCCCGCTCCTGCTTGCGGATTGCATCGCGCACGTGGATTGCGTATGTCTGCATAAACAAACACAGCAAGAAAAAGGAGGTAAAGATAATACAAAAAAAGATTAAATTGTGGAAATTTAGAAAAATGGGCATGTGAAAAACTTGTACCAGAGGCGCGTTCGGGGCGTCGTATGGTGGCTGCCACTTCAGTGTGGCCTGTGTTTTGTCCACTTTGACTCGGTGAAGGTTCCTGGGGGGCAGCCTCTCATTGGGGATCATTTTCACCACAGCATAGTCAGAGGGAGGACCCAGGAAGGGGGAGATGACTCGCACCTGTAGACAGAGAGAAGACGTTCAGTCAGGGATAAAAAAATCCCAAGTCTTCGAGGTGTGTGACAAAATTATACAAAAAGACTTCGAATATTAATTCTCCAATTTCACCGACTTTTAAAACAATTTATGTTTGCAAATCTTGTGTAATTAAATATATTCACTACAGAGGCAGTTTTTACAGAGGCAGGAGCATCCTCCTTCTGAAGATATGAATACAAAAATGAGTTTCATCATGCAGGTGTGACAACACTGTGAAAACAGTAATACCATCTTTAAAAAATCAGAATCAGAGTACTTTAATTTTACACCAAAACAAAGTAGAAGTTTATGAGTATGTATGAAAGAAAACAAGGTTTGTCTTTTAAACAAAGGTAGATCTGGAATCCACAGATCTGAAATTAGAGGGCACATCACCTGCGGTTTCACTTATTGAAGTGTTTTAATTTCAAACACTAATTTAGCAACTGTTCACTGCTCCCCATTAAAACAGGTTTTGTGAGAGGTGTCGGGGAGATCACAAGTCCCATTTTCACCTGATTCACACAAATGTTCACACTGAATACTTCCCACTTCAGTTCTGACTTTCTTCAATTTAACTTTTTCAGCACTCCAAGGTTTTATTTGGATGTGACAAGAGTTTCACCCATGACGTGAGGAGTTCACACATCTGCCTGGAGGTCTCTCCCAAATTAAAACCAGATAATGTCACTGCACAAACTCAGCATGAAAACTTAGTTGTGCGGCAGTTGAGTTAGATTTCAAGACAAAGAGGGAAGGCACAAACAGATCTGGCTCTTGTAATAAGAAGACAATGAAAGCTCACCAGAAAGAGATACTGCTCATCACTGTCCACGGTGACTGTCAGGCTGAGAGTCGAGGTGCTGAGCAGACGAGGACTACGGTACAGATCCAGGAAAGAGGTGGCATAAAACACACCATACACCTGTACACAAACAAACAGAGGAGATACATAAAGGAAGAAAGGAAGAAGGGATCAAGTAAGGTGGGTAGGAAGGAAGGGGAGAGGAAGGAAAGGAGGGAGGAAGGATAGAAAAGAAGAAGGAAAGAATGGAAGGAAGGGAAAGGGGAGAAGGGGAAAGAGAGAAGGAAAGAAATGGAAAGAAGGAATGATGTAAGAAAAAGAATTGAAGAAAGGTAGTAGGGGGAAGAAGGAATGGTAGGAAGGAAGGAAAGAAAAGAGGAAAGATAGGAAGTACAGAGAGAATGGAGAAGGAAAGGTAAGAAGGAAGGAATGGAGAATGAAGGAGGGGGGAAAGGAAGGAAGGAAGGAATGGAGAAGGAAAGGTAGAAAGGAAAGAATGAAGAAGGAAAGAATAGTAAGAAAGAAGGAGAGGGAAAAGAAAGGAAGGAGGGTTGGAAAGGAGAAGGAAAAAAGGGAAAGGAAGGACAAAGGGAAGGGAAAAGAGAAGAATGACAGAAAGGAAGATTGGAAGGGAGCATGAAAAATGGAAGAAATAGGAAGAAAAAAAGAGGGGAAAGGAAGGAGGAAAGAAAAAAGAAAGAAAGTAAAGACAGAACGTAAGAAATGAGTAAAGGAAGGGAGGGCAGAAGGGAGGACAGAAATCAGTAATGACATTTTGTACCTGTCCATGCTTAGTGATAAACAAATCAATTTTTGGATTCATTCACTAAAATCCTTTTTTGAATCATTTCCTGTGAGTCTTCTTCTTCTGTGGTACCTGAGTTTGGGGTCCGTTCATGTTCCAGCTGCAGTCCACGGCAGTCTGGTTGAGGGCCCGGGCTTTGAAGAGGGGCCGCTCTGGCTGGGTGCCACTGGTCTGATAATGGGACAGAGCGGTGGGACTGTCTCCTATACTGGTGTGAGCCCACACAGCCACCTCGTACATCGTCCCTGCTGTCAGGTTTGTCGCTTAAAAAAAATCAAACACCAATCAACGTTCAAATCCTCAGCTGAGTCCAAACCTTGTAATTCATTAACAGTGCACAAAGACTACCTTTAAGAACGGTCTCAGTGACGGTGTAGTTCTTGTTCTCCTTGACGTGGGAGTCAAACTGCCAGGACAGAATCACTATGTAATGTTTCACCTGAAAGAGACAAAGGAGTCACATCAGTCAGTGACAAACCTGTCACATTTCTGAGTCATAAAAGGAGTCAGTGAGTGAAAACACGCAATTCAGGCTTTTATCTTGTGACCGGTTCTCTGTTTTGATATATATCCTCTTTTCCTTTCTGTAGCCCTTTGGTAACGTTTAAGGTAGATGCTGTTTCCATGCTCATTTAGAAATGACTGCATCTTTTACTCCAATCCTTCTTTCCATTTCTGTTTAATCACCTCAATGTTAAAGAGAAGGCAGTTGTAATACCCACGAGGAAGCTATCCTGAATCAAAACCCAAAAAAGAGAAATTCAACAGCTTTTCCTACATTCCTGTGTGACTGTGTGAACCTGATGAAGAGCGGCTCCTACCTCGTACTGAGAGTTAAAGCTGAAGGAGAAGCTCAGGGAGTTGGTGGTGATGGTGTCGGTGATCACAGATGGAGGAGGCAGAGCTGCAGCAGAGACAGAGGAAAATCAGGAGGAATTATCCACCTCTCTATCACCTCTTCCGTTACACAAGTCTAAATAAAGGTAACTTAATGTCATTGGAAAAATGACACTACGTTGTGCTGCGACTGTAAGCCCAAAATAAAATCCTGCCTGATAAATTTTGGCAGCAGCTTCATTTGAGAAAAAAGAAAAGAGACTGATTTAATGAAGAAGGAAAACAGTCATTAAGTGGTAAATTTGACATTACTTTCATGTCATGCTGGCAGCAGATTATTTTTGTTTTCTTCCTTAATTATCTGGATAACAGACACATTCTTACAACTGAACAAGCCAAAGCTGAAGATAAAAAGTTCTATCAAACAACCAAATGTTGCTGTAACTTTGAACGACAACACAAGGCGACAAAATTATTTGACAAAATAAAGACAGAGGGGGCAGAGGGGAAAACTCATGCTGTATTTACATATCTGTACATGTACTGAAAGTGTTTCTGTTTGCACCAGCAGGTGGTGGTGTTGAACAGGATTTTCAGACCTTATTCTGGATGAGAATCTCTCTAGAGCTTCTTACCTTTTTTAGGCGTGATGGATTTCACTTCGCTCCAGTTGCCCACACCTCGACTCGTCACTGCTGCCACCTGAGAAACACCATCACAGCAGACGACATTTGAACACAGCTAATCCAGACCAGACCAGATTATTAGCAAACATTACTAAAGTTATTCGAACCCTCGAAAATGATTAGTATTTGAAAAAAAGCCCTTTAAGCAGATTTGAAAGACAATATAATGGCTACGTCTGCAATTATAGTACAGTGTTGACACCTTTTTGTAACACCAAAAACATCTGTCAGTCAAAAAGTTGGGCGACTTAGTTGTGTGTTTTGTGTGTAATTTAATCAGGATGATAAAGAATTGAACACTTTCAAGAGTCAGATCACTGCATTTTGGTCCTGTGTCATTTGTATGTCATAAAAATGAGCAAAAACAGTGTGAAATAATTACAGCCTTATCCTCCTGCTGCATGAAAATAAAAGTATTATTGTTTATGTTTTTATTGTTGATCCAGCTGATCAGGGACACTGTGTGTGTGAGCCTTACCCTGAATCTGTACATAGTGTCCGGCTGCAGCTCTTTCACTTCTGTGCTGGTTGTTATGCATCTCTGAGACGTCCATTCAAGACCGTCTCGCTCACTGTACTCCACCTACAAACACACATATGAGACACACATACTCAGACATTCACTGGCTGAATCTCTTTTCTAGTGTTGTAAAACTGAACTGATGACTGTAAGTCAGTTTGATCAGACAGACTCACGATGTACTCTCTGATCAGGCCGTGTCCTTTATCAGGAGGGCTCCAGGAAACTTGGACTTTACCGTCTTCACCGTTGTCACAAGAAAGCTGCAGGTTCCTGGGGGGGTCAGGCACTGTAGGACCAAAGAGATCACAGACTTATCAACAGAAGTAAAAAAGAGTACATGTGTGAAAGTGTTGTTAGATGAGATAGCTTTCTGAATTCCTCATGTGGCCCAAAGTTTTGAAGCTTTGATTTCTTGGGTCCATGAAAGAGGTGCTTCAGAATTTCAATAAATCCAGAATCCTTAAAAAAATGCTGACAGGTGTTGATTTAAAAAAAAGAGATACTTACGGCCCTCTGGTGTCCTGACTGTGATCATCTCGTTGGTCTTGTGCAGCTTGCTCAGACACTGAGTCAGCACCTTGACCTGGTAGGTGGTGTCAGGTTTCAGGACCGTCAGCTGGTAGCTGGTCTTGTTGCTGTGAGTGTCCATGATGGTCCACTGTTGGGTGCCAACCAGCCTGAGCACAATCACACAAAATCAGACACATCAGGGCTAATGAGCAGTCACCCAGTTTCACTGGCTGATTCTAGGAGTCGGTGTCACATCTACCTCAGAACAAACCATTAAGAGGAGGCAGGACAAGACTCACCTGTAGTAAACCAGGAAGTAGCAGGAGTCCAGAGGAAGGCTTTTTGGGCGAGACCAGGTCAGAGTGATGGCACCCAGGAAGTCTCGTGTCCACTGGAGGTTCTGGACTTTATAAGCCAGAGAATCCACTAGGAGGTCAAGATAAACAGAGAAGTAAATGTAAATGTAAATGTTCTTTATTCATACAGCTCTTTACAACAACCCTTCCGGTGAACCAAAGTGCTTATATAGATACATACTTAGTACCGTATTTTCCGGACTATAGGTCGCTCTGAAGTATAAGTTGCACCAGCCAAAAAATGCATAACGAAGAAGAAAAAAACCACATCATCACCCTATTAAAATATTGGCCTAAGTCAGTTTTTGACATCATGGCATGACAGCATTATTACGAGATGACTCAGGCCAAAACCTCTTTTTGGTCAAAAAATGACTTAGGCCATTATTTTAATAGGGTGATAATATGTAAGTTTGCGTCTCAGTATAAGTGGCAAACCCAGGCAAACTATGAAAATAAATAGTCCAGAAAATACGGTAAATAACAATGAATAAATAAAAACAATAAAAGCAATAAAAAAAGAACAAGATACAATGCAATAAAACAAAGTAAAAGTGTCACCACACTGCTGCGTATTAAAAGCCAGCATAATTCAAGACCCCGGAAGATCCCTCATGAGTATTAATCAGCCTGAAACAGCAGGTGGCAGCACTGCACCAACTTTGAAAAGATTTAGGTTTGGCTCCAGTACTTCTGATGAATGTGATCGTTATAGAGCTGAATTAAAGCATTTGAGACCTACATGTACAGTTGTCCTCGTCGCTGTGGTCAGAGCAGTCCAAGAAGCCATCACACCGCTCACCGTCCAGGACGCACGCCTCACCGTCAGAGCAGCGAGTCCCATTTGCACAGAACAGAGGCCCCCGAGTGGCTGCAGAAGAGGAGAGTGAAGAAAAGAACAGCTGAATACTGCTGCTCCTGCAATCGGATCACCTGCCTTTGACTTGAAATTTCTTCATCCTAAACCTCATGTTCCTAAAACTGTCCCAAAGCTAACCTAACCCAGAGCTTTAAAGGAATATTCCTGTGTAAAATTAAGTTAGGGTCAAACACACCAAAACATCGAGACACCCCGTCAGGATATTAATGTTGCCGACCCCTTTGCTTCTCTAGTTATAACAACTTTAGTAACGACTGCATGATAGCAATATAGAGAGCCACGCTCTCAACCAAAAAGCCACTCTATAGCCACAAATAATGCTCAGAACAGCACGTAACTTCATCAACAGCACATATAGGGTCCTAGCCACAGCACTTGCCACCAAACATCTTTTCAACTTTGCCTGATTTCTTGAGCAAAGAGACTAAACACAACTCACCTACTCTCTTCCAGCAGCTGCTTGTTTGTACAGAGACCTTGGATGAGTCTATTACCTGCAACTGCAACGGGGTGATGCAGCTCAAGGAAGAACATTTATGATCATTTCTTTATCATTTCCTTAAGTAATAATCATTATAATAATCATTTTGCACTGCAGATGCAGTGGTTCATCTGCCTTAGCATCTCGGTCTGATTGCATTTTCATGAAGTAATAATCATAAATGTTCTTCCTTGAGCTGTGTCCCCCCGCAGCAGTCGATGATGGACTGGTCGAGGTCTCACTACAAACAAGCAGCCGCTGGAAGAGAGTAGGTGAGTTGTGTTTAGTCTCTTTGCAAAAGAAATCAGGCAAAGTTAAAAAGATGTTTGGTAGCTATTACTATGGCTGGGACCCTATATGTACTGTTGATGAAGTTAGGTGCTGTTCTGAGGTGTGTGTGTGGATCCTCAGACCGCTCTATGTTGCTATTGTGCGGTCGTTACTAAAGTTGGTATAACTAGAGAAGCAAGCGGTCGGCAACATTCATCTCTTGGTGGGGGTGTCTAACTTTGTGTAACGGTGTGTTTGACCCTAAATTAATTTTACGCCGGAGTATCCCTTTAATGAATCAATTAAAGACAATTGAACTTAATGTGATTAGATTTTCTGCATCAGGCCACAACTGCAGGTTTAAAACTTATCCACACAAAATTCCTTGGTTGAATTCAGCTTTGGTATGCTAATTGCTCTGTTTCCATGTTTGTTTGTTTATTAGTGTGTCAGAGGGAAGCAGTAAGCTAAGACTCACGGCAGTGGGCTTCATCAGAGCCGTCCTGGCAGTGGATCTGACCATCACAGCGCTGCCAGTCAGGGATGCAGATGGAGGGTCGCCGACACTGAAACTGACCTCGGCTGCACCGACTGGGGGAGGGCGGTGGAGGGGATTGAGTGGGTGCTGGAGCGGCTGTCACAGTGACGTTAGCTGTTGACAGAGAGACAGGATGTCAATGTAAAGATCAGAAATAATATTTTTTTATCTACTCAATAAATAACAATCACTCTCTGCTACACAGAAAGGCTCAGCCAATCAGAAGACAGATTCAGTACCTGTGGGACATCCCAGCTCGTCACTGCCATCAGGACAGTCAGCGTAGCCGTCACACACCCACGTGTTGATGATACAAGCTCCAGAGCCACAGTGGAAACGGTTTGGGGCACATGTGGAGGGACCGGGAGTCACAGTGTGAGGAGTAACACCTCCTGTAAGAGCAGAGAGTCAGGTCAAATCTTCAGAGACAGGTTAGATAAGTTAGTGACTTAAACAAGTCAACTGAAACAAAGATAAAGAACATTTAACTGCATACTTCCACATGAGAGCTGCAACCAAAGACTCATTTCATCCAATACTTTTAACTGGTAAAACACTGTTAAAAATCCTGATTGCAATTTCCCAGAGCTCAGAGTCATACCTTTAAGAAGCATGTTTTGTCCAACCAAGAAGGAATTTAAGGGAAAACTTTGTGAAATTCACAGTTTTTCTGCTCAAACTCCTCTAGCCTTTTTATTTTAATTGACATTTACGCACATAAGAGGATTTGCTGTTCAAGATTTCAGATCACAGACAGAGTACCTGTACACTGGGCCTCATCAGACCAGTCCCCACAGTCATTCTCCCCGTCACACTTCCACCAAGTGGGAATACACCGACCGTTCCTACACTCGTACTGGAAATATCTGGAGCAGCCGGGGACCTCGGTGGGAGCAGCTGCAAAACAGAGAGATGATGAGGCAACAGAGCCCGAACAAAACTTCTTACTTAAAGATGAAATCATCAAAAGAACACGAGTTCATCTAAATGATACAGATCTGATGGGTTTCAACTCCTCCTCTTCCTCACCACAGTTGGCTTCATCAGAGTAATCCCCACAGTCGTCCATGCCGTCACACTTCCACTCCAGGCTCACACACACTCCATTGGCACACTGGAAGGTGTAGGCGTCACACACTTTGCCAAATTCAGACGGTGTGGCTAATGAAACACAAACAACAACATTAGCACTTTGAGGAAACAGAGCAGAACCAGAATAACAACAGCAGCAATTCTCAACAGATATGAATGACCTCCTCTTTACATTTACGTCTTTTCTTTAGTTTTCTTGAGGTAAGCAAGCGTGTAAAAATCAAAAGCTCAACGATACAAAATAATTCGGCACAGAGATCTGTCTCTCACCACAGCCGGCATATTCTGCGTCCTCATCAGATCCGTCCTCGCAGTGTTTGATCCCGTCACAAACCAGCGACTGGAACAAACACTGAGCTCTGTTCTTACACACAAACTCCATGTAGCGAGTGCAGAGAGGGTCTGCGGGTACAACAAACACACAACACGTCAGCACAGGAATAAAAATGACCAAAAAACAATCTATAAATCAAACACATAACCCCTGAGTCCCTGAAGAGCACTGACTGATGTCCTGTGTCGTATTTCATGTGGTGTATATCAGACTAAATGTAGGTAGGGTAAGTGGGGTTCCACAGGGCTCCATTCTCGGCCCATTTTTATTACCTTAAAAAAATCATGGCTCAGTGATAATATGTATAAATATCTTAGTAATAAGCATTCACATAAATCTATTAATTTGTTTGTCTATTTGATTATTTGTTGGCTTAATACTCTGACATTTACTCTTACTCTTATTTTTATATTTTGTACTTTAAAATTAGTGTCAAAGTCAATCATAGTTTCATAGCTCTGCAGAAAAACAGGTTTGTGCCAAAGTGCTTTAAAATAAAAATATGGTAAGTCTATTACCTCGACTGTAATATGTTGCTGGTTGATAAACAAGTACAGCCTTCAGTGTGCCTGAAGGTTTCCTTACGAGGTTTGTTTTATTGCTGTGATTTGAAAGTGTTTAGTATAGGCAGCAGTGTAGCCAAATTTCAGTGAGCCAAATACTATAATCTCTTTTTAAATGTTGGCATCAAAGGCATCAGTCCTGCAAACCTTTGAGTGACTACATTGTTTTCATTTGGTTTGACAGGGGAGCACAGGTAAGCACCGTCTGTATAACAACCACAACCATGCCTGTCCAATCCACTTAGTCATGATTTGACTCTGTAATTGGATTTTTCTTAGTTAAAGTGGATCACTCACCACAGTTGTGCTCATCAGCTCCATCTGGACACTCCTGAATGCCATTACAGTGAGCGGTCGCAGGCAGGCAGGTGTGATTAGAGCAGAGGAAGCCATTACACCGTGTCCCCTCTGGAAGTAACACAGTAACACAGATGAAACCACACAAACTCGCCCTAATATTTGAGAAGAAGGACTACAGCCTTAATCAACTCTGTCATCAGCTCTGGGTTTTCAGACTTTCAGTGATGTAACTTTAGGACAACAACTCACCGCAATGTCGTGGATCCTCATCAGAGTCATCCTGGCAGTCATCATCCCCGTCACAAACCCAACGCTGTGGTATACAGTGACCTGTGTGACACTGGAAGCTGCTGGCCTCACATGTATGGTGACCCACTAGTGACAAAAAGAGATTTTATTATATTTCTGTAGCAAAGTGTTGCAAGATACAACCTGATCCCACAGACCAAATGAACTGTTCTGCAAAAGGTCTCTCGCATGTTTAACCTCTGTATTTCTTTCATCAGGTAGCTTAGTAATAAACAAGATCACACATAATACCTCTGCTTATCATAAGGGTCCAGCCCACCCTATCAGGATTGCAGTCCACTATAATCACCTGATCACTATACCTATGTGTTAGTTAATAAATAGTTTATTCTGATTGTCCCACTTTGATTTGACTTTTTCATGAGTAAACACACAATAATATTTTGAATATTGACGGACTGCGATGTTTTCACGTCATCCATGCAAATTTACATTGTTTTGGGGGTTTTTGAGTGATAAGGGGATCTTCTCAAGAGTTTATGTTTCAAATGTAACATTAAAGATTAATACAAGTGTTTAATATGATGCACCATTCAGTCAAAAGTCATCACACAGTCATTACCAGTGCAGTTGGCCTCATCTGACCAATCTCTGCAGTCGTTGTCTCCATCACAGCGCCACGCCTCGCGAATGCATACTCCCCGTGCACATGTGAACTCTCCTGGGCCGCACTGGTGAGACTCTAAGAAATATATCATTGAGTGAAAATTAAGACATTACTTTTCCTTTTTTGTTTCTTATGTATCAAAACTAAAAACTGAAACTGATAAGAAGGAAAAAACACCCAAAAAATCAATTAAAATAACAATTTCGTTTTTTTAAATATGTAGAACGAAAGTTTTAAATACACAGTTGTACAAAATATCGACTCAGTTTAATCAGGAAGGATTAACCATATAGTTTCTGTTAATACACATCTACGCCTCCTTTAAACCAAAAACAGTCTGCCTCTATTCAGATCTTTCAATGTCCTTTTTAGGAATCATTTTAACTCTTGCAGGATTACACCTATTATTTAGGTCTCAGAAGATTTCTAAGATGTTGTACTGTTCTAATTCTACAGCTAAATACCAAGAGAAAATCTATCATGTTGTATTTTGATGATAAAATCCTGCCTTTCATTCAGGTCATTACGGTGTTTGCTGATACATGACCATTGCTCACCACAGTGCTCTTCGTCACTGTTGTCTCCACAGTCGTCTTCATGGTCACACTTGAAGGCCAGAGGGATGCAGGAGCCTGAGGCCATGCAGCGGAACTGGTTTGAGGGGTCACAGGTCGTGGTGGCTGAAAATGGACAAGACACAGATAACAGATAAACAAATACCCAGAGTTTCTGTTGAATGAAGGGACAGAAAATGTTAATCAAAGTTACCCGAACGATTTAGAACAAAGATAACTTTTCAAATAACGGAAAAAGATAATGTCGAGGGTCTTAACATGGAAAAATACTTACGGCACTCCTGCTCATCACTCATGTCTCCACAGTCATTGTCACTGTCACATTTCCAGATGCTGCTGATGCAGCGCCCATTAGAGCAGCGGTACTGATTGGGCAAACAGCTGTGCTCTGATTGGACAAAAACAACGAGCCGATGTCAGCTTATCAACCAGATGGTCCCTCATTACTCTGAGATCTTATTTCCAACAAACACAACATCTCTTATTTTGGAGCACGAGTTTATCAGAGACTCTGTCTCACCGATCTTCACACAGGTGCTGTTTTGAAGCTGGTAGCCGGTGGGACACTGACACTGCAGCTCTCCGTTGGGCATGGTCACAGTCGGGGCTCCGTCAGGGCAGACGCAGGTGTGTCGGTGGCCGGGCTGAGGCAGACAGAGCAGGCTGCATGGCCCGTCAGCACAGGCGTTATGACCTGGAGGATAAAGGATTACAACCTTAGTCTGAGAATTGAAGGGTTTTTTAATTAAATTTTAAGGTCTAGCATTTTGCCCTCACTTTAGGAGTGAATGGACTAAAATATCGAGTGGTTTGAATGTGACTGTTTTGTTTTTTGTCACTGACAGACTCAAATTGCAGTTCTCAGTGTTTGACACCTCTGCTGAGATGACTGTTTTGAAACAGGCCAAGTTGTGACAGCTGAGGATATCTTCCAGTATTTCAATGATTTTAAAACTAAGATTTCAGAAATGCACACTTTTATGATGTTTGCTCTCTCTGTCCCTCACCTCTGTTCTTTCCCTTGTAGAAGATCTTCAGGTCCATCACTCCGGTCAGTCTGCCAACAATCAGCTCATTATTCTGGGAACCAGCTTTTGGAGCTTTGAAGATCCCCATTCGGGACCAGTCGTCCCAGTACAGGTCATTCTGAAAACAGGAAAACGTCAAAACTGGTCAAAAGTCCAACCTGATTTTCCTACCAGGACACAAGGAGATTTCATAGACTGTAGATTTGTTCTGATTTGTGTCTCACCTTAAAGACAGCGATGGCATATGGGTGCGGCAGACCCTCCATCAGGACGCTCCTCTGGCCTCCCGTGAAATTGGCCCTCTCAATGCGATCGCTGTAGGCTTCAGTCCAGTACAGCCAGTGGTCATCAGCTGTGATCCCATTAGGCCAGCGGACACCCTCTGACACGATGCAGGACACGTTGGATCCGTCCATGTAGCTCCTGTACACACCAGCAGCTCGGTCTCCCCAGTCAGTCCAGAACATCAGACTGAGGACAGACAGAGGAGAGAGTGAAAGGAGACTGTTTTATAAAGAAAACGTGATGGTTTCAAAATATCATCAGGGTTATTTTTTTAATGACGACCCTGATTCCAGAAGAGTCCGAACGATGCATAAAATATTGTTAAAACAGAATTTGATGATTTTCAAATCATTCAGAGCCTACATTTATTTAACATAAGCTAGGACTCTACAGTGGAAATCACTGCATGTGCTCAGAATCAATAAAAACAACAAAATATGTTTGTTGCTGTATCCACAAATGCAGGTTTGAACTGCAGAATGCAAAGAGGAAATTTGTCTCCTGTTGAAAACGTTTGGTGCATCATGACACAAAAGAGCTACAGCAGAGGAGTCCCTGTGGAGCAGTTGAAGTCACTTTTAGACACAAATGGAGCAAAATGTCCAGAATCCAGAAACTTCTCTCCTGGATCCCCAATACAGCTTCATACCAGCTAGGACAGGGACATGTTCATCATTGTGTTGCATCACTTCTTCTTTTAATAACTTTGTTGAGAGTGTGTTACTGATGTCAAATCTAAGAGGACCTTGTATTTTCTCAAAAACAATGTCTGGTTTGTTTTTATTCCCCTGTTTTAAGGAAACATTAACGGTTTTTGCAAATCATTAAAACCTGTTTCATTAACCATTCAACCTGGTGTCCTTAAAAAACATAAGCCTGTAAAGAAAATGTCTCCAAAGAAAGTGAGACATAAAGAATTTTCCTTGGAGGAGAAAGGGGGAACAATGACAAAAAAGAGGCAATATGTAAATTAATATTTCAACACTGGGGAGAATTTGCCAATTACTTCAGAAAAAGCAGAACAGTGTTTGCAGAAGTGAAACTGTTTTTTCATGCAGTATGTGAGTGAGTGTGACAGTTTCAGACACTTAGTCTGGTTATCACTTCCTCAAAAGACTGCACCGGGATGAGTTCAGAGTTCCTGTGGGTTGGGGTAAAAGTTGGGGTTAGCCTTCTGGCTGTGGTGGTTAAAGCCTCCCTCCCTCAAGTTTTGACCATGACACTCTGACGAAAACTTGAAGTTTCCCTTTTGGCTGCCTGTAAGGTTCCCAGAGAGAGTGTTTTTTTTTTGTAAACTTAAAAAAAAAAAGGAAAACTGTTCTTTAGGACACTTACATATCACATACTTGGGTTTAGTTTTCTCTTTTTTCTAATGTTGGTTCTTGAAGATAAAAGACGGATCAGTTTGCTTCTTCGCTCTTTGGTCTGGTTATCTGTGGTTGTTATACTGTATACCACATATTTAGTTTAAAGGTCAGGTCTTGAATCTTGGGCCTTAATAAAAGGTTTCAAATAAGAGATTGTGCTCAGACAAAGAGGGTTCTCAAAGGTCCAGAAGGGCCAACAAGCATATATATATGTGTGTGTCAGCGTGTGTTACCTCTCTCCGGGCAGCAGAACCAGAGCTCTGGGATGCTCCAGGATGGAGGAGTTCAGCAGAGTGTGACGAAGGTCACCATCAGGGTTCGACACCTTCAGACACAACAAGAGAGAGACTTTGAGAAAACTTCATAACTCTGGTTTTAGGAATATAGAGGGAGTATTGACAGATCAGAGGAAAAACAGAGAACATTTTGCTCAGAGACACACTTCATGTTTCTGCATCAGGTTGGATGTAGTTCACAAAATATGAAATCTACTCAACTAAAGGATCTTTATTTTCATCAACTGTGTTCTGAAATCACATAACCTAACAGCAATATGCTTCATTTCATTAAGATAAAACAATCTACAACACATCTAGTGAAGATAACAAGAAAAGGTCATGTTTTAAATACTGCAGAGTATTGTTTGTGTACAATAATAATAATAAAAAACTACATAAAAAAAGAATATCACAAAGGGTCTGACCTAATCACTAAAGTGTGACCAACATAAACCAAATCCTTTAATCTAATACTGATCAGCAAATCTGGATTTGTTAAACCACTGATGTGTCCATGGCAATAAAAGTAACTCATTAGTGGTGTTAATCACACTAACTGAAACACATAAAGCGTATATACCTCAATCTTCTGTGCCCCAGCGTCCACCCAATACAGCAGTCTGCTGATAGGGTCAAAGGTCAGAGCTTCCACGTTCTGCAGATCCTTCCTGACCACGACCTCCTGACCAGTGCTGCCGTTCAGACACAGGCGCTGCAGGAGAGAGGACCGAGGCGGGTTAATCTCAGACACACAAACACAGAGGAAATCTCCAGCAGGGGACGATTCTCTCTCTCACCTGTATGGTGTCCAGAGAGATGTCAGCCCAGTACAGGCAGTTCTTGTCGTAGTCAAAGTCCAGAGCCACGGCCTCTCTGAGTCCAGCCAGAGGCAGAGCCTGGTCTGTGCCTGTGGCCAGGTCGTACCGATGGATGGAGTTCCTGACCGCGTACAGGATGAACTCATTACTCTCTGAAACAGAGAAGCAGACGTGATGATGGGTGAGACACTCTGGCAGACCTGACAGTGACCCTGTCTAGCATCCTGAACTGGGTCAATTTTCCACTGCTCTGACTAAAACTCTGATTAACAACAATAATCACACAAATTAGATTCTAGAGCAAACACGGACATTCAGCAAGTTTTATGCTCTATAACACAGTTTCCTCTCAGGAGTGAGTCAGCAAGAACAACTCGTCCAGACAGAGTTACAGTCTCATTCACTTCCTGAAAAATGACCCACGACTTTCCCCATTTTTCCCAAATTTCATCTACTGGCAGCATTTACAGCATATTTTATTGCAGAGGTCACCCAGAAGTGAAACAGTTCTCCTGATTACTGAAAAGTCTTCTTATATAACTTCCAAATGCTGCAGGAGCTTCGTCTTATGAATTATGTTTTTTGCAATGAGTCTCATTTACAAAGATGAGAGACAACTCATACAATAATGTAATCCCAAATCCCAATACATGCGAAAAAAACATCAGATCTTCAAGACAGTATCAGTTACACAACAGCTGGGGTGCATTTTACCATTTTGGATACTTAACAAATTTCTTTTTGCAGATTAAGCAGCTTTAAAAGCCACATGATGCTTTTGACTGGAGTACAGTCATATTTGTTTGTTCCTATTAAACTGCATTACAAACCAAGACTGGGGAAAATGCACAGAATTAACTTCTTTTCCTTATTTGAATGTTTCATCAAGTACATATAAGGTACAACTTCACTTTCAGGTCACTTCATCTCTTGTGTTCAGATTAATTCAAAACCTCAATCTAACAGGAGGTGGTTATAATAAACTTTTCTGACTGTAGTTTTAAATGCAGGTTTACCTCCGACTGGACACGGCAGCATCTCTCCATCCAGCCTGGACTCCACGTCTCCTCCGCTGCAGCTGTCACCTGGAACCTTCCTGTAGCTGCAGCAGACAAACAAAAAAAAAAAGCACAGATTCACCAAACGGACACTAGGGTGAGCTCTTACATCATATTTCTAGTAACAAGAGAGGGAGTTGTTGTTTACAGGATGATGATAAGAAATCAAAGAGAACAAAGGCTGGTGTGTGCAATGAGGAACTGTCTACCACGTCTACTTATAAAGACAATTAGTGGATCCTGATTTCCTGCAATAGGAAATTGAGCCGAAGTATCTCATTTAGATTTTGAAGAGTATTGTGGTTTCATTTTCAGTAAACCAATATCCTGGTAAGCTTCAAAGGCGCATACTCTAGATTTTTGCATTTTCCTCTATTTAATCGGCTGTAAACTGCTGCAACATTTTGGACGATAGCGTACAAATACCTCAAAAACATATCCATGCTCCATTTCATGGTGTGTCAGTGCAGTTTAAAGACAAACATGTCTTTGCATCTCTCACTGCTGAACAACTTCAGTCCTCTTGAATGGAAAGATGAGAGATTGCCAGCCCACTCTCACTGGCTTTCAAATTTAATGCAATTTGTTCAACTAGAGAAAGTTAGATCAACTCTGAATGGGTCTAATTTTATGAGTCCTGGAAGCCATTTATCTTGTATGTCAAGAAGGGGAAATTAGATCTTATAGTTGAGGGATAATTGTCGAAGTGCTGCTTAAGAGAGCAGGAAATCTGTATTTACAGTGAACTTACCACAAGAAGCCGCGGTAAGGGGTGTGTCATGTGTGTTTACACTTTCTGTTCCTCTTTCTAATGTGTCATGTTTCTTTATTTACTTGTCTCCAGCTGTGCTGAGGTAGGAAGGCTGAGGGCCGAGGGGAATTTCAATTATCTCCTTTCTCTGTTTACTCGGCACATATATTTTGGCCTTACTTGTGCATACCTGACTGTTTAATGACTTATTTGCATTTTTTGTACGATGTGAAAAATCTCAAAATGAAGTGTAAAAATTCACAGACATGCAGAATTTAAAAATACATGGACTCTAGTCTTAAATGCTTATTATATGAAGGTGTACAGTATATAAATGTGAATCAAGCACATAGATGCTCAAATTAAGCCAATAAAGCCCACAAAGACTCTCAGACAATAACAGCAGCTCACCCTTTGCTGCGGCGGTATGTGGTGCCAACAGGACAGGGCACAGGAGGAGCGTACAGGTCACCTACAAACTCCGGGTCAGGCACACACACCTGCAGAGACAAGTCTTCACTCAACTTGAAGCCGTAGTCACTGCAAAGAATTAAGTGAAGAAGAAGAAGAAGAAGGGGGAGGAGGGAGACAGGTAGGGTGAAAAGAAAAGAAAAACAGCTCAGTTAGCTTCTGGCCTGTGATTAACGTCAGTACCTGATGTGCATTTTAAAACAGACCCATTATAGCGGTGATGGGAGTTTAGGGGACATTAAAAATGTGCAGCCAAGGCTAAAACCGATGTATTGGTCTGCCAGCAGTGAATTTAATTAAGAGTCAGCCAGACAAAGGCCACTTCTCTCTGATATGAAAGAGGTCTCACTTACACTAGAGCCAATAAAGCAAGATTTACATTTTTCTTTGTGTACGTTAAAAACATTCAGCTGAAGAAGAGTGTTGTACTGCGAGCAAAGGTCGTTTTCGATTTCTGTCCTGGTTGAATCTACTTTATTCACAAATCCAGAGCAGAAAAGTTGAGAGATAAGATTTGTCCCTTGGGAAACCTCTAAAATCCCCAGATAAAAAATCTGTCTCTTGTGAACATGGCTTTGGGGAGCTTCTGTGTTGAAAGAATCACAGCTGTTTCTTTAAGCCCTGGAGAAGATGTTGTTTCATGAGACGGTTTTTGGAGATGCTTTTATTTGTGTTATTACCACCTTGGGTCTATTTTACTTTATATGAGAATGAATAAAAAACACTAAAAGCTGAAACTACATTCAAAGGTAAAAACTGAAGTAGGTACTTTTACATTTTTATGACAAACATATTCACAGGAAGATTACGAGCAGATGGGCTGAAAACGTAGCTGAAAGAAGCAAATTGTTAACGATCGCTCAGTTACCGTTCTAAGAGTTGTAGAAGAAATAAAAGAAATCCATTCAAGTGAGTTTTATTACAAGTGAAAAATTATGTCTGAGACAATTAAAGGAATAATTCGAATCAAAAGGTCCCACATGTTGACAACACATTTCCCCTGCCTCCACATATTTGTACCACAATAATCTTCCAGCCTAACATTGTGCAAGTCTCCAGCAACAGCAGATGCACCACTGCTTTTTGACTATATCAAGAAACGTTTAGGTTGTGTTCTTCTGGAGAACTCGCCATGTGTGTTTTGGTGTTTTTCTGACTCTGCATAGATCTGCGCCAGCCTGCCCTCTCCCCTCAGACAGCCCTCAGTGCTTCATAGCATTCCCAGGCACTCAGATCAGTGCATGGATGAAGAGGTTAGAAACTGAGAGACTACAGATCCTGCCAGTGACACAGATTTTGTGATTTATTTTCCGACTGAATTAAAAGAAGAACGTTTATCTTAAAACAGCTAGAAAAACCATCATGTTTAACAATTAAAAACGTACATTTTTATTGAAATATCTGATGCCCTAAATGTCATGTGTTAACTCAGAACTGCTCATCAATGAGTGCTGATGATATATGAGCAAACATGTTCCATCTCTCACCATTCATAGTCCTGTCGTGTGCAGGAACAGTTGGAGACCGTGACGGGCCGGTCAAAGTCTTCCCCGTTAAAACACGTAGCGTGTGGAGCTCGTCTCTTGAACGTTATCTCTCTGCCCAGCAGACATTCGTTACCGTGTTCATCTGATGGAGACCAGCGCTTGTAGTCGGCCTCTGAACATGGCACACCTGAAGAATAACAAGAAGGAGAAAAACTATATGATAGACATTGAACAGTGATAACCAACTGAGCTACTGATACAAAGCTATTTGGAGGTCGGTCTCTGCTCTCAGACTTACCCAGGACGTCAGAGGTGTTGACCTGCAGGATGAGCCAGCTGTGTCTCTGGTCGGCGTAGGAGCCGAAGATGGTGAAGATGGTGCTCTTCTCCCCGGGTTCAGTCAGCAGCTGATACACAAACACGTCCCTGTCTGAGAACGTAAAGTCTGTCCATGTCTCGCCTTCATTGGTGCTGAATCTGGAGGACACAAAGACCAAATGAAACCTCTTAATTTACTGAGCATTTATGATTTATTTTATTCACCCTCCATGTATTTTTAACAAGTTTGACAGTAAATGTTTATAGCTGTGTTACATCTATTGTTTTATATCGAATTTCAGCTCTACTTCTTCAACATTAACTCCAACTCTGAAAAAAGTCCATATCAACACACTAACTCTACAGTCTTTTCTATGTGGAGGTTAGTGAGTAACTGAGTAAATCTCCTCTGCAGGTGGACAAAGTCAGCTAGTTCCACATTAATTCACCACCTCACCAAAACCTTCAAATAACAGGCCTGCACTGCTGTTATTGTCACAGAGACATTTCATTACATCTCTGCTCACTGGGGGAAGTTTTATTTACTTCGTTTCATGTCCACATACTCTGTTTCTGCTGACTAATGAGCTCATCCACAGGGAGCGCTCTTGTTTAGGTGCTTTACTCCCAGGATTCACTTTAATTCCTCCCAATAAACCGACCTCTTCGCCTCTTAACCTTGAAATTGTTCTTTCAGAAATAGCAAACAGAAAACAGGGTTTTCACTTTTGCTTCAACTGAGGTCAATTTTAGGAGGTTATTTAGACTGACTTGAGATGTGTGGTGGCTCCTCCCTGTGCGATGGCCATCAGGATGCCACCGTGGTCTCCCCATGTGTAGAAGTGAGGACCTGCCAGAGCCTGGACAACAAAGAGCATCTTTGAGTAAACTATGACCAAAATGCACATAGAAATTTCATTTCACACTTGATTTCATTCTATTAAAATTTAAACCATTCAATAGAAACAAAGAAAAATCTCAAACATGTGAATGAAAAGGAGCAGAAAAAGGAAAACTCTTATAGAGTCTGCCCCTCTTTCATAAGGTATTAATCAACTGAACACATAATAAAAATAAACAAGAGCTGCAGGCCAACAAGCCTTTTTACAGTTCATTATGTCTTATTTTCAAAAACAGCCCACAAAACAAACAGAAAAGACCACGTTAATTCACATTTTTCCACAAAACAAACATAGCAAGACTTAGATTAACATATTTCCCTGTATTTACTCAACATACTGGCTTTGACACTTTTTTTTGAAGATAAAATTTAATTTAGCTTCTTTAGTTTCTTTGTTTAGATAGTTCCATAAACTTACCCCCCTCACTGTAACGCAGCACTCCTTCAGTTTAGTTCTGAATCTTGGCTTTTTAAATATTTCAAATCCTTTAAAATTATAACAACTTTCTCTTTTTTCAACCTGCAACATACTGAAATCTCCTAACTCACTGAATTTCAACCACTGCAATTTAACAAATAATGGGTTTAAAAGATCTCTGTATTTACTTCTACTAAAAATTTTATTCCTCTTTTTTGTAAAAAATACTCAGGACTTCAGGAAATCCTTGTTCTGGGAGCAAAGTTGTATTATTACTTAGTATAGTGGAAAAAAAGACAATTATTTAGTGATATCTAGCAGGCAGAGTCTATATGTAAGGCTCTCTTTCTCATTCCTGCTGTCATCAAACTATGGTGGCCAACAAGGACAAAAAGCTCCTGTTATATATGGTAAGTTTGATTCTTCTTTCACTACATGATTTCTTGTATTCTTGCAGATTTTCATTATGTTTCTTACTCTGAGCTTTATTTACTTTACAGGTCCAGATAAATGACTTCTGTCTAAATGTAACAAGCAAAACCAGTTGAGAAAAATTTACTTATTTCAATGTGTTTAGCACTCAATTACCTTGTATTGGGAAGTGCTGTATAAACTAAGTCTATTCTCTGCCTTCATCAATCTGAATCAAGTATATAACCCAGCAAGGCGATTCTTCAGGGGGGACTAAAGTTATTGTGAAAGCATGATAAATGAAACAGTAAAATTTAAAGTGCAGAATTTTAACTATTAGAATAAACTGCTTCAACTACTTCGTTAGGAAGAAAGCAGCTGCCTATGCTAACGGGGAATGAAAATTTACCTTTTTACCATAATGTTAAAATTCATGACCATCTCTCTGAATCAAACATGAATTAATCAGGTATAACTGCACAGAAAACTTGGAGTTCAGGCCAATAACAGACTGAGCAGTTTGGCTTTTTTTTTTTTAAAGCATATTTCAAGAAATAAAGGAAAGGTCCGCCCCAGCAAAATTAAAGATTAGGTTATAAGGTTAAGGTTAGCAGAATGAAATAATTAGCAGCATGTTAAAAAAAACTCTATTTGACTGATGGACTACTTGTGACTCAGTTTTACAAACTGTGTTTTTCTCTTTAGCTGCCTCAGATTTTGTACTGACCTCCTTCCAGCGGGCTCCAGCGCTGCTGGATACGTACACATTCTGCTTGTTGGCCAAGTTCCTGCCTACAGATCCTGCAATCAGAGGACAGAGAGGCATTTAACACACAGATGGGCACACACACACACACACACACACACACACACACACACACACACACACACACATACACACATACACACATACACACATACACACGAATATAACAGGGGTTTTCCCTCAGTAGTACAAACTCGGGGCTAACACACTTTTGGCTTTACAAGTGGAAAACCTGTAACCCAAGAACTCGAACCAGAGCGTGCTGTTTCTTTTTATTCATGTGACCTTTTCGTGCACTTCTAAATACTTCTCTTTGTCAGTGTGATGTATAAGAAGGAAAATCACCCAGAATGCTCTGCTCCAGCAAAAAAATATGGATTTAAAAATACCAGCCCTGAATTAAACGGAAATAGGAGCCAGTGGTCATACTGGTCAACTTTTAGATGATTTATTAATTAGCGTCAAAAGTCTGTTTATAATGTTCAGCGATCATAGTTGCATTTGGTTGAGTAAACCCAGTGTTAAAGAGTTTTGCAGCACTGTTCAGATCTCACAAATCTTATTTTGTAAGGATGACAGAGTTAACAGATGGTATGAATGATACCAGATGTTGTAACTCTTGCGACATTTTAGATCCGATAACTAAAGTTGTTGCAAATCATTTCATGAAGGACAAGAATTTCTAAACTTTGTGTTGTGGAAATACTTTCAGTAGATGCTCAAATGTTTTGCTGAAGAAATAAATATTATCATTAGTGGACTGACCACAGAAAAGGTCTTTATTTAAATGCCACAATCTGAACCTAAATGCTGCAAAGCAGCTGGACATGGTAGCTGCAAACATCTTCACATTTCTGCAGAAGTCTTACTGTCATCAGTCTGTAACCCTGCAGTGAGGACAACTCCAACATACCAGTAACTCCTGAATAATTACTCTTACTAAAATAATCATTCTGCATTGTGTGGGAACAAAAATGATTATGCAACGCTGAGATGACATGTCATGTGAGTGCTTCCTGAGGCCCTAGGCACACAACCGTGTGTATTTACCTTAGATGCACTTCAAGTGTTTGAACAATTACTAGTAAGACCAAACTTATTAACGGTTTAGTAAATTAAGAAGAAAGTGTTGCAGAATCAGATCTGTTCATTTGATCAAATGTGAGAGATAAATTGAATAGAATTAAGGATGATGAGGGATTTTGAGTCACCTCAGATGAACAGGACAGGACATGATTTTCATTTCAGTATGCACATTAACAGACCGGGTGGTTTAGACCATCAGGGACAGCAGCGAAATTCATGCGCATCTCACATCTGTCTTACACAGAAATTCCATGTAAAGTTAGACTTCCTGAATATTTGATCCTGATGACTTCGATAAACAGAGGAAAATTTAGAAAGAGACAGTTTTTGGCCTTAATATGGATAAAAACTGATGGGAGAGACCAAAAGCAGCATCCTGCACAGCCAACACGTAAGTAGGATGGATAACCCAGAGAATTATATAGATTTTTATTATTATTGTTGTTATTATTATTAAAATTGAACAGAATTTTAACAGAACGTGGCTTGGGACTGGTAAAAAAAGGGGAAATATTATTAATACACGTACACAAAATTAAGTTTTAAAAGTAAAAAATAGCCAATCATATTCAGAAATCAGGATGATAGGCCTACTAGGAGTGAGCAATCATATTTTAGGAGGCCCTCACCCCTCTGGATCAGCCCCTGGCCCAGCCTGAGAGTTCAAAGCTGGATGGTTAAATAAAATCTCTGGTTTTTAACAAAGATTCAGATCAGCGAAAGTCTACAAGATAATGTTTTCATGTTCACACACTGTGCCAAGACCCTGAACATGGTGCTAACATAAAAACAACAAAATGCCTTTCCCCTGCAGTCAATAAAAAAACAATTACATTTATCAGATGGATTTTCACCGCCAGCAGTGTCTACCTGAGGAGCAGACGGACACCCGCTGACATCTGCAGACGTCGATCATCTTAATCAAATTTGTCAGGGTGAGCGAGTTAGAGAGGCAGAGACTGAAATAACAGGAACATGGGCGCTGTGTGTCTGCTGAGACTGTAAAATGCCTGTGAAATGAATTATGCTCAGTCTCTGTGTAAAACAGGGTAATGACCCTCATTAAATATCATCAGACAGCCAGAGGGAGGCTTGAGATGATAAAACAAACGCTCCACAGGGGGCTCTCTGCCATTGTGATGATAACAAAGCAGAAAGAATACAGTTGTAGACACTTAAAATGTGTTTAACAGAGCACCTCTATTCAAAGACTGACTGTAAAAGCACCCCCTAGTGGCTGGCTATGGTATAGACAATGACGACTATCTCCTCCATGTAAACAGATGGGACATGTGACAAACTTTAAAAATCAAAATACCCATTAAACACATTTTTCCAAACACGATCTCTGTCATTATATTTTGTTTGATGTTGGTTTATGTTTTTTTATATGAACAATATCATGATTGACAGCTCGGTAAACAAATAGGGCTCCCAGTGTCTAGCTGTATTTATTGACTAACTTGTTGATTCTTTATGTGACTAAATATATTGACAGTTGATTGAGTATCCAGTCATTGATTATTAAGAAAGTACTCTAGCATTTTCTATCAGGTCGAGGTGAAAACATGATCTCATGCAACACTCAGCTGCAGCTTTGCTGAGGTCTCTGCAAGATCCTTTTTTTTGTTGTTTTTTTGGTGGACTCTCAAATCTGGCACACATCTAAATGTCAGTGCCTCCTGAGCGTCCATTCTGCTGCTGGTCTGAGTGTGACCCAGTTGCCTTTCCAGCTGACACTTGACCTTGCTAACAGGTCTTCCTCGGACCAACACATGTATTTGTTCTGCCGTGGACTGGACTGACCTCAGGAATCTCTGACATTTTATCTGCTTGTTAAATGTCAGCTTAGGTCAACAGAGGAGGCGTGACGTCAACCCTGCGGCCTCACTGGTCAGATAACTTCTGTATATGCTGTCGCCTCCTTATGTTTGCTCCCACTGAGGAAGTATTTTTGCTTCAGTTCTTACAATGGAGGAAGATGGAGATCAGCTATCCAAATGGGAATACAGCCAAGGATTTTAGGCAGGAAATTCTACCAAAAAAACGCACATCCCTGAGGTTTTTAAAGCAGCTGCAAACTTGATTATTTTGTTTATTTTGCAGGTTTGAGGTTTTCAGTCTCATTGTTGCATGTTTGTATGTTTTCCAGGTTGTGCTTTAAATGTTAAATTTGGTGCATTATGGTGTATTTTTCATATCCAAGTCTTTCAGGGATCAAATTCTCACTCCTGCTGTATTTTTTATACCTTCATAACCAATGATGACGGTGAGTTTGACCCATCAGAGCTGCACAATACACTGTGTTAAAATATAAACTCACAGTATTTCTTTGTCTTCATGCAGCATATGTAGGACACTTATATGATAATCTTATCTGACATATTGGTGGGGACGAGGGGAGGGATATGCGGGCAGTTTATTCAGACTGTTGTTTACATAAACATGTCAGTGCAGTGACTGTGGGTGTAAGTGTTGGTGTGTGTGACAGCCTGTATTCATGAGTGTGTGTGTTTGACCCATCGAGTGCCCGCTGGGTGCAGCAGCAGTAATTAGCCCATCTGTTTGAGAGCGATAACGAAGCAAATGGCGCCGGCGACTGGCAGTCCTCACTCTCCCTCTCTCTCTCTTTCTTTCTATCTCTCACTCTCTCGCTCTCTCTCCTTGCCCATTATCTAATAAGAAATTAATTACAGGGACTTGCTGGATGCAGGGAAAGCAGTCTCCTAGACGCTGAGGAGTATCAGCAGATCAATGCTTTCACTGGCTGTAAATGTGCAGAAACCTGAGGCAGGGACTCAACTTTGGCAGGCAGCAGACTGTTTCCACTTCACTCTGAGCAAAATGAATCTATCTGCAGCAAGTCCAGAAAGTTCACCTGTTGATTTTCAACAGGATGTCAAACAGACAAACTAAACCAGAAGTTTCTCTCACCTCTCTCAGCAGGGTTCAAATATATTTCCTGTGTTAAGTGGTAAAGGAAGTATATATTTAATGTAAGAGATAGAAAGGAAGCTCAGCTCATTACCACAGAGGCAGACTTGAAACTTTGCATTGCTTGTTTCCTGTGTGGAGCAAACTTATCTGCATTATCAGAAAAACAAGGAAGTTGCTCAGAAAACAAGACAAGCTCGCCTGGCTTCAGCTCTGACTGTGAGATCATCCTCCAACAGATGGTACCCGTTTCCCCTTCATCTGCCGTGACTAAGAGAAACTCAAGCAGCCCTGCCAAAACGTTGAAATGTTTGGATAAAAAAGGACTTTTTTTCTTTGTTTCAGAGTTGTCTTTAAGCACAGAGTAGTGAAGGAACAGGATAAAACTGATGGAGGATGGTACAATGGAAGGTTGGACAGGTAGAAGATGCCATCTGTGATGCAAAGCTCTGAAACTGATTTGGTCTAAAATGAAAATTATTATTTTGATTGTAACCCGTTTTGAGGTTAAACAGAGTTTGTGAAACGTGCTGCTCACTTCTCCACCTCGAACACATACATGCAGAGTTTTGAACAGTCACAATAAAGGCCAAGTGAGGAGTTTTAAACAAGGTGAGAAACAGACTGGAACTTGGTGCTTCTTTATGACCTTCAACAGCAGATGAAACTACCAGCAACAAAGATGATCATGTCTCTGTTTGTATTTTCAGTGCTTGAAACCACTGTGAGGGTGATTTGCAGCTGAAGAAATAGTCGGACTGAGCGACACATATCATTTTTGAAAGACAACATGGTGAGGATTTTGTCTGAGATAACCTCTATCGCATGTTGAAGACAAGAGATAACTTTGATAAAAGGCTGCACAGTTATATTTGTGTCTCTTTCCCATGCAATAATGAGATATTTCTGCACAAAAACATGTTTTTTTGCAAAAACTTAAAATTATATTTTGTGTAAAAATCAGAATCAGTCATGTGCTCAATCAATATTTTTGTGCGAGCTATTACGTAGATAAACAGGCATAAATAACATCTTCTCAAAACAAAGTTTGTTAGTCGGCTCTGCCACAGAGGTTAAGTTAACACATACAGTAACCTTCTTACCATGCCGGGCTGGATAACAGGACATGGCAAACTCGCTGTTATTATGTAATGCTTCAGGTCCCGTGAGTCTTTTCTAAACTTGGATGTATCCCTTGTGATTTTTTTGCACAGAAAAGTCAAACTATTCACAAAACACTGCAGAAATCCAATCAAGTCTGGACGGTGACCTCAAACCACTCCACCTCAGTGTGGACATTAATCTTTTTTTGACTGCGTTGACTCTGCAGTTCTCTCTATCACCAGTTGTTACAAAAATGAGGAAGAACTGAAGGATTTTAAGGTTAAAACAGGTTTCTATGCGTCTGTGACATGGCTCTCACCTGTGGCCATGATGAGTCCCGGTGCAGAGTCTTTGGATAAGATGGGCATCCTCCTCAGCTGGATGTTGAACAGCTGGCTCCAACGCTGCGCCAGGTGCAGCGAGCAACCTTTACTGAGCTGAGGCAGGGAGAGGAGAGTCATGTGATGTTGTGAGAGGTCAATTTCACTTTTCTTTCTCCTTCATCATCATGTTGCTTTGTGAAGATAACTTAAGACAACAGAGACAAGAGACTCAAGAAAAGAAATGTACAAGTGTAATTTAGTCCAAAGTTTTTTTTTTCCTGTTCCATGACACTGATACTCTGAAGTCTGTGAATTCACGAAGGCCAGACATTTAAATACATGGAGTACTAAATAAAAACTTCACAGCTATCAAATATAGTCTGAGTACCTGACAGTCCAGAGTTCCTCCCAGACTGTCGGCAGCAGGTGGTTGCAGCAGCTCCCATGTCCCTCCTTTGTCAAATGTAATGACGGATCTCATGTTGTCTTCGCTCACCGTGCCGTTAATGAGGGTGGCGATGAAGACTCCTCGCAGCCCCTCAACACGATGAAGGTCTGCAAAGGGCTCATTGGCAAAGTACCTAAAATACAAAGAGGGTACATTATCTAGGGTGACCATACGTCCTTTTTTACCTGGATATGTCCTCTATTTGGGGGGCTGTCTAGGGGAGTTAATAAAATCCTTCAAATCTCCAGGGTTTTGTATGGAAGTTTTGGGTTTGTGTTGCGTGGACTTACTCAGTTAGAAGTGCGTAAAAATACTTTATCCAACCCGAAAAACTCTCAAAATTATCTACACGCAATTCCGTGACTCTACCCTGCATAGTCGTGTCCTCTTTTTGGGAATTCAGAATATGGTCACCCTAACAATGTCAATGCAGTAGACTTTTTTCCTTCTGTGCATCAGTATATGGATCAACAGAAGGGCCACATGATAAGTTTTCTACTAATCAAGACCTCCAAAGTGCACCCTTGCACTTAACAATAAGCTTTGTGTTTGCAGGGTTAGCGGCATGGAGATCCACGGCTAATTCCACTGAGAGAAGACACAGTGCGACACGAGCAGACAGAATCATCTCTGGCAGACAAACACCTGAGTCAACAGTGTGACTCCTCCTGCCACAACAACAACACAGCGTCTTCCTGATGTGATTACAGAGGAGACAGAGCAGAAAAACAATGAATACAGAGCGGGGAGGTCAGAGCAGCCTACAGTATCACATCCATCCAGATTATCTGTTATTAGATAAAGGAGCTGCACTGATCAATGTTTACAAAGCTGTTGTGTTATCAGAGTCATCAGGTATTTGTAATGAGAACCAGACATCTTCTTAATGGCTCCTAAAGCTGCTGGGAAACTGTTTCATTAGTATCAACTCAGAGGAACAGATTGCATTAGTTTCTTGAAGGCAAACACTTGGTTCGGCTTTTTAATCAAAGATGTTTGTTGTCTTTGATATTTTTCATGATTCAACAATAAAACTGGTAAAAATCTCCATCTTTCTTTGTCTAAGCCATCTTTTGTTTACACTGATATCAGGGAGTCCTCCTGTGAAATGAAAATGTCGATTCATCGAATCTCTCTGAGGATGCTTTTGCACAATGCACATGTTCTTAAATCCTGAAAGACTTCACGTTTTGAGGTCGAGCTTCATGCATGTGTGAACACAAACAGCTGAACTTTTACTGCCAGCCCTCTAGTGACATTTCTGCAGGAAGTCAAAAGTGAGGAAAATTCACCACACACATGCAGTGATGATGTTCACCACAAGCAGCTCGTGCACAAGGGTGCAACATTGATGCACAACTGTGTGGACGTGATAAAAGCTGTTTTGTTGCAAGTATCTGCTATCAACTTGTTTTCTGATTCTATGAACAAATTTGTTTTCTATTTGTGAAAGTAGAGCTGGGCGATATGGGAAAAAGTTCATCATGATATGTTTTTTCAAATCAATTGATTTCAATGTAAATCACGATATAAAAAAATTGAAATTTAACAGTGTTTATTAGAAGCATGTCTTTTGTAATACAATAAGCTACTGCATCTGTGAGGTCTTTGTGTCTCTTGGACGTTTTGTCGTAAGCTGTTGTGCTAGAGAAAGCAAACTGAATGGTCGGCTGTTTCAGCTGCACAGGTGCCATGGGTTCCTTGCTTCGCTCGGGGTTTGTAACCTTTTGCATTGTGCATGTTCTGCTGCGTGGCACTGCTTTGAGGTATTCCCTGACTTCGTGAGAACATGTTCTTGACATTATTTGCAGAGCTCACGACTTTGCTTCATGTACAACCTCAAAAAAACAAAATACCTCCACACCACCGATGTTTCCTGCCAGTCTTGTCGACGATGTCGTAATCTGTTAAGCCTTCATCTAAATTTCTGCCTGAGGTAGCACTCATTTTCATTTTTTCTCACCAACAGCGCTGTCGGCTTCATGTGTTAAAGTGCTATGGTTGCATGTAGCTGCAGCCTGCTACTACACAGTTGTTTGCTACTTGGTTCTAATTCAGCACATGATTGGTTCAGTGGAGAAACTCCCCTTTTAATTGGCTCTTCATATACAAAACATGTCAGAATGCCGACTATTGAAAAGCATACTGACCATGTTTTGAGTCGATATCGAGGGGAATTAGTTTCGATATATACCATTATCGTTTTAATGCCCAACCCTAGGTAAAAAGAAAAAGAAAATCTGTCAAAGAAACAGACTCTGCTTCGCCTCATATCTAGAATATCCAATCTAATACCATAAACCCTCAACTAAAGACCGTTATTTAATCTGCTGCAGGGATCTTAATAATAACCGAGATCACGAGCTTGATGAGTGATTAGGCCAGCTTTCAATTAATTCATACATCTGATAGGAATATGGAAATGTGGAAAACTACTAAGCAGTGAGTTCACAACGATCTTGTATAATGAGGCTATAACCCCATCTGATTAGAGTGAACCACATCTGTGAGCTGGTCCATGAGTGCTGGGTGATGACGAAGAGCTTTGATCATAAACTATTTACAGGTTGATACCTGATCCACACACATTCATCCTTACAGTAAACGCTTGTGTTAAACGAATACCTAAGTAAACATGCACATATTGCAAGAGAAACTCATTACTTACAATACCCAAACTGCATTTTTTGGTCTTGAGGAAACAAATGAAACAAAACCAACCAAAGTAAACTGTGAAGCTTAGATCGTATCACACAGGCGCTGCTGTCAAAGAAATCTGATAATCTGGGTCGAGGATTGGAGGAAAACTTGAAAATGTCTGGTATATGTTAAACAAAGGATCTCTGGATCATATTAGCGTTCATGGTCAAGTGTTTGTTTGATCTGGCTCCAATCGTTGGTTTGTACCATTCGAAACTTTTGAAAAGGATTGATTTTTATTTTGTTAAAAAATATCAGGATTATCTTAATCCGGTAAAGTGGTGGTTTCAGGGGATAATTCCAATCAAAAGATTAAAAACACTTAAGTTGTCGAGCAACACATTTGTACCACCAGCAGCCTAAAGTTCAGAAAGGGCTGATGTTTCTGTATTTTTTCTTCATGATACTTTCACTTGACTCCAGATACTTTTTTTAGACTAACCTGACAGGTTTTTGATAGGTGTTAAGATAGCATGCACATGTGTTACCGTATCAGGGTGTTGCTGCCAGAGCCCTCAGGACTGTAGTACAGAACGTTCTCCAAGGACAGAGAGAAGGACAGGCCCTGAGTGTCTGAGATGTACAGGTGTGTGACATTGTTCAGGTGGTTCACACACACAAACACCTGGTCCTCTGAGGCATCAGCTATGTAGTACTCCTATTAGAGAGAGAGGGAGAGACAGAGGAGAGGGGGGATCATTTTTACTTCACTGAAATACAGCGTAACTAGACTCTGGGTACACAGTGATAATACTGGATGTTACAGCTGAAATGTGGACTTGTACTCTGTGGTGAGGTGTGGGTGGTTCTTCCAACAAAACCAAGAAAGTCGAACGTATCAAATATTTTTGGAAGTAAGGATCACACAGTTTTCAAGACATCCTGAGTGTACTGAAATAACCAGGAGGACTGCAACTCTGACTCATCTCTAGCTTGAGAAAAATCAAACCTCCTGAGTCGAACTGGATCATAAAAATCTATCGAATCATTAATAGGATTAGGATGACTCTGGGGTCTGACAGTCCAAAAGAGCCCAGTCTGTCTTATTTTTATGTTGTACTATAGATCCAGCAAAAAATCTCAGAATGATAACTGACCTCTGGGAACACTTATTTTTCTACTGTTTTGAGCAGTTTCTTAACTAACCAATGAAATATACCAGTGACATTTCAATAAAAGAATGACTTAAAAACTTCATCCAATTAAGAACCATCACAAAAAACTTTAGGCTTAAACATTTCTATCACATGTAAAATGCATTTCATCCCTCTGTTTCTAAATCATCAGCTTAGTAGAGTCAGAGTGGAGTGACGGGAAACCTTTATGGCTCTTAAAAGGAGTAATTTCTGAGTGAAATGTCATCTTGTGGGGTCTATGCATTCACAGGAGATGGAGCTGCGTAATAAAAGACAATTTTATCCCATTATAAGAAAAGCAAGAGTCTGAATGACAGCAACCATTTCAGCTTTCTCACTCATGTGTACATTTTACCAGCTGGATCGAGCCTTGACTATAATGACTGTGCTTTCACACCATTCTGAGGCAGCCAGGTGAAGCTAAGCCAGCTATCAGCTACCCTCAGATTAACCAGTGCCAATTTAGTGGTTATAAAAAAAAAACACTTTTTAGATTCATTTTACTTTCGGGAGGACACAGAGGTGCCAACACAGAGGTAAAACAGTAGGAACAGCAGATGGAAGCTGAGTTATAGCTCATAAACAACACAGATGTACGAATCTATCAGCGGAGCATCAGTATCAGCTGATAGATTCTCTGTCAACAGACATCAAACCATCTGCAAATAATGTGCCACACACCGCTGCCAGTAACTGATGTGTGTCTGCTGTTTCACGTCAATTAAAGCTATTAAACCTAACTGCTTCTCAGAGGAGTTTTTTCTGTGCAGAAGAAATCACCTGTTGGATAAAAATGGATTTGTTTTAATGAGATGAGGTGAGGTTAAGATTTGAAGGTGAGGGTGCAGCTCCAACTTAAGCTCTTTAAGGTAAATGTACAGTGTCCAGCATAAGTCAGTTCACCCCCTATGTAAAGTAATGTATTACTCAATATCTAGAGGAGCAAAAGTGTAATTTCCAAAGTTTTGACAAAGTTGAGTTTAACACAAAATTTTATTTACCATAAGATGAAAATAAGGGTGATATGCTAACTAAAATGTAGCTCTGCTTCCAGAACCTTGATTGGGGTGTACTCAGTTTTTTATCCTGATTTTAAATTGAAAAAAATAAAAATTTTTATGCGACTTAAAAAATCTTGCTTACAATCAATGGCTTACAATTGGGGGAGTGTTTTTTTGTATAGTCTGACATAGAAAATGTTGATTTTGAAAAGAAAACTAAAGGTTTTCAGACAACTCTGAAGGGATGTACTCATTTAAGCTGAGCACTAAGTACATTTAAACACTCAAAACTAGTTCTGGTTCTTTGCTCCAGGAAGTTAAATTTGCCCGGACTTAGAAATTATATGATACTATAGCCGTGTATATATCGCCATTATAATGTGTTTTCTTAAACAGCCCCTAAACATGCACACACTCAGCAGAGATGGTCACTCCTGAATAACTTATCTTGCTGTGTTTTCTTCAGGTCAACTATATTAATGAATCATTACACCTCTGATTAACACTACCTAATTTTGGTTATTCATAGCAACTCATATCATTATAATCAGGCAGTAGGAGAGAGAGATGGGGGCAGAAACGAGGTCTTGTTGCTCTGTTTTGTAACTCCTGACTTGCACTAAAAATGTATTTGTCAACATGGTAGCATCTCCAGACGTTTTCTGTGTCGCACAACCAAAGCCCGCAGCAGCATCTCAGCCGAGGAACTTGTTAAAATGTTTAATATTCTGAGCACCTTATGGTCATGTTATGGCCATTTTCTAAAACATAAGAAATGAGCTGTTACATCAGTTTCTGATCCCTCTGAAACCATACAAGGCAATAAAAACACCATATTAGTAAAGTTGTGTTTATTGTTCCTTATTATATCATCATTTTGTCCCTGAGGTTCTCATACACTCTCTATGTTGAATTATTGCTGTAGAACATGTAAAAAAAAAAAAAAAGAAGACTCACTGTGATTGGATGGCGGGTCATGAACTGTGCTGCTCTCATTGGCTGGCGGTTGTAGGAGACCCAGAGCTGAACAGATGAAGGTTCGTGACTGCCAAAGAGTTTCTGGAGAGAAAGCAGAGACAGAGAGAAAGGACAGGACACTTCAGTCAACCGCTCCTTATTTAAGTCAAAAACTTCAACATTTCACAGGCGGACAACATCGGAATGTTCCCCCACAGCTTTATCTATGAAAATCACTGACACAAATGTTAAATCATTTCATTAATGAACTCCAGGATGATAAGAACTCATGACGCTGAGGAAACAAACATCTGGACAGCGCTGTCCGCAGATTAGGGAGGTTAAAGGGCAGAGACTTCGGTCACACAGACTGTAATAACAATGTTTTTCTATCCTAATATCCCAGCTGTACACAGCCCGACAGCTGAGTCAGAAAACATTAAAAGCCCAGACTTAAAAGGACTTCCAGTGGGGTGCCATAATCAGTACGTGTGTGTGTGTGTGAGAGAGAGAGAGAAGGAGAGTGGCTCAGAGGACACGTCCTCATTGTCATTACGAATGCATTAAAAGTCTTGCTGCTGGAGGGAGCATGGCTCTGATCTTTTATGAATTATAAGTGTGTGCAGACCAGACAAAGTGTGCATATCCAGCATATCTCATGTCCGTGTGTGTGTGGTAGTGAATGCATATGTGTGTGTATGTATGAAAAAGTGTGTAAGGGAGAAATAGAGACAGCCTTTGATCAGATTCCCTGGGATGTACTGAAGATGTTCAGATGAGTGACTCAGATTTTCATTTGGACTGGGACACAAAAACTGCCCACCATACTCGAGCAGAGTTACAGTGATTCAAATGTCGTCTTTTTTCATGTCTTAATAGTTATTGTTGAGTTTATTTTTCCAAAATAACCAAAGCCCTGACAAACGCAATCCCTGGCATCAACATTATTTTACTGACATTTTCTGAGATGCTATTTTGTGTCTTATAATGGGCAGAGTTAGTCTAAGGTATGCCGCTCCTGAAGGAGGACTTTGATCTGAGAGAGCTGATCTCTTTGAACAGAAGTGGACTGAAAACATTGAGGAAGATGCATCAGACTGGAGATGCTTGGACCGATGACTTCTTCTCATGTGACTCATGATATACTGACATATTTTTCAAAATAGGTGTTGTATGTCTGGAACCACTCTTTCTAACCCTTACCAGGACACTCTTGTAAATAAATGTTTCATTTCGAGGAGGACTTCCTGGTTTAAAACTCCTGTGTGAAGTTGTTCACATTTATGAAATAGACTGAAATTCATATTGATGCTTTTTTCTGAGATACTAAAAGGCTGAGATACTGATGTTTGAAATTGATGCGAGGGGGGCAGGTATAACAGCCCTGTATATACAACTTCCATAAAAACATCATAATGACTGATACAAATGACTCACAATAGTCACTATTTAGCATTTAAGAGGCAAGAAAAGCGAGGATTGCTTTGTCCACAGGGGGCGCCAAAACTGACACGACCCCAAAGTTCCTCACAGGAGCTTCAATTAAATTGTAATAACAATTAAGAACATTAACAAATCTATAAATCGATATACATCCAACAAACAGCAGTGTTAAATAACACATTTTGTGATATTAAAGTTCACCACATTTAGCCTCAATAAATAGATATAAAATGCCTGTCGAACAATACTGACTCTGAGTGAGTCTATCAAATAAAAGAGTTCTCATTATGCACCTTCTCCCTCATGGTATCAGTCTGACCTTTTTAAATTCTTTTTTTATAACGTTAAATTGTTTTATAGAATGAAAAAGCTCCATGATTAGAAATTTTACCCCAAGAGATAAAGCTGAATCTAGGCTGTGTCTGATTAGACAGGAATATAACTTTAACCAGAGTAATGGTAGTAACCAGAACAGGTACGTAGACCTGCAAGAAGAACTGAGAGCTGGTGGTTCTAGCTCTGCTAAAGGTAGACACTGCAGACTCTGTGATCCTCTGTTTAGCTGTTTTAAACAAACTGGACTTTGACCATATCAGTGTTTTTCTTACCTTTAGAAAAATGGACATTTCTGCTTGAATAATGAGAAAGAGCTGCTTCAGACCCTCAACACTGTCTTTGTCAAAAATGATATCTAGAGCTCTGCTACCCTAAATCTTAACTCAATCTATGTAGGTCTGTATTGTCCATTCACATTAGACATAGTGTTGTCAACTTTTATTCTGATTGAAATTCACAGAAACAGAGAAAATGTGTTTTTTTTCTCTCTGTGCTTGTCACGGCTCTTTTCTGCCCTCCTAATTACACAGTTTTGCAGCTCCTACACTCTCTCCTCTTTCCATTTCCGTCTCACTCCTCAGCGCTCACCCAGCTGTAAATTTATTTTGTGATGTTGCTCAGTTTTAACATAGAGCCAAGCTGCTTCGTTATTTCACTCTGAATTAATTCAAACCACCCCGTTCGATGCTCCATCCTCCAGAGAGTGAGAGAGAGATAAAAAAGAAGTAGTGAGAAAAAAGCAGTGAAACAAGAGAAGGCCATCGGGGGGTTCAACAGAGAGAAATCAGGAGGAGGAAGCAGGCGGTTAGCGGGCGGGCAGCTTTAGAAAACTGCAAAATAAAGTCAACCGAGGAGGGAGACTGAAATTCAGAGAGCTGAGCTGCACATCCGCTATTTACTGAGTCTTTCGAATTTAATTAATAAAGAGTTTTGAGATTTGCTGCATTCCCTTTCTGAATCTAATTAGATTATGCCCCAATCCTCAGAAAGTTTAGCTTCCCCCAACATCCCCTGAAAATGACAATGTAAGTGTATAGTTGAAACCTTTGTTTAAATACATGTAATGAGGCAAGAGGCATTATTGGTTTTTCGACCCATCTTACACTGAATTATAATAAAGAATAATATTAACTTCGCTCTGTGATTAGACTCTTTTCTAGAGATCATTTTTTAGGTCTTTCCCAGACCTTACTGGAGACGTCAGACCTGATATGCCAGGAATCAATGTGACCATACACCAATGTTATTGTAAATTTAATATGAAAATGAGAGAATTTCAGATTTCTATAAAACTAAACTGTCTGAGTGCCACACGGGTCTGGGTCTTAAGCTTCAAAGTAAAATAGCACATATCATAGCATCTTATTCTTTCAGTGCAGCTCTGCATGACTATATAGAAAACAACAGCAGAAGCAAATCTGTATTTTACATCATTATGTGCAAATCTCATTAGTGCGGCATTGGCTGGGATTATGACTTTTGACTGTTTTATTTTTACGAAATGTTTAATCTCCTTAACCAAAAATATTAGCAATACTATGGGATAGAGCTACAAAAGTTACACATTTTCATGATACAGTCCATTTTACCTTAAAAGAGCCGAACACCAGGAATAAAAACTGTCAAGGAAAAAAACAGTACAATTTACCAGTACTTGGCTATTGTTTGACTCACTCACTGCTTGGTTGCCATCTACAATTTTAATCAATTCATTATCAAACTCTTCCGACAAACAGGAAAAAGGATGTTTTTGAAGACGCAAAACATAGGGGGAACCATGATTGAGCCCTGTGGAACTCCTGTATCAAAGGTGTGGTCAATTTATGCCCAACAGCATGTACAGATTTATTATTATAGGCCATACAGAGGTACATTTACAACAATTATAAATAGGCTTCTGCAGTGTAATGCTTTAGGCAACATTTCATACCTTTTTAATACGTTTCTTAGGCAGGGATTTTTTGTTGCTACTTTTTATCCTACATTATGCATGTCAACTTTCAAAGTGTACAATTTGGCATAAAGACACACACGAGGTTTGCCAAGGGAAGTAATTTTCCGAGCCAACATTTCAGTTTGTGTTGATTTTATGAAAAGTAACCCTGAATGTTCTTTGTGTCTCTCTGGTATAACCAAGCATTGAGGACATTTTTAACCAAGTATATTATACCAATAATTTTACTACAGTATGAACAATATAGAGTAACTGCTCTCATCCTCACATACTGATACTTTTACAAATCTTGAGTCTGTTGGTGCGTACATGGGTCTGCGTGTCCCTTGGTAAGATTTGTTTCCATCCTTGAGTGGCTGAGCATCCCCCGTCTCCAGCAGAGCATTTCAGCCTTTACCATTCACTCTATCGATTTATCTAGCACAGTGCCAACATGGAGTGGAGTGTGATGTGAAAGCAAAGCAGCAGAAACACTGAGACAAAAGGAAAAGAGCAGACAGAGGGACTAATGGAGGAAAAACAAAGACACAAACAAAAGGGTAGCAACACTCTAATTTAATAGTCTCTGTTACTGTTGGAAATGATGCAAAACACAAGGAAACATGTAGTCAGATAAAGAAGTAGCTAGTTTGGAGAAGAAGTTCCAAAAGAGCATTATTATAACAGCAACTACCAAAAAAAAAAAAAAGAAAGAAAAAAAGGTGAGTACCAATCGTGGGTTTGGAGCCGAGTCTGGTTTTACTCCTATGCAATCAAGGTTTTAAGCTCAGTTTACTTTATGAGTCAAGGGGAAAAATGAAAAGGAATATGGCTTCACCACGTCTTCACACATATAAGTGGTACAGCAATTTAATATTTTTCCACCAAAACCACAGATTGCTCTACAGATGCACACTCAGTGAGCCAGGCATTCCTCACTGTGCTCATGTTCGCTCAAACTGATCCTCTCTGAACTCTTAAATCCTTGAGCAGAAATGAGGTTGTCAGGCCTGGGATCAACTCTGCCTGGGTGGCAAACACATTCAATTACAAGAGATTTCAAAAGAATGCAGTGTTGTTTTTATGATAGGAGTGAACAATGCAATATGTAGTCAGGGAAAAAACTGAAAGGCAACTGAGACAAAACAAATACTTAATTTTGTTCCGCTGAAAACTGTCGCCACTGAATGATGCTAATAATCAGCACTTACATAAAGCTCGAAAAAGAACAGAAAGAACAAATACTCCTTCCAGTCAGATTAAATTTGTTAGAGTACAGTGTGGATATCCTCAGAGTCACACTTTTTTTTTAATAAGCTTTGAACCTTTCAGATTGGTTACTGGAGTTCCACAAGGCTCAATCTTGGGTCCCTTTTTGTTCTGCTTCCACAAAAGGGATCCTCAGTCCTGTTTTAGGCCTTAATTAACAGGGATCTGGTTATGCTGGACTCTGACTGTAACATGGCCGCTGCAGCCTTTCTTGGGCGGTCAAGTTGGTAGATGGGCACCTGAATCTGCAGAAGCCTGCGATAAATTTACGTGAGATACAATTTTCTAACCTTTCAGAGCACAGCAGATTTAAGTCCCACCCAAGCCTTTTTTTTTTTTACAACTTCAAGTGATCTCAGCGGTCTTTAAATGTGATTAGGACATTTTTAGCCAAAATCACGGTACCTGTGTCATTTTCAAGGGCTTTTTTTCTGCAGAGTTCCAGTGGCTCATTAGCAATTCACCTCTGAGTCGTGGGCAGAGACAGTGCTGCTCTGCACACTTCTCTTCACGCTAGCTTGTAGCCTAACATTGCCAGTGTAGTAGAAGTGGCAGGTAACAAAGGTGCTATTCAGCTCTCGGACACTATTGTCTTTGGGGACATGATGAAAGTTAATATCATAATAAGCTTTCTTACGAGCATTGCAATCTGCTAACGCACACGCTTGTTCCGTGGGGGCGGAGCTTGGAGTGGTTACGTATGAAATCTTTCTGTTTCTGATCCTGCTGTTTGGGTCTGCCAGAGATTCACAGCGTTTTGAATGAAGAAATACTCGGAAAAGCAATTTCAAATTTCGTTTTCTCACGATATGTCCTGTAGCATCAGAAAAATGCCATATGAACGTATAAAAAACAAGAAAAACATAATTTTCATAGAAGTGGGTCTTTAAGATCTATTGCTTTCTTTTTCTGTTGATATTTTTACGTGTTTTAAGTATGTTGAACACATGATGGTTAACAGAGCTATCATGGAGGTCACAGCACTATCTAAAGCCAATATAAGTTGCCAGTTGCTAAAGGAAAAACAGGCCAATTTCTCTACCCACACAATCTGCCATTCCAGACAAATAAGCGTTTGTGCTTAAAGATTTCTATGAACCTTAATATTTCCCTGTAACTCAAAAGCCGAACAGTAAGAGCTCTACGCCCACACTGTAAACAGCTGCAAGGTGACATTTGTTAATGACTGGCCCAGAGGAGGAGCGCATGTTCGCAGCTGCTTTTTTTCCGACGGGCTGACATTTTATTATTCGGAGAGGTAGCTGCACTGACACCAAAACAAGCTGGACATGTCATAGGCCAAATCCTCTGGGGGGAAAAGTGCCTTCTGTTGTTCAGTTGAGCCCTCCCAGACCTTTATGTGGCTCACAGTTTATGCAACGAGGTTTCCAGTCTGCTCTGTGCCAGCCTCTATCTCAGGGATCATCTGTTACATATTCATGACCTACTCACTGGCCTCATGCACCTCAGGCAATATTGTTATTCAGATGGGTTTGTATTACAGCATAAAGGCAACATCTTTCCTTTCAGATCTGTGTTCAAGAGGGTCGCAAATAAAAAAACCTGATCTACAAAAGTGCCGAAGTGTTCTGACTTTTGGTATGTGTGCATGTGGGTCCTTGAAAAGTATCAACAGTTTCCTTCTGAACCACCACACCGGATGTTTTCTACTTCAGAAGTTAGAGACCAAAACTCAAATATGAAGCTCAGAGTGTGGTTGTAAATTTTCAGGATTAATGGATCAAGATATTGGACAGCATATGTTTGTCTTCCCCTTTTTCCTGTCCAGCCTTCACAGCCCTGCTGCTCAGGTTTTGACGATGGATTAGAGGGCTACAGGGACACACAGAGACACACAGAGACTCAACTTTAACTGGATAAAAGTCAGAAAACTACTCAAGGATGTACAGTATGTTCATGTAGTAAGCTGCTCCCTCTCAAATCAAAAGTCAAAGTAGATCATCCATAAGAGACCAGTCTCCCTCTCTGTCATTAATATAAACTAATGATCCATCAAGATCAGCAAAGAGAGGAGATGTTCCTTCACTGAACCAGAATGATAGACCTCTGAAACAATGTATACTTCTTCACCGTACACCACCATATGCCTGGTGGGTGAAAAAAAAACTATCTTGCTACTGAAAAATTTCACAAAAGTTAACTCTTTAAAAGTGTGTTACTGAATAAAGAATAATTCATATAAAGGGTTTTGAATTCTACAATTCAGAGCCAAATTGAACTCCTGACATTGCTCCAGAGACAGACATTGAGTGGGTGCCAGTCAGGGCGCTTGTGTCAAGGATTAAGCCAAAGAAAAACTGTTTAATTTTGTTTTATTATGCCTAGCTTTTTGAAACAACTTCATTCTAGTTCTAGCCGGTTATTGCCTATTTGTAAAGCCTTGTTTTGATGTTTTTTGTTGATTTGCTGAAGATCCAGAGTCCAAAGAAAACGTGTGTTGTTTCAGGACATTTCAGACAGTTGCTCAAACTGAAACTGAAGGTGTCTGGAGTAAATTGAACTATTACTTTCCCTCCCCACGAAAGAGCTGCAATATCAACTTTCAATGTCAGAACATGAAGCTTGTAACAACCGCTTACATCTCTCGGGAATTTCCTGTGAAATACCCAAACAGAGGAGAGGACACTGCCGGGAATTCTTCTCTGTCTGAAGGACCAAACTGATTTCTTAAGCAACTGCATGTAAACAAAACTTCAGAGTCCACTTTAAAGTATGCGATGGGAGGAATCATTCCTCCTCCAATACTCACTTCCTGTTTTTTTTTTCTGTCCGTCTCAGAACTTGTTTGCAGAGAATCTGTGATCTAAATGAGAGAAAATATGGCTGACTGATTACTGTGAAGAGGAGGGATGGGTCTTATCAACACCTCTATTACATCTACTCAGCCACTTATCTTCCCCGGGTCTCTGTGTGTGGGAGAAAGGCCGGGGTCTTTGAGGTCTGATTAACACTCTTTTCCTAAGGATCCCTGTAGTTAGATAAAACTCTCCATTTCTGGCTCTTTAATTAGCTTAAGCAGCTTGGTGCAGCTAAAAGCACTTGTGATATTCCATTCTTCTAATCCCATTAGTGCGAGTGCAAAGACAGATGAGTGGAGAGAGTAACTGAGACTCCACAAGAAGAACTGTTCTATTTAAAGCTAATGAACACAGCAGAGTTTAGAGATAACTCTGCTAGCTGAGGATACTGGCATGCAGAGAGAGGGGAATAGAGATGATGCTTTGTGACAGGTCGGTCTGTATCTGTTTCATCCCTCTCACTGCATGATCATTTCTGCAGGCTGTGTCTGAGCTGAGGACTGGACTCGACTGGTCTGTCTGGCTAGTCTCATCAGCTCTGGGGGTCAGACTTAGAGCTAAGGCTGCAGGGAGGTCACAAATAGGCTGACTGTGAGAACCCACCACTGAGAAGCTTTTTGTATTCGAGAAAATGTTCTGCCATACTTTATATTTCTCTCTCTGTCACTTAATAAGATAAGAAAGCTCTTATTAGAGGAAGGCAGCATAAGATGAAACTAAACATATTAAAGGGATATTCCAGCGTAAAATTAATTTTGGGTCAAACACTCTTTAACACCGAGTTAGACACCCCCTTGAGAGATGAATGTTGCAAACCGCTTGCTTCTCTAGTTATACTAACTTTAGTAACGACTGAAGGATAGCAATACACAGCGGTCTGAGGAGCCATAAACAAACCTGAACCAAAACGCCACTCTATAGTCACAAATAATGCTCAGAACAGCACCTAACTTCATCAACAGTACATATAGGGTCCCAGCCAAAGTACTAGTCACTAAACATCTTTTTAACTTTGCCTAATTTCTTTAGTAAAGACACTAAACACAACTCACCTACTCACTTCCAGCAGCCGCTTGTTTGTAGAGACCTCGGGACCGTCCATTACGGACTGCTGTGAGGTGATGCAGCTCAAGGAAGAACATTTATGATCATTTCTTCATTGAAACGCAATCAGACCGAGACGCTAAGGCAGAAGAACTACCGCGTCTGCAGTGCAAAATGATTAATATGATGATTATTGCTTTAAGGAAGTGATAAAGAAATGATCATAAATGTTCTTCCCTGAGCTGCATCACCCCACAGCAGTCCTTAACCGACAGGCCTGAGGTCTCACTACAAACAAGCGGCTGCTAGAAGAGAGTAGGTGAGTTGTGTTTAGTCTCTTTAGAAATTGGGCAAAGTTAAAAAGATGTTTGGTGGCTAGTGCTATGGCTGGGACCCTATACTGTTGATGAAGTTAGGTGCTGTTCTGAGCATTATTTGTGGCAATAGAGTGGCTTTCTGGTTGAGGTTTGTTTATGGCTCCTCAGACCGCTGTGTATTGCTATTAATTAATTTTCCGTCGGAATATACCTTTAAAGTAAAATAAAATAAAATCCTGCATGTGTGAGAATGAAATGGGATCAGTAAAAGCTCTAATTATGGAAAAGTGCTGGTGGGACATATTGGGGCTGGGGACAAAAACTCTGCGTGGGCATATGTGTTGGAGGACTTCCTTGTGTAATAACTTTGCTGGAAACCAGGCCAGTCTCTGCACAATTATTCCAAACTGTTTGAAAACAAACTACAAAGCAGCAGCAGCACCGAGACAACAGTTAGCAGACACCCATTAATAACCGTGTCTTATCTTTCTGTCGCTAATTCAGCTTCTCTGAGCTGTTCAGTCAACAGAAAACTCTTGAAGCTTGTCTGGGTATCAGTGATGTTTAGCGTTTTCCCTCGACTGCCTTCATCTCATGCAGCAGCACTGATAGATTGCTCTGGAAATGACCCTCTCTGAGGAAATACTACAGAAAGAAATTCTAAGCAAAGCGGCCAAAAGTTGGCACTTTAACTCTGAACTCTTGTGTTCACAGCCTTTCTGACATTTTCATGTCAGAGAGCCCCTGATGGATCAGTTTTAGGTCGCACACTAATCTGAAAAGGTTTTGTTTTGTTTTGTTTGATATGATTCAGCACAGCAGTACTTTCTGTTCTGAAAGTAAAGCAAAACTTAGACTGAGGGAATAGTTGGGCTTTTTTAGAAGTTTTCTTCAGGGCATTTACATTGATTTCAGAACAAGACAAGTTGGAAAATACAGATAAAACAAGATGAAATGTAACCTGTTACACCAGCTCAGGATAATCTCCTAAAAAAGATTGTAAAGTCCCCTGAAAACCACACGTTAAGACTTGTTATTCTTTTACTGAGGCTGTTTAAATGCTTAGGCTGCTCTAAACTGATACAAGCGTAATCTCAGCTACTCTACTTACTTTAGTTCAGCAGAAGAAAAACGGGGTCTTAACTGTTGCTAAAAGTGCTTAATTTCCCCCAATAAACCATTTTAAGGCCAAAAATTTACACTAAACTGAGAGAGAATAAAGAACAGGTTACCTTCAATTTAAAATTATATAGATGCGTGGAATTAAAGCTACTGTAAGGAGCTTTTTGAATGAGTAAGAAACAGGCTCTTCCAAGGCTATTAGTCAAAGTCAAAGACATGTTTCAGTTTTAGATGATTACATGATGTGTCTTTGGTCTGAAAACTACTTTGACATACAGACCAGGAAAAAAAGGCATCACTTTGTCCACACGGGGAACTTAACAGAAAGTTCCCAACAGCTTGTTTATTGGATGAAAATTATTACATTATCTTATTTTACAGCCAGAAAAGAAAACTGTCATCAAGACACAAAACAAGCATACTTACTAATAAACCAATGTAAGTGCCAAAGTGTTAATGCCAAAAACTGCAACATTTGTGATCTTAATCTTGCCAGCCCTATTATTCTGTATCACCTATGCACAACAGCCAACAACGGTTTAGGACACCCCTGCTCCTCAATGCAAAAACAGTTGTTCTCCTCAAAGCTCCTGTGAGGGACTTTCAGTCTGGCGCCCCCTGTGGACAAAGCAGTCTTTGCCTATTTGGTCCCCTACATGATGAAATAATATGTCCTGACAAATAATATCATTATTCTGACTTATGACAATTAAATGGGTCACTTTTCGTGAAGACTGCGTGTGAAAAGTGGAGAAGACAAGGCAAAAAAGAAGCTTCAAAACAATCCAAAGCAGAAACGTTTGGGTTGTTTTTTGAAGCAGATCCTAATAGTTTTCTGAATGTAATGACGCCCTTTCTTCCCAAGGGTTGAATAAACTAGCTCTACTTTAGTTCTTCCTGCACAGGAACTGCTAACATTTCTAAGATTATTTCAGAACAGCCAGGTCCAGGCATTTTCCTGGATAGGTTAGCATCTCACAGCAGAAACCAACCATGTCAGACATAGTCTATCAGCTGTAAATGCTCTGTTTGGGTGAAGGGGAATCCTAAAAGTCCTGACTGTGAATGTTCCTGTGTTCTATTCCTACAGTGTGGACAAGAATGTGTCTGTTATACCGGCAAGACAGAGGAAAATATTCCACTGACAGCGTAGAGAGGCAGTACGCTGTACAAAGTAGAGAAGCTGTGCTCAGTGTGAACATAATCATCACTTTGCTTACTCACTGGCCGCCAATGTTCCAGACTATTACCTGCTGCGTTCACGCACTGACTCACACAGACTTTTTACTTGGGACTTTGAAGGACAAAGCCTGCTCAAAGTCAGGATGAGTGATTCAGCCTTTTATGTTCACACATGTAGGCCCCCAGACAAATTTTCAGGAGTACGGTGCATGCATGAGGAGAGCTTTGGGCTGCAGAGCTGGTTAGCTCGCATTTTAATTCACATTTTGATAGAAAGATGATGCTCTTGAGAAACATGACTCTGTAATGAAAAACACTATGAACCTCTATAAACTGTAACAGAGAGGTTCTGATCAATACTTAGTTGCAGATCAGCGATAGGGACAAGTTGTTCCATTTTCAAAGACGGTCACAGTCTGGTTTGAATAAAGCTCATACTGTTTGTTTCTGAGTTCCTTTCCTTCATTCTCAAAGGGTCCATGAAACCACTCAGCAGCTGTTTGCTTCCAAACACTTTGAGGTTAAACTCTGTATTTTATGGGACCACATAAGTAATTGGAAATGAGGATTTACTCATTAGTTTAAACCACATTAGCCACTGGGATTTATTAAGGCTGCTCTATATTGCTCTGACTTCATTAGCTCTGCGTTAAACACCGCCTGCATGCTGCGTACACAGTAAATTGCACCACATGCAGCTGCACAGATGACAACACACTTAGAGAGTATAAAGATGCATCATTGTCTCTCTCTGTGTAATTTTACTAACAACTTGTTGAGCAGACCGTAGTCGAGCTTTGATGGAATCTTTAATTTAAATTGTGCATTTTTTATGAAGGACTTGGACATCAATCTCTTTACTTCAATGGAAATTCCACACGAAAGCATGAAAGCAGTGTGCACTAAATCACAGAAGTGACTCCACAGAGTGCATTAATAATAGAGGCAGCTTTAATATGTCACATATTGGGCTGTGGGCAGGGTTTTAGAGTCAGCCGGTTCAGCAGTGTGATTGTGATTGTTACCATGTTGGTTATGTGAATCGAGAAGTGACCATATTTGCAAGAGAGGGTGAGGAGAAGCAAGAACCCAGTGAATGCTGTGGCAGAAAAGGTGCTCGAGCCAGAAGGCTAATTTATTGGTTTGTGGATCAGTAAGTTAAAAGTTTTTTTTCCCTCCTGGGTAAGATAAGGGGGCTGACAACAGCTGTATATTTATCAGACTATAAATCCAAGAGAGCCAAGAGAACTTGTTGCTTACATGTCTGGTGGGAGAGCAGTGCTCATTAACAACCTGAATCTGGTTCTGTTTGAGAGATTTATTTTTGGCCCACCTGTGTGTATGGGGCGCACCTACTTCACTAGAGTATCTGCACCCCAATCTGGAACTTTTAATAACTTTTCTTACCTACAATTCTGCCCTTTCCCCTCTAGGAAAGCCGACACCAACCTCAACTCATACGACTGCCGAAATACATCCAAGTATGAAAACTGAACGAGCCAGAAAATACACTTGGTGTGGTGAGTTTGGGAACAGGTACTTTCTTATTACAGTCAACATTCAAAGAAAACAATACCACTGCTTTGTTGCTCCAAAAACAACTACACGACTAGGCAGAATATCTAGGGGTGTAACGGTATGAAAATGCTATCTTATTGTGTGACCAAAATAATCATGGCTTTAGGTATTATTGTGGTATTTTTGAAAATGTATTCAAAGGCATTGATTATAGCATTTTTGAGGCTTTTAACTTGCACTAAACAATGTCTTGTTTTCATTGTTTCATCTTATTTAGACAGGATTACTGTCTTAAACTAAGTGTTTCCTCAACATTCCTATGAAATATGCCCACACTTCTGACTTGGTCTTTGAGAGGGCTGATGGATGTCTTCAACACTGTTGTCTCCTCTTTCCGCCATGATTCCATTTCAAACTTAATAGAAAGTTTAAACGCTACACAGTGCACCTGCGTGGCTACTTCAGGAGACTCGGATGAAGCTGGGATGATTAACACAGGGTTTCCCCTACATACAATTGATTGCGGTGCAGCGCCATGGCTGAATAGAAGCCGCCACACCTTAAAAATTACTTTTTTCTTGCGTGGCTCATATGTGTCAGTATACATATGTGAGGCACACTGTGGAGCGCGCGCCGAGTATTAGCATGAGCGAGTTATCATCAGCTGCAAAAGGGGACCACACCTTCATATGAATCAGAGGTAAGCTTTTGCATCAAATAATCTTATAATTTTTAAATTTTAGCGCAAAGTGACACCCAATTCACAAATACTGACCTTAACAGCTATGTAGAGTTAGTCTAGATAGTTAAGTTATTTTGATTCAGTTATTAAATCAGGGATTTTAGTATGGGACTTGATGAGGATTGACTCGCCTTAGCAGTCAGCCTCAAGTGGACGCTTGAGGAACTGCAGATTTTGGCACTTCTTCGCTCCCTTCATTTATTAGCTCTAAAGGTTACCTGCTGTAATCCTTCTTCTCCTGCTGATTCAAAACACAGATACATGCATTAACTCAGTATCATGAACCATCTGATACCAATTATCAGATCAGACAAGTCACTCGCAGCTAATCTCTCTTTACACTCAGCTGTCTCTAGAGTTACAGACGGCTGTCAGCCCACGCTAACGCCGGCACAGGACGCAGAGGAAAGCAGAATCTGTCCGTGGCAGCCTGTGAACCATGGAGGAGATGAGATCCAAACTATCCTCTCCATCTGCTCTGCTGCCTGTTTGTCTGCTGCCTGATTGAGGCTTTCACTGCACAAACACTTGAGACTAAATGTGACAAACACACAGAGCTTCATGTGACTGCTGGCCAAATATTGATCCAACGTCTGTTCGACTCACAGCATTATGCTGAGGTGGGAAAATGGCTGCTCGCTTGCCTGCTCGGCTCTGCTGTAAAACAATGTAAGCTTTAAAAAATGTATGCTGGCGCACAGCGAGAACAGACTGTTTCAATTACTGTACTACATTTTGTTTAAGGAAGCTCTGTACTCTTGAATAACCTCTGTATGTTAGGCATGGTATTTGAGAAAAGAAAATTCACAGACGACATAAATAAAGCAATCTATGTAATATATGGTTTAAATTTTCCAAGTATGTTTAAAAAATCATCACGGCATTTCTGGCCATAAGTGAAATTCAGGTTTCCTGGGTTATTTGGTTACTACGGTGATGAATACCACAGCGCTTATCACTATTCAGCTCAATTATGTGAATTAAGAGATATTTTTATCTTTCAGTTGTTCAACTATACATTATTTTTTTTATATCAAACATTATCATACAATGTTGACATAACACAATAAATATCAGCAGGATCAGATGCAAAACAAATATATATATTTTTTAACTTAAGTCACTAGAGCAGCTTTGTTGAAGCAGGTTGCAGAATCTATTGGCAAACACTGTAATAAAAATAATAATGCATCAGATTTCATATAACGCTTCATCAGAGACCCTCTAAGTGCTTTACATTGGATACATCATCCATTCCCTCACAGAGTCACACTCTGGTGGTGGTAAACTACCTTAATAGTCACAGCTTCCCTGGGCCAGACTGACGGAAGCATTGGCTGCCAGTTTGCGCCTATGGCCTCTCCGACCACCATCACACAACACTCACAATCATACACCAGTGGAGGACACACACTGGGAGCAAGGGGGTTAAGTGTCTTGCCCAAGGACTTAACGGACAGACTCGGGAAAGGAGGGAATGGAACCGCCAACCTTATGGTTACTGGACGACCGCTCTACCTTCTGAGCTACTGCCACCCCGCCACTATGGGGCAAGTGTCAATCATGATTATTAGAGTTCAGCTCCATCCAGTCATTTCTCTCAAGACTCATTTGAAATTATGAAACAACAGATTATTTCTTTTTATTTAACTAAAATGGTGACTCTATGTTGGGATAAGATAACACAAACACAATAAAATGTCTTACTACACAACACAATACAATGGGATAAGATACAACACAATACGAAATAATGCAGCGCGATACAAACTAAAAAAAGATACAATACAAAACGATATCACAATATGATAGGATGATTAGCCGAATGAAAATATGATTAAGTTGATAAGACATGAAGCTGTATGATGTGGTTGATCTTGTATTTCTCTTTTACACAAATCGATATGATGGGATACCATAAGAGAGACAGTTTCTTTCCCCAAGCCATTACTAGACTGAACTCTCATGTGCAATAATCCGCATGCCAGACACACTACCTAACCCAATGTGAAACGCTGCGAACATGTACATGTATGTAATCCACTGCAATATTATAAATTCTGTGAATTTTTCCCCCCGTAATAATTCATGTCATTGTTGTAGCGCTGGTTGCTTTTTTGCTGTCTTCAAACTTGTTCTTGTTTTTAAGATTGTTTGCTAGACAATCATATTTTTATATATATATGTACATATATTACAACAAACCTGGGGAGAAGCCTCTCCAATTATGTTGTGTATAAACCTCCATAATGACAAATGAAGGCTCTTCCACACTAAGACATTATAGCAGAACATTAATGTTTGGTTCGCCAAGGAGACAGACCAACGTCTTCAAGCAGCTCCTTTCAATAAAGCTCTGAGAGTGAAATACACTGAATTAATTCAGCTACACTGAACAGAACTTGGCTTTTGCAATATTAGACTGCGTAAGTGTGACATCCGCCTATGAACTTCGCACACATGTAGCAGTATGATATCAACTCACACCATCACAAGACAGAAAAAAAGTAGAGTTAACAGGAAGCCTTCCTTTCACGAGACAAAAGAGTAAAAAATAAGAATTAAAGCGTAATTACACTTCTGACTGTTCAGCCTCCCCTCCCCCGCCCTCTTACCCGTGTGGTGGTGGCGAACATGTACTTCTCTCGAAGCTGAAAGCTGTCAACCTGTTCCAGGATCACCCTACGGTTGAGTTCACTCTGGAAGAAGTCTGTGCTGCTGAGGATGGTTGAGACACCTTGAGGCTCGTGTCTCTGGACCAGAACGGTAGTCGGGGGGTCGTAGGGCTCCACACCCCTGAGACGGAGAAGATAAGAGTGAGAAACGGGGAAAGTAGGGGCAGGAAGGAGAACACAAGAAACCATGAAGTTAGTCAATCCATTCTGACATTTCAGTTCAAAGAAGCCAACCATCATTGATTTCCTGAATACTTCTGCTCAGTCCTGTGTCCATCTACATACAATATCTTAGTGGTTTCTTGATGGACTACAAGTACCCCCACATAAAATTTTCAAGACTCCCTCCTTCACCCAGTCCATCCACTTAGACCTGCAGTCAACATCAAAAGAGGAAATCCTCTCCTGCCTGCTCTTTCAAAGGCCTGCAGCTTCTATCCCCTGACTTTTTTAAAGCTTTCTCAATTTATTGGAAGAATGGTATTGATTGTTGGTTGCTGTTTTCACCAAGGCTACATTTTGCTTATGTCTGAGGACCTTTGTGGAGCTTTATTTGCATAAAAATGTTTATATTGATCGAAGTTTTAAAAAAAAATCTCAGAGGATATTTGGACGATGTTCATTTTGAACCTTATCCTGTATTTCAAACGCTAATTTAAAAATTCATTTTTATGCTTTGTTTCTGCACAACAAAAGTGTTTTACTATCAAAGTTTTGGAGCCTTGAGAAATATTTTTTATTATTTTTTCTGGAGTAAAGATGGAAAGAGGTTCACCATTCTGTGAGAGACTGTGTGGGCAAAAGGTTCAACAGTTTCTTAATAATATGCTCGGCACAAAATGGCAAAGACTTTCAGCTAAAGTGCATAAAATCATGAAAAGATTCAAAGAAATCTCTGTTCAAAAGGGAGAAATCCGAAGACGGTACAAGGCGGCTGTGATCTACAGGCACTCATCAAAGCAGATATGACTCTGTAGTGGAAATCACTCTATACGCTCAAAAGCAGCACAGATCAAAAGTCAGATTCTCTGATGGTATGAGGATGCATAAGAGCCCATGACATGAATCGCTGACACATCTAGGGGAGCTTCACTGACGCTGAACCACACTTACAGGTTTTGTGTTGCAGAATCAGCACCAGCTCTCTGGACAAAAACACATGAAAATAGAAAATAACTTTGATTTGCAGCATTTATAAAAAAATAAAAAATCAATCACTTCGCATACCAAATATCTTCCCAGTCAACCCATCACTGCACAAAGTCTCAAATGTGTCATAAACAGTTAAACAAGAAAGTACCACCACAAAACTCATCCATATCTGCAGTGTGGGAGCGCCAGAGGCTCAGTGGTGTAGAGATGGTAACTAATGCTGATGAGCAGGCCTGGAAAATGCTTACAGTAGTAATTTCAACAAGTCCCCGGAGTGAGCTAAGTGGTTTAAGGGTCAGAAGTTCAAACAGTTAGTTCAGAAGATGAATTCAAACCTTTGACTCTAATTTATACCATCAACCCTCCGACACAGAGGAGGTTAATTAACACTTAAAAGTGACAAACTGTTAATAGGCTAACACATCTGTCTCCATCCTGGACTGAAAAACCCTCTGTACCCTCAAAGGTCAGCTCTGTCTAGACAGCTTGTTAATTGGCAACGGTGCAAAGGTTTTAAAGTTCAGTAAAGCTAAATAAACAGAAATTGTGCTGTTTTAAATGCTAATGTGCCTCAGCCTGAGGTGTTAGTTCAGTCTCATTAGCTCTGTGTGAAATAAAGCATCTCTCCCTCTAATTTGAAATGGGGATGTGTTAGCAGAGCCTAATGAAAGTAACCCACAGTAGAGAAGTTAAACACGCTCAAACTTTTGCTGCAGTGGGATGTATAGACTTCCTGTTTTATACAGCACAGTCTTACACAGGAGATATTTGAAGGATACTTGAGTCTTGACTTCAAAGTCTCTCCATGCTTACCTTGTACAAGCTTCTTGACTCTGAGTTTTTTCAGATTTTCTCTGACTTCATCAAATCATCAGTGAAAAAAGGTTTAGATCTTAAAGGCCTATCCATAAAAGTGATCGATAAATACTGTGAATAACAATCCTACTCTTAAGATGCACTGGCTACAGATCCAAAACATATTTTTTCTTATATATTAGGGGTGGGTCTCAACAGTAGCCCCATGATACGACATTATTTCGATACTTGGGCCACGATATTATTGCAGTTTTTAACATTTTGCAATACAGTGAGTATTGCAATACAAAATACTGCGATTTATATAACTTTTTCAACTGTTTAGCTAATTTAGCATGTCTTTCCTTTATGTTTGTCTTATGTACACTGTATTTTATTTTCATGTAGCACATCTTGTAAACCATATATATATAGATATTTGTTGCACTAAATTCCTCCTGCTCTATGATGTCACCTCTGCCAACCTCACTGGACAAACAGATGATTTTATTTTTCCATTATCATAGATTTGACTTCATATTAACATTTAATTTGAAAAATCGATACTTAAATAAGATGATACAATATATCACCAGACAAAATTTCACAATACTATGCTGTATCTATGCTTTTTTTCTCCCACCCCTGTCATTTATATAATCCTCCATTGGCTCTTATAGGTAGAGAAGTCCTGCAGAATGAAACCACTGATCAGTGACACATGCCAGGGAAAAAATACCAGCTTATCTGCAAACGTTTGATTACAGATGGACCAAGTCTATTAATTGCATTTGCACTTAAATTGGATCATATCAGTATCGGCCCTCACAAGGTCAAGAATATCATCCCCTTACCCCAAATGAAAATACATATTTATTGCATTTATAAGCATTTTTTTCCCTTTCTTAAATAACCCATTTTAAAATGAAAAATTGCAGAATAGAAAAATAATGAATGCAAAAACAAAATAGAGACTGTACTGGAAATATCTGCCTATATGTCAGCCTACAAAAGCAGGGGTCAAACTATTCATGGCTTCAAGTGTACAGCTAGGCTGTTCCACGGCCGTGGCACGGAGAGTCGGCCTGAATGAATGGAGGAGGTTCACTGCATCCTATCGTCTGCCATCTAAATCAGTGTGTTTTCCTGCAGAGTCTGGAGAGCTGAACAGAAGGAGCAGTGTGTCTGGGCTGGACTCGGCCTCTGTGGCATTCTTTCAGAGGTTCCTGTTCAGCTGATGGACACTGGCCGGGCTGAGAGTGCACAGAAGGACATTCGCGGTCTGCCTCCTTCCTTTGAATTCGACTCAGTGCACTTTAAACACTTCCTTGACACCCGTCCTCCCACTTTTTCTTTTTTTCTGTTAGTCATGATTGTCATTAGATTTTAGTTCCCTGCAATTCATTTATTAAAAATAATAATAATAATAATAACAGCCAGAAATGCTATCAATAAATCAGACTTTTCATCAACAACTTAAGTGAAAAAAGTAGCTAGGGAGCACTAAAACTCAGGGTAAGCCCTTCAAACAAAATTCACTTTTTTACTTGTATTTTCTGGTCCACCTTCAGCCTCTGCAGCATCTCCTTCCCCTGTCCCCTTTTTCCGACTCAATGCATTTAAAAGAAACCTCTGCAGGGTTTGTTTTATGTCTGTAATCCATACGAGACAAGGGGATTGTACTCCTCGTTGTATACACAAAGGATTTCAGCACTCAGTCCGTCTCTGAGCTCTGAGATCAGAAGATTAGGAGTTTGGTGGGGGATCGACCCATCAGATTGGGTTTTTAAACACACCCAGTAGCAAAGCCTTTAGACCGATATGCAACACAACAGAACCCCCCTCCCCTAAAGCCAGAACAAACAGGATTAGACCCAAATTGGATGGAGCTTCAGGGGGCCTGGAGGGGGGAGTTTGGGTTCAGATCAATCTTTATTTGCACTGCTTTTGTCCTCAGATAATGTGCAGTTTCTTTTGGCGGGTGCAGTGTTGCTCTGGGGGAGCCTTAGTCCTCATCAAATCTCACTGGCTGACCACTGGATGCCATCAGAGGTTAAATTATCAGACAGTCATTGGATGTTTCATAACAGAATTACAGATTCTGTCAAAAATAAAACAGTAACAGGAGAAAAACATAGTTGGCTGAGTTTTGTTGCTAAGCTACCAAGTAGACCTATAGTTGGTCAATACTGGTAAGAACAGTATATAAACATGACCTAGAAACACTAATCACTTCTCTGGGCCGGACCAAATAAAAGGTGCACCGAGGTTAGGGCTGAATGATTAATTGCATTTGCGATTACACTGCGATATAATAAAATGCAATTTTCTAACTGCAAAGGCTGCGATTTCGTCTGGTCACATGACTTGCGAGCCGAGGGAAGCAGGGCAGGTAGACAGAGAAGTCAACACTGCACTCTGTAACACTATGGCCTGATTCCACTACAGAAACTGACACTGCTGAAATTTTAGTACCAAAGAGGGGAAGCACGGCGGTTGTGTTGATTTATTTTGGAAAAAAAAAAGATGCTGCTGCGCAACATGTGCAGAACCTGTTGTGCTACTGTTGCTACATCAGGAGGTAACGCGTCAAACCTTTATCAACACTTATACAAACGCAACAAAGCCATGTATATGATAGTTGAATGGCTAGAACACCAGCGCTTCAACTTCAAACCACGTCATCTCTCCATCGGTACGTAGATTAGTATCATGACGTATATGATGGCGCGTGCTTGTGTGTGTGCGATAGGGTATAAGCAGAGACAGCATCTGTGTGTGTGAGTGTGTGTGCCAGAAAGAAAAATTTAGGTATAAATGATCTGATATTGTTTACTATAATACAGATTGATTTAGTGTTTGTATTTGTTGAAAAATACATTAGAAGAGGACCTTAAATCGCATATTAAATCACAAGACTTAGGTCACAATTAGATTATTTTCCAAAATCCTTCAGCCCTAACCGAGATCAAATCGTAATCTGTCCTGTAGTCTGGCAATTGAAACTGACATTCCTCTTGGATATCATGGACGCCGTGTCCTCGGCTCTGAAGAGAAGTGGGACCACCTGGGCTTGTTCCACAGCATGGGAAGCTTTCACAACTGAGAACACGCCATTCATGCTGAACAACACATACAGGAGCATCATACACTGCCATTCAGATAAGCCTTTTTCAGGTAAGGCCGTGCCAAATCACATCCTTTATGTATTACAACAGCATGACTCTGGAGTAGAGAGGTAGAGGTGCTAAACTGGCCCGCCTACAGGCCTGGCTTGTTGCCTATTGAAAACATTTGGTGACTCACTGACTAGTACAACAAAGGACGCTCCCAATCTGTTGAATATACAAAATCTTCAGTTTCAACATTTGATCCTTGTCTTTGCCCTGTTTTCATCAACTATGGGCTTGAAACGGTTTGCAAACCATCAAATTTACATTATCCTAACATTGTTGGACACATCATCGAGGTTGTTCAGAGCTGTTCTTGAGAGTCCAAAAGCATGGCCTTTATTTAAATTTGAAGCAGCAGACTGAGAAGAGTTTGGCACAATAGAGAGTCTGCAATCACTGCTTTCATTGTGTGGCTGTTGGCAGCAGTGTGGCTACTTTTACAACTCTAACACCAAAGATTTTTACAAGCTTTTGTCAGACTGGACCAGAGTAGAATATGGATCAATTATTTTTGATTCAAAACAGGAGAAATAACTTCTTTAGTTCGGGGGCTGAACTGCATTTTTGTCTCGTTTCCAAAACTAACATTTCTCCTCTGTGAACTCAAGGGGAAACTTACATTGACATCAATTTGGAGAGAAATCTTAAAGCCCTATGCACAAACTGGGTCAATAGTGTTATACTCAAATACTTATGAAGGTTAACCTGTAACAAAGAGAAACCTCAGGATAAGGGTTTGAATGCATCACAGAAACCAGCTCTCCTCCCCTGGCCTGTCAGCTGTCTTTGGGATGTAGCTTTAAGGAGACACAGCAGGATGTGGGCCAATAAACAGTTTATAAAAACCTCGACAGCCTCAGGAAACCAAACAAACATCTGTGAAGACTAAAGAGTCCCTTCAAAGCTTCTGTTAAAGGTGCGATTGAGAACCACAAGTGCAGGATGACATTGCCTGTGTCCACCCCCAGAACTTCGGTGACCTGCTGCATCATCTCTGCAGACGCTGTGTGTCTAAGCTGAGATGTAAAGTCCACACTAAACCATGTGTAAGAACTAGCTAGGTTGTTAGCAAAGCTGTGCCACTGTGCCATCTGAACTATATGTGAGGAGTAAGAGTAGTTTGATCACTTCGGGACATCAGTATAAAGCATCACAGACTGATGTTAGACATTTATAAGCATCAGAGGGCCGAGTTCTCGCCATGATCCCATACAATCTGGATCACCTTTGATCTCCTCTACTGCCAACGCCAAGAAAGTTTGTTTCTGCTCAGCTTCTGGGCTGCCTCTCAAGTTCTGTGAAGATGAATAGGAGGTCTGGACCATTTCTGAGCTGTCACTGTGAATGCAGCCTGCTTGGTTCAATCAGAAGAGATGACTTTAAAGACTCAGACAACGTTTTCAAAACAGCGCAGCCCTGATTTGAAACTTGTTTTTTTTTGGTGAGAATTTCTTCAGAATACCCAGGTTTAGTGCTGTACTGTGACCAAATCTGATCATATGCATTCATAATAGTGTTGCTGGCTATTACAACAGGCAGTGTAGATCATTAAATATTCACCAAACACACTCCTGAGGCTGCAGAGTGTGAGCAATCAGCTGCAATGAGACACGCAAACATGCATGAGCATTTGCTACTCCTCCTCTTCCAGCTATTTTTAATGCAGTGAGAATAAACCAGAAGCTGGAGGGCCATTAACTCTCTCTCTCTTTATCTCGCTCACACACCCTCAGACACTGACAAAGTGAAAGTAAACATGAACCAGTTGAGCCCTCCTGTCTGATCCTGTTCAGTAACCTGAATAATAGAGTCATTCTCTTGTCCCTCCTTATAGACAAACACAGCCTGTCACCACCTTCAGGTCCATTATCATATTAAAAACACAATCAGGGAACTCTTTTGAATCCTCCTGCAGGTTAGAGAATCACAACTGGACTCTTATGACTTATTCTAGCTTGTTACCAATTCTCAGCAGAACTTAATCGGGCTGATATATGTGGTTCTTTGAGGTCCGATGATTGGTTCATGGACGGCGGTGCATTAATCTGAACAGTGACACTGGCCTTCTTAAATCAGGACTAAAACAGTTCCTTCAGTAACTTGAAAAACTGGATAATCAGCTTTAAGGCAAATTGCTCGTTTAAATCTAGTCAACTTTACAGCTTAGTGTATTTTGTGATATTGAAACACTAACCCATTGAAGTAAATTTAGCTTAAATGAATTAATGTCATCATTATGATCGTGCACTGAGAGAGGAAGAGGAAGGGGGAGTCCAGTAAATGAAATTAGTTAGACTTTGTTTTTTTATGATATAGTTTTAGGACTACATTAAGAAAAAGATCTTCAGAGTAAAGTTGTTATGTCACAAGATAGAGTCATCAATAATAAAGTTGTTATGTTAGAAAATTAACATTTTTATATCATTTGAATAAAGTTGTTATATTACGGGATTAAACTCACCATGGAGAGGTGATTTTTCAAGACTAAAGCTGTGATGTTTCATTCATTTGTTTAAACAATGATTCACCACATAATGCTTATTTAAGGTATCTTTTCAGATACTTAAAACAACATGAAGCTGATGTGCCAAATGTTAAATATATCATTGGAAGTGAAACTGACTAAAGTGTAATTTACCAAGACCCTTCATGTTCCTCACTGACTGCGGATTGTAAACCAAAACTACATCTGAATCATGACTGGATTATCACAACAAAGTGTTTTTTATCGTATAATATTTTAATTTTACTTAGACTTTATTCTCATAAAATAATTCAGGTGTACATACACTTCTCCTCCCCCAGTACAAAAGTCACCATCAACTGTCTTCTAGGTTAAAGATTCAACTTTGACTTGTTTACATTTCCTCTTGTCTTCAACTCAACAGCCTGACATCACTTCCCATTGTTTCTCTGCACCACTATGCAGGGGCGTGTCCAGGCTTTATGATTGGAGGCCCAACTAAGGCAGTGACAGTAAATGTCAGAATCAGATTGAAATGTTTTTTTTTTTTTTTTTCATTTTGGACTCTTAAAACCTGACTCTTTTATTTTGGCAGCCTTAAAATATCATATGAATGTTCTTTAGTCATTTCCTGAATGTGCTGATCAGCCAAACTGTTTGCACAATATTTTTTAAACAAATTTATTTAGTTTTGTACTCAGTCTTCAAAGATCAGAGCTACTGATAAATAAAATATGGATATAATTCAAGTGGAAGCTGAATAAACCAGACACACAGTGTTTAGTGCCTCTCATAATTAACTTATTGTGATGAAGTTGGATCATTTTCAGCATGTAAACATGGTTATGAATAAATATTTCCTGACTGTTGGCTAACTTTTCTATTTGAGTCACTCATCTCAGGCTTTTTTGGAGGTTTTTAAATATTTGTCCCCAGAATTATGTCTCAACAAAGGTTGCTATTCTAATCTAGTATTATTATTATTTAAAAAAAAAGTTCTCTCAAAAGAACTTTTTGTAAATGGAGAAAAAAGAAAGACCAAGAAATGGCAAATCTCAGAGACGCCCAACTTGTATTTTAGTGTTATAATTTAATTGACAGTAGGAAAAACTAACAGAAACACAGTAATGATGTCAAAGTGTCGTCAAAGTGTTGGAAAAAGAACTTTCTGCTTTTAATTTTGATAATGGTCAAGTATTTGAGACTGTTGGACAAGGAACTGTATTATATCACAATAATCTACAATAAATATAGCTGTGCATTGTTGACCAGCGAGGTTAATATTATTATCTGACAGAATGATGGGACCAAACAGCAGTATTAACATCAAACCAAATCACTGTTTACAACTCAGAGATTATGTGAACAGTGTTAGTCTTTGTTTGTGCTTGAAAGCTGGGCTTTAACATGTGATACTGACTTCACTTTTATTTCTGGAGGGTTGCTTCTCCTATGTCCTGCACAATCCGAGGCCCTGAATGCAGCACAGAGTTCAGGACATTTGTCATCTATAACATGAGACAGTGAATGTGTCTTACCAAAAGTAGGTCTTCACGTGCTCTTGGATCAACACCCATGTCTCCCCAAAGTCGTCTGATTTCCATAGCTGCAAGAGAGGAGAGAAATGAAATGAGGAGGAGGATGAGAAGGTAGAGGAGGAAGAGGAGGAGGAGGAGGATGACGAGGAGGAGGAGGAGGAGGGGGGATGGTGCACCGTAAAAATGTAGGTCAAGCTCATTCCTTTCATTTTGGCTCTTGAACATGTGACATGAGAAGAGTAAAGAGCCCTTTTGGCGGATTATTCTTGAACTCAAGACAAGGACACAAAAAAAAAAAGATTCCTTGTTGGTACCTTAGCAACCGATATGTTTCTCTCCTGGTTACCATTTCTTCTGTTGGAGAAGTACTAAGTCAGTCATGAGCTGAAGAGTAAAAGCAGGCCAAGAGGGGAAACAAATCTCACACTGAAATGTGGTTTGCTGAATTCTGAATTCCTAATAATAGTATAAATAGTTTGCTTGATGATTGTGTGCATGACATTGGGGATATTTGAGGTGTTTGGATCAAAAAACATTACTTTATTCCTAAAACGATCCCAGAACCAGCTCCATCCCTCTCATTTGTTGAAGTCCTGTAATGAAACTGGCCCTAAAACCTGTATGGTCCTGCAGGTGAAGTGCGGCAGCACGGGCTAAATAGATCAGATGCCAAATTCCCAGAAACAGAGAACAAAAGATAAACTGCCCGGGTGACATTCCTGCAGCCCAATGCCAACAGTCAGCTCTTCTCAGAACTTGAGCATCCATGGCATTGTGCAGAAAGACAATACTGTATTTTCAGGTTAACGCCTGAGGTTTGATAATCATGCTGTCTTCATCAGTTATTTAAGGACATAACCACACCTGTGTTGTCCTGACCTACACTCTGTGACAACAGAGATTCCTCACGGCAATTGTTCATGTGACAGCTTCAGCTCCTGTCATCAGCAGAAATATGTGAAGGTGATTTGACCTAATTTAAAAAAAAAACCAGCATCTTAGCTGAAGCATTTCCTCAGTTACATAAGGGACCTTAAAGCTCCTGAGTCGAGCTCTTGACTTTTCTGTCTTTTTTTTTGTGAAATATGATCAGACTTTTACAATCGATATCCAAGATATAAGATTTACACAATATATAATATAATATAATATAATAACTTAATATACTCAAGTCAACAAGCAGCAGACCCTGAGTTACTGTCACAGTAATGAGAATTACATGAGGTTACACCACACTCACACTCACACACACACACACACACACACACACACACACACACACACACACACACACACACACACACACGCTTGCAATTGCTTGCTGAATTCACAAATATTAAAAGCCAGTATTTGTAAAAAGTAACTCTTGTTTCTAAAACGAAAATAATAAAAACGAGAATACATCAAACAATTTTATTTATTTATTTTGTCTGGTTATAAAAAAGACTGAAAAATGTTAACGTCTCTTTCTAACCAACAAAGCAAATATAACCCCAAGAGTGAAGACTTGACTGCAGCTTTTTAGTGAACCACTAAACCACCCTGTTTTTAGGCCACAATAATCTTAAGGCAAAAATCTTGACAGCCTGAGTCAGAAATTAAACTTACTTAAGTTTCTAATCCACATGTACACTTTCTAACTGCTCTTTTTACTTAGTTTAATTCAGCTCTGTCACTCACAATCTACCAGAAGTAGTAAACTTCAAAATAAAAGCATAGTTTGACAATCCACATCTCAAAATAAAATTATGATGGTTGTTTTTGAGGCAGTGTTTTAAACACATGGCTGATGATAAATCATGAATTTTAGCTACGTTTGTTACTCTTAAAGGGTTTTTTATGTCTTAATTTCAAGTTTTCCATAAACATCACAGTAATATCATCAATATTATTATATCTTATGACTGTAGTAACCAAGAGGTGAAATCCTAATATTTTGACAACCCAGAAATACACTGCATTAAGCAAATTCTTAATTGAAGCAGTGTTCATTTGTATTCAGGGCAGAGTTCATTGATTTGAATAATTTGTGAAAATTTTGGTGCAAAAAAGTTTTGTGGTGTTTTGTTGTTTCTTTTCCAGCCTGCGCACTAAAAACACCCTCTTCATACTTTGAAGATTTGATCTCCAGGAAAGGATTCTCTTATACCACATGATTCAGCAGGCCGTCTTTACCTGCTTGTTGGGGTGCGAACTGTCATAGCCGAGCACCAGGTTGGATCTCCGGCTGTGGAGCAGCAGGTCAGTGGGTTTGAAGGGGAGGGAGAACCCCTGCACGCTCTTACAGAAGTCAAAGGTGTTCCACAGGTAGTTGTTGGTGGAGTCCACAAAAAGGTACTAAAGGAGAGGAAGAAGAAAACACTCATTTAAATCAAATCAAACATCAAACTGCATTTCTAACCTCAGTTAGAGCTAAAAGGTTACGCAACTTTTTGAAGCAATTGTGGGAGATTCAACTGGAAGCAGTCTTACAGTTCAGCGCTCCATCAACTCTTTGTATTCCCCCGTCACATTACACAGTCTGATTATGTAATTGCACTGAGCTAATCCCACTTTCCTCAGCTGGCTTTGATGTGCTGTGTCATTGTTTCCCAATAAATACTCTGTTCTGTGTGTGTAAGTCGCTTTGTACCTGACAGCCTAAGTGACTAAAGCAGAGGGAGTGATTCTCAGGTGCTTTAGTGGTTTCTGACTGCAGCATTTGGATGGAAAGTTGAGGTGCCAGATCACTAATGCACAAAGAAAGCTTTGCTAATTCACTCCCACCGGGACAAAAGACTGCTCAAGTGTTTAGAGGAGAGCAGTTTGCTGAATAATAACCGAGTGCCAAGAAAGAAGTCAATCCAGGAGAAGTTAGAAATCTTCTACTTCCTTGATTAAGAAGTCTTTTTTTATATCAGCACTTTGGTAAACTCTTTAATGTTCACAGAAGTACAGCAGCTAGTCCTTAGCAATAAAAAGACCCAGTTGAGGTGGTCCAGGCATCTGATCTAACTGCCTCCTGGATGACTCCCCTCAGACAGGCACGTCTAAGGAGACCACAGGGTAGACTATAAGCATCCTGAGGGATTTTATATCCAATCTGGATATAAATGGTCTGGGAACGCCTCTGGATCCCCCAAGAGGAGCTGAAAAAACACCACAGGCGAGATGGATGTCTGGGTCGACTTGCTTAGCCTGCTTCTGCAGCCTGATCCTGGATAATCGGGGGAAAAAGGATTGATGGATCGGTACTTAAAGGCAGCGTGAGGAGTTTTTGACTTAAAAAAAAGACTGAAACTGAAACTGATGCCTGACTAAAACCTTCAAGAGCAGAGAATACCATCAGCAACAAGGCTGATCTTTTCTCTGCTGTGATTTTTCTAGCATAAAAACAGCTGTAAGGAGGTGGGTGTCACAACAGATGATTGACAGCAGGCTGAAAAACACGATTTCAACCCACTCGAGGTTCAGTGGTACATTTTACCTTTAAAAGACAGCAGGATGAGGGAAGTTGAGGTGAACAGGTGAAGAACAAGAGATAGGAGGCATAATTTCACCCACAGGGGGCGACAAAACTGAAACAAACAAGAAGCATCTAAATGTAATATCTTTTAAAAAAATTTAAACCCATTTTATACTCTGTTGTCATGTTGACATATGTCTAATTTCAACGTGTACTGGCAACACATGTTTATCAGGAACTTAAGATAGGGCTGTCAGTTTTAATCAAGTTTAAACATGAAGTGCAAATGTTCGAATACATGGGAGGATTACCTTCATCAAAGATGCTGCTTCACATAGACAGTAAACCATCAGATTAACCTGAAAATGTGTGGTTGTTGACGAGTAAGAAAGCTGAATAACATGACTGTATTCATTGACTGAGGTCAAGAGTGCGTGTTTGGGCCAGGTTACAATGAGAGCGCCCTCTGTTGGATCATACAGCAAGCTACTTCAGTCAGTCTGATGCACTGGCACTCCGTGTTATTGTGAATTTTAAGGGCGCATTGCAGTTTAAATGAAGTTTGTTGTTTTGACTCTGTGTTGGCTGTGTGAAGGCTACCGTGTGATGGCTCAGGCTTGAGTCACCATGGCATTCACACAGGCTGTGTGTTGGCTGTTGTCGGCTTTCTCTCTTCCACACGTTCTACCCAAAATAAACCCAATCATTTGAACTTCTTGGCATCATAAATAAAACTACATTTTCTTCAGTAATTCGATTGATTGATCTGTAATGAGTACAGATAATAAAATAGGTTTGTACTTATAAGGCTGTCACACCTACACAGAGGTGGTTTAAGGGGTTGAGCTTTTAAAAAACAATCTCATCTGCTTTCTAAACTCATACTCATCTCTTTGTGGTTAAAATAAACAGTAAAAGTAAAAGCTTTGGACCCACTCACGTGAATCTTTTAAATTGGTTTCATGAAATAGTCTGCGTGATAATCCCTGCTGACTAAATCCACCCCATCAAAGTGTGTCCACTAAAGTTTTGCCACTGAAAGCTCAGATTGTTAGTTTAAGTCTTTGATACGATTATAGAAATGGATAAAAGAGATTTTTGTTTCAGACTCATGCCTTTTTTAACCAGGATCAGCAGTTACGTAAGTCTTTTCAAAGCGACCAGAATTCATTGACAGGATTTTTCTTTATGTCCCCAAACAATCACTAAGTAGTCTTTATTACCTGTTTCATGGCTGTCAGCTTAGAGAAAATGAAGGTTTGAAAATGCCTGAGTTTGCTCCCACAGTACTGAAGCTGACTGACAGAAATTTACATATTGTCTTGCAGTAAATAACTCTTATTTGTGTTGCACAGACTGAGACTTACCCTCCTGTTGTCTGCAGGACTGTGGTAAAACTGGGAGATGACTTGCTTCGATCCTTCTTTAAACTTGGGGCCTAGAAGCTGAAATTTCTCTGAGACGAGCGTGAAGGTGGTCCCATAATCGTACGACACATAGACCTGGAGACAGAGAGCGTAAGAGAGAGAAATCAATGACTACACTTACAATTCTGAAAAATAACTTTTACAGCAGTTTTGAAGACAAGCTGCGAATGCCATGAAATGCGTTAAGCGGGGTCTTCTGCATCTCCAATGTGTTGTGTAAAAGCAGCAACCAGAGAGCTGTGAACTGAAATCCAGGTAGAGACACAGGAGCAAAAGGTGTGTGTTAGTAAAGCAGAGGGGCACAGTGAGCAGGAGGAGAGAGAGAGGCTACAATGACAATGAGTGTCCAGGCTAAAGAAAGAAGGAAATCAGTCTGTATCCTGATAAAATATGTGTTTGTAAATGTCCTCTGTATGCTGAAGTGTTATAAGTTGTTGAGTTTTAATTAACACGCGACGCGAATGATCTCAACCCAGGAGCAAAAACAACAGTTCCTCTAATTCAATTAAGTTAGGATTGAGATGCTATCTGGAGCAACATAATCTAAACCACAGAAAATGTTCATGACTGAAATTAAAGATTATAAAAAAGATGTCCTCACATCAGTTCGCTTATGAATGTTTGTATCTTTCTCAGCACATGTAGATACATAAAGAGGTGACACATTTTAACTCTATTACAACATGACTCATTCCATTTATCTGTAATTAACTAAAGGGCCAAATTATTCTCTTAATGACATCCCTCAGGGGACAATTATAAAACGTCTTCTTTATCAACACATTCAGCTCTACGGCTGTGGGTGTTTGAATGAGATGAGGTGTAATTAGATGGTATCAATTCCATATCTTTACAGTGTAATAAGAACTCTAATGGGTTGTACTGTGGAAAAAAGGGAGAGTTTGACATGAGAACTGTATGGAGGCCAGGCATGGACCACAAACACAAAATCAGGTTTTATTCCACCTCAGTGTCTTTCAATTTTGTTCATTTATCCATTCGTCAGATAAAGAACAATGAAATGAGTCGACACTGCCAACAGATTTAGCATTCAGTTTAATTAATTAATTAAATATAAGGATTGTGGCTTGAAGTCCACAATGGGGGATATAGACTCAGTGCTTAAACTGAGGGGGCGACTCCAGGCACCCTTAAATTCTGATTTAAGGTGGAATATTCAGCTATATGCTTTTGCAGTGGGAAATTTAGTGCAATATTTCAGAGAGCCTGTCTAAATCTAGAGGCATGTAAGGACATTGGCAATCCTTGTCTTATAGCATCTTAACTTGGGCTCTATCAATTATGATCTTAAAGGTTAATATGACTGGGAAGTTGGCAAAATAGGATCTAAAACTGCCTCAGTAGATTGTTTAAAGTGGAAGCCACTGCTGTAATGAACGCGACACAACATTTCCAAGATAAATTTTCTAAGAAGTCCTTCCACTAGGAGCTGTTGTTTGGCTGTTCGCAGGCTCATATTGTTATTTTAAGAATCTGACAATTACAGAAAGGATTCCTATACATTTAAACCATTTTGAAACTGTTGAATGACCGTTCAATCAGCAACAGATTGTACATCAAGCTCTAAAAACCAACAAAATCCACTGAGAGCCGTTAGTTCACTCGGTCAGTTTGTTTGTTTGTGTTAATAAGTGACTTTTTTCCAGTAACAGGTGAGTTGCATATCAATCCAACACAGGAACACAAACTAAATTTACAGTTAAGATTATAAAAGTGCTCTAAATAAAAAGAGGTCTGCTGTAAACATCTCAAATACTGAAGCACTTTTACCTCCATAAACTATTAATGTCACGAATAACGACAAAAACAATGGAGTTTATTAGTCTCAGTTTAAAAAAATGGCCTTGAAGTAGCCAAATGTAAGCTTTCAGCAAGAGGCTGGCTCTGGTTACAGCCATGTCTACTATCTCAGTCTCATCAACACTCTCCTGTCAGTCTCTTTATAGTGGTCGCTGAAGTCTTAACTAGTATCTTAAACTATTCACTATAACTTCACATCAGGTGCCAAATAACTATTTAGTTTTGAGCCACTTTTTTCTGGACAATCACTGTGTCTCTCCATCTTTCATCCCCTTGGCACTGAGGTTGTGAGTGACAGCTGGCCTTAGTCATGAGGGGTACACACTTACTTTACCAGTAAGTTTTGTGATTCCAGTCTTGTTGCTTTAGATTATCTATTGTTTTGTTTAAAATAACATCTCACCTTTGCAAAAATATTAATCTCTGTTGGGATAATTGTTGTAATACAGTCAACAACAACTAGAGCCTGACAGAGATCAAGACGAGCACCTATAGGAGACATAGTTTGATCATATGTTAACCACTCCAGCCTGTTTCACACCTGCAAGCTAGAGCAGTTTACTGAGGCTATTTTTATACCTAAGAGTCAGTCAAACCCTTAAAGCTGTCAAAGTGAAAAAAAAGATTCAAAGGTACAAAGCCTATGATAGAGAATATCCTCATTCCTAAACCATTTATGCTGGTTTCTGTCCTGTAACATCCCATTTTTCAAGCAAACTGTGAGAGGAAATAAATCCACAACAGAACAGGTGGGAAGTCAAACTGAAAGATGAAGAAGAACAGGTTCAATGACTTGGCTTAAGGCTTTTCCAAGAGCTTGTATGTATGTGTGTTTGTGTGTGAGCGTGAGTGTGTTTTCAAGGAAGCAGATGGAGCATTCAATCTGTGGCTCAGAAATCAAAACATCACCAGACATATGAGAAACATGTTGGACAAGTGTGAGCACACACCTTCTGCTGCGCTGCTGAATTATTGAGGTCATTCAGCGACTAAAATTCAACTCAACAGGGATGTTAAGACAACATAAACACTGTAAGGGGCTGTTTGAGCCGAGAAAAAACAACAAAGCTCACCTTTCATCGTCTATCTTATGACTTTAATGCGAGGATCTGATCAGGTGTACTTACAGAGCTGGTTTTTGGCCCGGTGGTTCCGGCGCTGTCTCGGGCCAAGGCAACGATCACATTGCTCTTCTCTCCAGCCCAGTGCACCACCATCTGATTATGAGAGTCGTTCAGGTTAGCCTGTAGGACGAAACACGTTGAATTAATGAAATACATCAAGGAAAAATACAGGTGGTATGCAAAGTCAATCTTCACCTCAGAGATGCTGGGTCACTGCCAAGCAACAGAAAAGTCAACGCACAAAGGCAGCAAATAGGATTTAAGGGGTCAGGAACAAAGCTTTTAACATGGAGGCCAAAGTAAAATTACAAAAGAGTCAAGTATTTATTTACTGTAGTTTGCGCTCAAGTCAGGGCTGTCTTGGCATCCAAAATTTACAAGCCATGTGCAGGATGGATGAAACATGAACCCCCAAACCTCCTTTTTAGTTCTTTAAGTGGGATTATTTTCACTGTCAAACTGATGGATTAGCTCTTCAAGCATAGATTTCAGGGGTTGTTTTTCAGAGCAAAGTCTAGAAGCAGCTCCAGATGCGAAAATCACTTTAAATGTCCCTGTTCGATGATGTTGTAGGTGTTAACTGTAGATTGTTTAATAAAGTTGATGCCAAAATTCTACACTAACTGTGAGGCCAAAGAATTTAGAGCTCCCCCTACTGACTGGCAGCATTATAGGTCATAATCCCCACCTGTTTAGTGTTAATAGCTGGAACCTGGATCGGACTACGAATTAAACATACGAGACACTGAGTTTTCCAAAGACCTAACATCCTGCTTTAAACAAACACATGACATTACCAAGCTGAGGGATCATCAGGGTTTCATCAAATAAATGTTTCAATTTGCATAAAGGGAGTGACCATCAGTCTCATGACAAGTCTTTGGCTCCACAGTTCATAAGAAGACCTGGAGGATGTAGTCTCAGTGAGATCATTGATTGAGATTATTGGTTTCTGAATGCTGAGTCCACCAACTTCAGATCTGTCTAGGAACCAGTATGAGGCAGAGATGGGAACAAAGCTTAGCCACCGAGTAAACACCTACAATATACCTTCTGTTAGTCAATATAGCTATGGCTATATTTTTGAACACATGCTTTTTGTTTTAGGTTTTTTTTTTAATTTAGCTTTCTCTCAAAATCATCAGTTTACTCTCTTAGAGAATAAATTATGCATGTTTCTAATGAAATTATCTCCATTGTATAAGTAGGCAAGTATATGTGTGCATATATGTGTGTGTGTATTAGTAGCTATTTAAGAATACATTTGCATGTGTAGTGATAGTGATGGTGATTGAACTACATAATAAAATACAAAAAATTAAAACAAATGACTTATATTGAGAAAACAAACCCTTCCAGTGGTTGTTACTTATGTACAAATGAGACCATTTTTGGACCAAGCCATAAACAGGTTGAATTACGCCGCAAGGATTGGCAGAAGCCTCTCTGTCGATTGCCAAGTACAGCTGTGAAAGTAACAGAAATAAGAGCCTTAAAGCAGGGATTATGCAATATCTGGATTAGAAATTGGTTCCGGTAAACACATCAGACCAATTTACATTCAAGTCAGCGCTTGATCAACAAAAAATCCACCATGTTTTAAAAGCAACACTAGGCTAACAGTCAATGTTAGAGATGAACTTGGTGCTAATAATACACAGTTTTAATAAAGTAGATCAACAATGACCCATGCAAACTGATGAAAGATTTAGCTGCGTTGTGTTTATTACACTGAATTCTTTGGTCCTGGGATAAAAGCCAATGAGCAAGGGTGAGATAGACCTTATCTGATTCACAATTATACCATTAATGTGAGTCTGATACTGTTTCACACAAATAAAAACTGGTGTAGTAAATCAGCTGATCTGCTGACTGTCGAAAGAACAGATATAGACATCTATCCAACCAAACACATGGCTTAAATCTAAGACCTCAGCAGACAGCCTTGACATTTTAGTTCACTGTAAAACCTCAACCGTAAAGCGATGAATCTATTATGATTTAAAGAGCAGAGCGCTCAGACAAGCTCATTCCTCTTCCTCTTCTTTAAAGACTCACGTACTTTGCCTTCAGTGTCCCAACTGTCAAACTTACACTGAGAAGGGAGATAATCATCAGAAAAATAAAGCAGCCTTTGGGGCCTCATGACAACTTATTAAGGTATGCAAACAAACAGGGCTAAGACCTAAGGTAACCTCACGCTGTAAAGCCTGAATCTGTCTGAGCAGCTCAGAAAAGAAACACATAATAACTGTTTACCCAATTAGCAATGTCACTGTAATATAATGAGTCACAAGGTGGAAGTTGAATATTCAAACCATGCAAACTACGTGTCCTACTGTTCAAAATACATGGCCAACTGTGCAATATTCCTATTTAATTGTGCATTATACATTAACTCATGTGCAGTTAAATATATACCTTTTATGTGAATTATATTGAACATTTCCTACTACACAATACTGACATGATTACTGTGACATTCATATTTCCACATGCATCACTCATAATTCAACATATACTATCTACCATGCATTTTACTGAATATATATTTACTGTGTAATATGCAGCTCTTTAAACAACATTAAGCAACATTAATGTTACACATATTAAAAATTATTTCAGAACATGCCATTTTCACCTAATTTGTCTAATCTGCATTACAATGTGCAATAAACACCCATTGTGAAGATCCATCTATACTGTGCAGTTGTGCATTATGGGTTTTCTTCTGAACCAATACTTTGCAACACAAACGACTGTGTTGTGACTTATGCTACACTGTGTTATACAGTATCATCCTTGAAAACCACATATTCACTTCTTCATTTATTTGAATGAATGTTTGAGATGATCATGTAAAAACTTATACATTATGCGTCAAAGTTATGGGCTTTCTTGATACTTGACCTACTTTCATATTAAACGCCCTCTTTTTTCTTCTGTTGGGTTGTTATGGACACAGACTGAGCTCCATTACACTAAGTAAATGAGCTACGCAGATGATCTATTGTTTGAAGACCATTTTTGTTTGAGTTTCACTTCGATGTATCAACATGGAGCATTGGGAGCCTTTTCTAATCACATTACCACCTGGCTGATCAGGCTCTAACAGTGTAATCGTTTGCCTTTGTGCAGGAAATCTACCTCCATGTATATATAGGGAAGGTAATGAAACGACTCGCTGGAACACATGCTAATTCCACGCTCAGCGCACCTCCCTTCGGGCTCGTAGATCAATGAAAAGAAATAGGCTATTTCATCTTTTTCATTGTCACTGCCTCGCCCTCCGTGCTGCCTCTCTTCCCTTATCTTTTATTGATGACTCTGTGAGGGGCCAGGCTTCTGAAGGAGCTCTGGTTTTTTTGCTTCAAAGGCTTTTTCTGCTCTTCACACTGTGGAGTAAACAACAAATATCTCTGCTTCCCCTGTCAGCTGTGATCAAACACAACCCTCGACCCACTTCTTGTTTGTAACTTCCACTATCGCTGCGATGATGTGGATGACAGGGCCAAAATGTTGCTTTCATGAAAGAATAAAGAACTGGAGTTTAATACGATATAAGGCTTGAAATGTTTGAGCCGTTATGAAGAGCCACTGTGCATCTCTGGGCTCTGGTTGTGTTCTTAACACCACAGTTTGGTCTCAACAAGAATCCTAGAGGAAGAAGATGCAGCAGAAAAAGGCTGAGACGCTAATATCACCACCCACAAAAGGCCTCACAAATCTATAGAGCAACGCACAAACAGCACATACAGTACTGTGCTGTGTTTAAGGAGGAGGATATTTCAAGAAAACTGCAAAAATAAGTCCTGGAAAGTGCCAAACACCAGCAGAGACTGATGATGTTGAAGTGGAAGACGACAAAGTGGGGATTTTTCCTGTTTGCATCCTGCAGGACCAGACTGAGTGTCGCCTCCAAGACTCAGATTTAACCTTTTCTTCATGAGGCATCCAACAATGGGACATCTATAAAACGCTGTCATGAAGCCAGCTTCACTGATACACAACTTGTTTTTCCATTTCTTGCTTTAGTCATCAGCCTCCTCCTCCTCTCCATCTTCCTCAGTCCTCCTCCCTCAGGGCCACCTCAGTAAAAGTCAGGGCTGTCTCTCCCCCGCCAGCCGAGGTGTTGCGGCAGTAAATCTCTGCATTTTAGGCCTCATTGGCTCGCGGTGTGAGCGGGCCAAAAAGTTTGCCAGCGGCTCTGCAGCTAAAACTAGGGAAGGGTGATGACTGTGATAAAAACTATTTGCCAGGTTGCAGCAGATTGCAGCATTAGAGTAGAAGCTGTGGGGGTCTGTCTGTGGATGATTACAGCTCTGTTTGCAGGTAGTGGCTCGAAATGAAAGGCAGCACAGCCATTAAAAGTTGGCCTCCTTTAGGGCAGGCTACTAAAAGTCAGAGATTTGAATCTCCACAGGTAAATCGTCTATCTCTCTGCTGTAATGCATTAATATAACTTTACACAGAGTAATGCAAGAGCAACAACAAGGCTAGCTGTGACTTAAAACTAAGATCACTCAAGAGGCTTTGTCTCTGAAGACAGAACTACCTGAAGAAGATAAAACCCTGACCAAAGCACAATGGCCTTAAAATGGTATTTTAGCGCTATATCACATATATCTGTTGCTTTATTCCAGCACTGACCATCACTGCCTTTTTAACAAAGATTTTAATTATGATATCACAGTAAAATAAGCATACAGGAGTACCATGACAGAATAAAGGTGGTGGTCCTTTTACACTGGTAGCCACACTCACAGATGAAGAAGGAGACGTAGCAGACTGCCAGCGAGCTAGCTGGAGCAGATTCTTTATATTTAGGGCTGCAACTAATGACTATTTTAATAGTCGACTACTCACTGACTATTGAAACAATTAGTCGACTAATCGGATAATTATGATTTTTTTCTTAAATTTAACATTTTCACCTTACTTTAGAGGTTTTAAGTGCGTACTCATAGCTGCTGTATGGGACGCCGGCACCACAATGTTTGAATACCCCACCACTGGAAAAAAACATGTCTGGCGATAACAGTCGACAATGGAATTCATCGTTGACTTTTTTCCATTGTCGATTTTTGTCAACAATGTCGACTAATCGTTGCAGCCCAATTTATATTAATTGCACATAAAACAATCACATTAGAGCTTGTGCTGCTTTTGGTTGCTAATCAGCTGTGTCAACAAAGCGATGAGCGGTGACACAGACTTTCCATTTCCCAGTAGGCATGTCTCTGACAGAGCTGCTGAGTGGACTCATCCTCTAGCATTGTCCCCTGACATCAGTTTGAGGCCAACCCAACAGAGAGGCTGTAGAGTCCGGGAATTACACCGCTATAGTCTACAGCCGTAAAAGTGCCAAGTTATCATTGTGTGCAACACATTATCTTTGGTTTAAGTGCTTCTCTGAGAACAGACTTTGTGGTCTGGCTCACTGAAGCCATGGTGCCAGGTCACAGAGGTTCACACGCATGTTCATGCGACAGATGACGTGGTATCTGCACAGTAAACCTACAGAAGTACCACTTCTCAGCATTATGTGGTCAACTTCAAACCCGAGACATACGGTACATGATGGAAAGACCTCATTACTGACGATTTACATTTACAGCTTCACTGTTTACCTCAGGTTGTAAACTCGTCTGTCTCTGGAGGAGGAAGAGCTCAACAGTGAACACCGTTTGCAGAGCACAGGCAAAACAAAAGGTTTGAAAAACACGGCAGAACCCTCTGTCTCGCTGCTCATTAGAGGAGTCACTTTGCCATGAATACTCAACAATGTAACAGTGTCCGTTTGTGCAGCCTCCTCCAAACAACCAAATGTGTTTTCCCTGGTTGATTTGGAAGTAAAGAAAGTTTGTTTTTGTACTACAGCTCCTGCAGTTCTATTCATAACACCATGAAATGGGGGCAAACACAGTTTTTGCAGCTCATCCGTCAGAGCTGCAGCAAAAGACCGACATGTATTTACATATATTTTTCCAGTGCAGACAAACAAACTGAGATTCAACTCCTTGTGTTTTAAAGAAGTCACCAATGTGACAAGCAGTCAAAGCTGACATGACACATAAGATCTCAATACAACTGTTTTTTTGTTTTTTTTTTCCAGCTGACTGCATGGCATCTTATGGTTATACCAGTAGGACTAGTTTACTGTGAGGTCAAAGTGGGACAAGACAAAAGTGCAGTCAGGCTTACTGGAAGTGTAGAGGGAAGTTCAGATTTAACATTTGCTGTTACTATTTCATGTGGAAAGTGTAACAAAGGGGCTGTTTCTGCAGCTACTTGGCTGACACTTATCCTCCCACACCAGTGTCAGGCAATACAAATTACAATAAAAAAATTGACAGTCTTGTTGCTGATGGTCTTGTTTGCTTTTGTAAATCATAGCAAGGCATTAATTTGAATTTCAGTCTTTTTCAAAAAGAAACTCCTCGAAAGCTCTATAAAAAATCTGCTCTAGATGGCCTTTACTGATAAATCACAGACATATTTTGGAGGGATTTTGTATTTTAAATGTGTAGTTTATGTACACCAGAGGATAAGACATAAGGAGAAGACAGGCTGTGGCCCCGCCCACACATGTGGGTGTTTAAGTCTTCTCTGGGTTTTGGTCTTGCATCCATCTCTCTTTCCCATCTCTCTTCAGTTGATCTCGCTCTTGAAGGCAAAGTCATCTGAAGAAGATTAATAACATAAAATCCATGAGTTTTATAAAACTTTAAACACTGTCTTTGTTTTTATCAACGTTGCATATTCCCACTGTGACCTGAACTACCAACTATTATCTCCAAGTAAAGCTGGTTTTAGTTCATGTCAATGATCTCTTTGGTAATGAAGCACTAAGACACTTGCTCTGCAAACAGAAACACTACCTTTGTCAACCTTGTCAACATGACGTTACCATCATAACACAGGGAGGCTGCAGCCTAGTAACAGCTGAACAGACACCTCCCACCCAAGAATTAATTCAGGACAGCTGCTGTGTCAGAGCCGAACGCTCATCTGAGAATAATGCACACCTTCAGGCTAACAAGATTTCATGCTATAGCTTCTATTTAGCATATTCCCTGTGCTGCTCTGTTTCAGTTCAGTCCTTTCTGTCCCCTTTTCATGCTGCAAAGCAACATGGCGGCCGGGTTTCAGAGGTGTAATCCCTGTCTGTTCCCGTCCATCAATCTCTGTGACAGCTTTGTGGTCACTCAGGGAGGAAGAGGGGAAGGGCAAGAGTCAGGAGCATCTCAGACAGACACAAAGGCGACTGTGCTGCCACTGTCTGTGCCTTTCTGTCTCGCACAAACATGTTTCATGCACTCTGTGGCAGCTACTTTGTGTGAACCCTTCATACCTGAGCAGGCAGACAGGGCTCGGTAAACACGGTGAATGGGTCTGAAAGTGCAGATAGAAGGATTTCTCTCTCTTTCTGACGGCTTGCTCCTCAGTCAGACCTTGAGAGGCAGCAGACTGGAACAGCGAGTTTATCGCCATTTTAATAGGCTCTCCTCTGTGGCGAGGAAGGGGAGATTTATATCTACACCACCTCATCCTGCTCAAACACCCAATGAAATACAAACAACTAAAAGTCATTGAAACACTCATTAAAACTGCCTGAAACACAAGTGGAAGAAAGGCTGTAAAGAGTTTTTGAAAGCATGGAAAAGTCGCCCTGCAGCCAAGTCCAACGCTGCGTTTTTGTCTCTGTAGTCAAAGCTTCATCCCAGGAGTTTAAATCTGTAATAATGACGTTTTGTTTTCAAGCCCTGCTGCATTTATCATCAAACAAGTTAATGCATCTCATCAAAGATCAAAACCGTATCAGAGCAGAAGATCACTTTAATGAAATGAAATGTTTTGGAGACATTCCCAGAAAATCCCCAAAACTCTACACTGTCTCTATTCCCTTTAACAGTTGAGCCACAGCGCCGTAGACAGAAAAGCCAAACAAACTCGTCTTTGCTGACTGTTGTCTGTAAACATAGGGACAGGCTGCAGAACACAGAAACACTCGGAGTGCTTGTTCTGCAACAGAGGGGTTCCTGTTGTTACTTTACATGTCTGAGAGCTGGGACAGAAATATCATTAGAGCTTTATATTGTCATCCTGACAATATTACCCCAACCTGCTCACCCAGTATGAATACTTTCAAACTAACCAGCTCTAGAGGTAGAGTTGGGACAGCTGTTCAGAGGGTTAGGGTTCAGTGTGACTGTAAGTGTTATTACTCCATGACTCCTTGCAGTGGCTCTTGTAATTTCACAACTTTAGAGTCAAGGAAGCCATCATGGCAGACAGAAAAGAGGAGCAGTCAACCGCTGTTGAATACGACATACTTTTGTACAGTTCACACTATCGGCTGTAAAAATAGAGCAGGGTGACAAACTGTCTTCTTTAAAATCCACTTGCTTTGTTAGACCTGTACCCCTTCTGTGATAAACTCTGTGCATTTCTCCAACTACCAGAGAGAATCAGTGAATTTGCAGGGACTGAAATTATCTCTGTTGTGTCCTGTTGACCAATCAGTCGTATCTGCGATCAGCTGAGGCCAAACCTCCCAGGCTCAACGACAGTAATAAAACTCCTAATTTGTTTAGATGTCCCAGAAAATTTGTATTAGCCGACTTATTCAACTCTGAAAAACTACAGGAATTAATAAAAGAGTCCAAAGAGAACTGGACTGATAAACAGAATAGATATATTAATATCATTTACATCTTTTCAGTTCCCATCTCATTGTATTGTTTGGAATCATCATGTCTTGTACTCTTTTGTATTGACTCATATCTTATTGTCAAGTTAAAGTGTATTTCTAAAACACATTTAAAAACAACCTCAGCTGACCAAAGTGCAAACAAACAAACAAACACAATATTATAAAACAAATATATAAAAATAAAATCCAATAAAATTGCGAGTGTATCTAAAAAATGTGCAGTACTGAGGTTGACCTTCGAAAAGTTTCATTTGTTTTGTCCTTTCTACCAGACATGGATTTCCTTTTTTAAAGACACCTGATTTCACTGAAAATATTAAGTAACACAGACACACAGAACACAAGTGTCTACTGCTGGCACAGTTATTAATTTATTTTTCTTATGGTGCATCTTTCTTGTCTAATATTTAGCATTTCAGAATACAGCCTGAAAGACTGAATTTTGGTGCCATGATCCAGTTTTCAAAGCCGTCAAATGGCATTATGTGTTGTCGTTTTACACACCCCTTTGTGTCACGTCCCACAGGCAGGCGACGAGGCCTTTTCTTTTACCAACAAGCCAAAACATGCGAGTTAAAAAAAAAAAACTGGCTGCATTCCTCATCAGCGCCTGGATCCAAATAAAAAGCCTTCAGTCCTTTTTGGCTAAAGGATTCCTGCTGGCTGTCTGACAACCGCTTAAAAGCCTCATCAATGTATATTGATTATTTGGGATGAAACCAGCGCCATTGGACAGACATTTTCAGTAGCAGTGTTTAATATTAACAGAGAAGATTAAATGCCATGGGAGAGTGTTCGTAAAAAGCATGACCAGGCCTGGATGTGACACAGCATTAGTCATCCAGTGCAGACGAGTGCAAGCCAGACAGATCTTTGTAGAGGATTAGCAAAGTGAAACCTGAACACAATTAAATAAACTCCAGACAAAGCTCCTGTTCTCATCTATTAGAAAATGCTAGAAACTCTTTCCCTGAGTGAGAACGGGCACATGAACAGTCTGTGCTATTTCTCATCATCCCTCTGGAGGAGCAGCTCATTTCAAGTCTCAGCATCTCCAAGTCCTAAAATATTTTTATCCAACCAAAAAAGATAGCTTCCAGCAGAGAGAGGGAGAAATTACCTCTTGGAAGCAGGTTTCATAAAGATGAATATTAAAAGCAGGCAGGAATTATTCAATTCCCCTTTACAGCAAAACAGAGCAGAGTCATAAAATGATAATGAAAGCAGGTTGTACTGATGATGATAAAGTTTGGAAACTTTGGAACTTTCTATTAAAGATCCTTTTCATAGTCGATCACACAGAGAAGAAATAGCCTGTTTTATCGGTTGTTTTTGGACATGATGTTCACAACAGTGTAAGCGTCTTCTTCACACAGCAAATCAGATTGAGCTGCAGAAAAATAAACTGAAACAACAAATGGGAGAGAATCCCAACAGGAAATCCCCTAACCATCCAGAACAGACAAGGAAAGCAGTAACGAAAACAAGGCACCGTGACATCAAGTTTACGGATTCTGCAGCAGCTCAGCTACCAGCCCCCTTACTGGCATTCTGAGAGATGAGCAAAGACACTCGTCTCTGAATCAAAGCAGCTTCATTCATAGATCACAGTGGTAAAATTAAAAGCCTTGTGAATGCTGAGGACTGAAAGTGGCCTCACCTAAGCACAAGTGCAGCCCCCTCACATAGTATTAGTCACTGCTTTTCTGTGTGAAACTGCTAAAGGGGTTGTAACCACTGACATTTTTTTAAGCTGGAAGCGCCCATGACCTCAGTTTAAAGCATTTTCTCTACTCGCCAACGTTAAGTGCTGACAGGTTATGAAAGTTGTCCAGGAGGCACTTCTCCTTTCATTGGCAGTTTCAGTTAAAGTCGGTTTAATAATGCTTCATAATTACTCATATTTAATTTGATTCGATGTAAAAAAAAAAAAAAAGAAGAAGAAGAAAGAGAAATCTGACAGAAATGGTGTTGTGACATTTTTTGCAGCTCTACACATGGGAATTATGCCCCACAGAACTACAGGAGTTATTCCTCTGTACAGACCTCCACCATTGTTGTTGACAAAGTTTTCAGGTTTTTATTATCATGTATTTTTGCCACCATGCCCAGTCTTACATTACAGTCAAGCAAAAATCCTCCATGATTTGACCTGAGAGGATTGATCGTAGAAGATACACCTCTTTTTTTTTGCTATCTGCAGCATTCCTCTCCCTCCCTCTTGGCACTTTCATGTCCTGTTGGTAGCGTGGAGGAGTTTGGCTCTGTGTCTGGTACTACCAAGGAGTGAAACAGAGCAACACTACACCCGGGCATTTAGCCTACTCTCTCCTACTTCGCCCTCCCCTCTCCTCAGCTCTGAGTTCTCCATTATTCAGCTGTAAGGGGGGGCTGGGTGGGGGCAGTATCGTAGTCAGGAGAGCATCGGCGGCAGGGCCCGGTCTCAAACAATGACATCATCTCTGCAGGACTGGCAGGCCTTCTACACTTTGCATGTGTGAGTTGGCCTGTGCTCTTAGCGTACTTCTGGCTACGGAGACGAAACACAATGAAGCCACTGTATTGGAAATGTGACAGCAGACATCCCCCTTCAGGGTTCTCTTAAGGTTAGACCACACTGACAGAAAGCAAGGTGCTGACAGAATAAAGGTGGTGATGAAGAAGAGCAAGTGGCTGATGCTTCTGGGTTGATTAAACTGTTTACAAGGTTAGGATGCAAAGGTTTTAATGTCTAGAATTGAGGCTCTCATGTGAAAAAGATTAATGGCATATTCATTTTCTCTCAGGCTGAATGAAAAGTGGGCTTGAGTTGTTCCACAACAAGACAACCCCGCTCGAAACGTCTCCACAGCAGCTGCACAAACTCGACCAGACAAAAACCAAGGGCCGTGTTTTCATGCTGGAGCTAAGTGCCGCGTTACAGAACACACACAAACACACTCGCAGACACACACATGTTCACTCGGCTGTTAAGAGTGAGAGTCAGTGATGAATTTTAAGAGGGCCCAAGAAATCAGACTCTGCACGAAAGCAGTAAGAGTGGAGATGCATGGAGAGTGTGTGTTTTCTGAAAGTGTGTGGGAGTGTCATTAGGACTGCGCCTGGTGGTTAGAGAGTGCAGCCTGATGCTGCTCCAACTCTGGCTGATGGGAGCCCTTTTAACACATGCACTCCTGTATTCTCTGGAAAATTACAGGACAATCTCTCCCTGAAATTCCTCAGAGTTGCCTATCCTCACTCATTCATCATGGCCTGAAGTGTCAGGAAGAGGACAGGGGAGTTAATGGATGCTGCAGGGATCATTGTGTAATGTTTACAAGAAATCCTGGATGGTGACTGAAGCGAGTCCAACACCATGACAAAAAGTTTTTGTCTATTTATTAGTATGAGGTATGAAAGAATGAGTGGTGACCAGAAAGGAGTCTGATACAGCTCCATTGTGTGCAGAACAAGAGCAGTAGTCATTCAACAGCAGCATGTAAATTCAGGCTGTAATCAACAAAAGAAACTCTTGGTCGGCTAAAACCCTGAAATGTTCGACCAAAATCAACTCGTTTGTGTGTGGGGATTCTCTGAAGGCAAACCCTACCACAGCGGGGATGACCCGGCATGGCAAGGCGTGGCTCGGCGGGGTGAAAATATACTGATATCAGCACAAGAAGGCCATTAAACACAACAAAAGTTGAAACACTCAAAATAAAGTTTAATATTCAGCCAACCACCGGACGTTGATTAACGTGGCACTCTTCAATCTTCCTGTCTCCAGCCGGTCTCCAGTGGGTTGGAAGAAGCCAAAATAGTTAAAAGAAGGGGGTGTTCTGAAAACACTTGTACATTCTCCTGGTGAAATTAACCATAAACTGTAAATTGAAAAAAAAATTGGAAAAAAATCGAGTCAACCAATTAGAATTTTGATCAACTCAGCACGAATCGACCAATAAGTCGACCAGTGGACTAGGACTTCACAGCCGTAATGTAAACATTATCACTCATTCGCAGTGAAGTTTCATGATTTTTCCTGTTGCACTGGCTCATCTTGAAATCTTCAGACATTTCACTTCATAGCTGGCAGGAAAAATTCAGGTGAAAGTCAGAAAGAAAGACTTAACCCTCAGCTGCAGCTCACCTAAAATAACTTGGTTCTTTTAGCTCAAATGAATAAGGTGCGATTGTTCTCTTTGTTTTACACAGCCATCACCTGCAGATGCAGTCATGCTGCAGCAAACATGAAGAGCACTAAAGTCTGAATTTGCAGTTTTATCTATGCAAAGATGTGCAGAGAAAAGAAACAAACTTTCATTTGTAGAGTGACAGCTGCCTCTCCTGCTCAGAGGTGTGTGTTGATCAGGGATTATGACATCAGGGCTTCACAGAAAAAGATCTCAGCCTTAATACCAGGAACTGAGTGGCTTTTCTTTTCTGTAGGCGCAAGTATACATTTGCAGCCAAAATGACATTTGTGAATATTGTAAAAGTGGTGTGTCATTTTTAACAGACAGACCTGACCTCAAAGATTTGTGCATACCACATCATTATGAACAAACACTCTTGAGTCAAGGGTGGGCACAGAAGTTCTTGATTTAGGCCTCTGTTGCATTAAGACTGAAACCAGCCTGGAAGGGGCTGCAGGGAATAAAATCAGGAGGAAACCCCTGCACAAATGTATCCACAGATGAGAAACTGGGCAGTGAAATCAGAAGGTCTATCACAGAATACGACCACAGAGCCTCAGAAGGTACATCAATTACAGCTCAGACAGCCTCAGCAGCGCCACCACAGAACCTCAAGCCCATTCGTGTTGTCTGCAGGAATTTCACTTCCAGACTAATTTGTAGCTACCGGTCAAAGGTTCACATGTAGATTGTTAATCCTGCAAACTTGAAACACTTTTAATCCAGCAGCTGGTGCCCAAGTAGTCACCCAAGTATTCAAATGTAACCTCAGCTCCAAAAGAGAAAAGGATGCAAAATGTTAATAAAAACAGAATAGACAGTTCACAACGAATCATTTGAATCCTAACTGAAAACAAAGCAAAGATGACACATCAAATGTTGAAAATTATCATTTTACTTTTACATGAAATATATGCTCAATTCAGGTTTCATTCTAACAACATAGACACAAAAACACTGAAAATGCTACAACGAACAACTGGAGGACCATCTCCAAACTAAGTACACTGATTTACAGGAGGTGAGCAACGTGACAGAGCATGAAAAAGACTCCTCAGAGAGGCCAGATCTCTCAGACATAATGATGGGAAGAGATTTGCCACACTGTGAGAGGGAAAGTCATTACCCACAGTACATAATATTGTTGAAAGATTCAGAGAATCTGGAGAAATCTCTGTACTGAAAGTGAAACGCTGATGATGAGTAATACATGGCTTTGATCTTCAGACCCCGGTGCATTTAAACAGACATGACTCTGCAGTGGAACTCACCACATGGGGTCAAAATAACACCCTAAAAAAACACTGTCTATGAACACGGTTTGCTGCTGTATCCACAAATGAGGTCAAAGCTAGAGTGACATGTGCTGTTATCCAGACGGATTTAACATAATGAAGCAAGAAGAACCTAAACTACATTTAGTACCTAATACAGCTGCATGGCAACAACCGGGTGCTAAAGCAGCTAGCCTGCAGTCCTGGTGGTGCATTGTGACACAAAAAAAAAACAAAAAACACTTCAAGCCTCCCAACATAAAACTTCACCCAATACACCAATAGATCAGGACAACAAAAAGCTGAATCAGGCTCAGAGAGACACTTACACGCATTCCTCCAAAGTGAAGATACAGATCACTCCAATCAATCAAACATAATGCAACTAGGACAGCTAAAAACCTCCCAAAGCTGGTTTAAATCATCCTGTATTCTGGTCTCATTCGAGGTACCATTAATCTCACACTGGACTGGTTAACCACAGCCTTGGTCAATGGGTGCATGATTAAGTATGCAAACTGTACCCCAATAAGACCAAGCCATTATCTCCAATTACAGCACCTGCTCTGCTTCTTAACAAGGCCAGCCATCCCACTACAAGGCAACAATCTGAGGAATAGACACTCGGCAAGCTAAGCACTTAATAACAACCTCCACCGCTTGTCCTCTGTACAAGCCACGAAACCTGATCCTGATGTGACTCTCTGGAGTCTGTTTGTCCTGTCTGCTGTGTTTGGACTGTGGGTGTCAGCGGACAGAACAGCCCAGGACAGCGTGGGACAGCAGGCTGACAACAAATGATGAAGAGCAACACCTCCTCTCTTTGGTAACTTCTTCTTGTCTACAAAACTCACTGTGGGATTGTCAACCGCAGACACCAACACATGCTGCAATAAAGTTCCCCTTTTACTTATTTGTTTTCTTTGGCCATTTCTCAAGGAGTCTGTCTGCATTTGCATGGAGGTTATCTCGACTGTTTTCCCTTTTTTATCTGGCTTTTAAGTCTGCAACGACTGGGGATGAATCTGCAATTAAATGTCTGGAAAGAGGATCGTAAAATTAGGACTGATAAGAATAAAAAATTCAGGACATTTAAAGCTAAATTTAGGTTGAACTGAAGACCAATCTAAAAACAGGAATCAGCTTAAGTGAGTGTAAAATACAGCAAAACATTCAGAGTGGTGACTCATTACTGTTTAATTTATTTCAGTATCACTTCATCTGAAAAAAAGATGAACTAAAGCAGCTGAGTCATCAGAAGAATGGAAGTAAAGACTGAAACAAACTATTCTGACATTGCCAGCAGCTCAGCTTGCAGCCCCCCAGGTCTAAAAATGTAAACAATCTTATTTAGCTATACAAGGTTAATTCGATTTGGGGTAAAAATGAGCTGTGTACAGTTAAGCCATCTCATTGAAGAAATGCTGTCAACGGTAAATTGTAGCATAATCAAAAACTAGTGCTGAAGTTTGTAAGGCAGGTCAGCTTGCAGCCCCCTGGCAATCTGCCCACCAAAAAGAGTCATGGAAAAACCTTTTTTTCGTTCCCCTTTTTAGAAAAATGATAAAGTCTGGATGACAAGCAGAATACGTCTGAAGGCCGCTGACGTTATGCCATGGCCTCAAACTTAAGCAAATGAGCAATCGAGTGCCATGGAAACACCATCTTACTAAAAAAGACTGTTTTCTCTTGTGATTTTAAAATCTGTGTCATTTTGTTTTGGAGGGGAGGAGGAAACCCCCCTGATAATTCATCTCCCTTTGGGTGACCTCTGAGATAAAAAGAATCCTCATTAGCAGCAGCTCAGCTCTCAGCCCCTCCTGTTACCCTTCATGAACCATATAGCGTTAGAAAAATGCTGATTTCTAAAATGTATCTTTAATTTTTTTAGTGTTTTTCTTCGTTGTCTTAAAGAGTTTAACATTGAAGTCTAAAACAGAGTGACATAAACATGAGTTAAAGGCATGTTAAGTGACCACATTCAAAATGAAAAGCAATTTGGTAACTAAGGTGTCTGTCATTATCAGGTTGCTTTTGGAACAAGCTTTCCGGAATTACAGTATTTATTATGACCACTAAATGTCAAAAAAGGAACATATTGCTCTGTGCCTCAATCAATAAATCACCAATGTCCAAAAGTTTTCAGGCAATCTGTAAATAACCTCGGCCATCATCCAGCATTTCAACAGCTCGTTTCCTCTTTACAGTTCCAGATAAGTGCTGTTGGGCGTCATCTCCAAACAACTTCCCAAACTATTTTAGAAAGTTTCACTATGACTGTGCCGTCCTGTCTTTTACTGTCTATCTCAACTTAATGGAGAAAAAGTTTTCTTGAAGTGATCATGTTTCATTGACTCTGCTGCAGTTTGTTGTAAGATGCTTCATTACTTCTTCCATCATGGTGTTGAGTGGTGGTGAGGGTTTAGTTGCCCTATTATGCTTTCCCAACCTGCAATGCTGAGAGACTGGGCAAGTTCAACGGCATGGGGAGACTGCAGACTTAAGGAAGAATTGTATTTGTACGACATGATAATGTTTCACCAGCAATTCTGACACCTGAGAAGCATCTTCTAAAGTATTTTGATTTCCACACCATGGATAACAAAATAAAAGACAATGGCAAGGCAGAGGAGGCAACATAGCATTACGTTAGCAGCTCAAATTTAAATAAAAGGGAGCAGTATTTGATCCTGTTTAGTTGACAGACTAGTGTTTTCGGCGAATGACAAAAAATAAACCATCTCACCATTGTTCAATTGTTATCAGGCTGTTGGTTTGGTTTGATGGTTCAAGAAAGAAGCTGCTGAAATTCTCTCCTGTTGGATATTTTCTATACAGGGAGGCATTATTAAGTCTTCTTGGGCTCCTTTCATGACAATGTTGAGCTAATGTGGATTTCAACGTAAGAAAACAACTAAATAAAGTCATGAAAATGTTTAGTGTAGGTGCAGCAGTGAGGGATTAAATATATCGGTGCATTAGTATGTCATGATCTGTATTAGTTTAAAAAGCCCTAATGATATCAACACCACCATCACTAGATGAACATCCTATAATTAAAATCCCTGAATCATATTATCTCTATCTTAAAAATGTATTGTAGAAAGTGCCCTGCATCAGCTGACCATGTGTAATTTACTTCATATTTGTCAAAACAGAAGCCATTTGAAAGCTCATACTGGTGCAACATCAATAATAAAAAAAAATCCATAAGACAAGTCTCTGTGCATTTCATCTCCAAAATTCACTCAACTGCTTTCATCTCTGTATTCTTGGCTATTTTCTCTCAGGAGGTACTTCTCACTAAGCTTAACTCTAACCTGATGCACCCAAGTCAGCTACAGTCTTGATCTGGTAAAAGCAACTATCCTGTTTAATTTCCACCTTATGTATCCACGAGATGAGGCCGATTAGATCCACAAAACTGTCTCAAAGTTTGCTTTAACAGTCTGTCCTCCATGTGTAATGTCTTTGAAATTGGTACTTCATTTAAACTTATCAGTTGTTTTTCTCAGTCACCCCTGTCTTCTTGTGACAGAGGTGAAATGGAAACAACAGCTGGAGCCATTTGTTTCTCACCTCTAACCCCAGCTCCCCCTTCTATCCTCATTCTCTCCCATTGAAAACCACCATTTAGCAATCATGTAATGCGGTTTTCTTGTTAGTATTGGACAGGGCACAGCAGGATGAATAAGACCTCAAAGACTCTCCAGAGTCCTCGGGGGTTTCTGGTAACTTCTGGGCAAATAACATCTACGTAAGAGCTTTTAAATCCCAAGATTTTTGCCATTCGTGTACGAGAGATGCCATGCACAGGTTGCCATCAGCCGACCTCCAGGCTGACCAGGTTTAACACAGAAACCCCGCATATTCAGTGGGCAGTAACGACTTACATATTGCATCGAAATAAATAATGTGAACCGGCTGACCCACTCTGTATTCGGTGAGCTGGGTGTGCTGCTTTGAGGTTAAACAGGTCAATAATTTCAGTTATTTTCTCTGCAAAGTTCCCAATCCTCCTCACTTTAAGGTGCGAGCAATGAGTGACTTACAAACAACACAGAGGCTTGCGTAATTTTTCTTCGAGATATTCGTACCAGCTAAGGGCACACTGAGGTGATGCGCAGAGATTAGGGTTTAGGAGAGCGCTGTCGTGGAGGTGCACAATATTACCTGTCCATACACCTTTGGCATGGCCGATTCCCCGGCGCTCCGGCGGCTTCTCTGCAACGGGAGGGCGCCGGACTCCGACGCGCCTTCAGCAATGCTTCGAGCGGCCAGAGGCTGTGCAGGAGCCGCGGCGCGTCCTCCATCTCTCCGCGGTAAATCCTCATTTGCTTCTATCGTGAAAAATCCTCTGTTTTGAGGGAGCATGAAACGCTGCTCTGGGCGAAGATGAAGGGTCGACGCATTTAATCCAGCGACCAAAAAAAGTAATAAATATAACGAAGAGCGGAGAGAGGACTGCATCTTGCCTGCTTGTGATATCGCCATGTTTGTGTATGTTTGGCTTGTAGCTTAGGTAAGACCGAAGAGCTCCTTCTACTGGCAATGGAGCTGTTTCATGCTGCGTTCACGGACCATGGGAATGTTAGGGAAAGACGACACTCCCCGCTTCTTGATCACCAGTTGGTTTGGTGTTGCGGTAAAACAAAGGCAGTTAACAACCACCAATGCGACAAAGTGACAATTGTTACCAAGACACAAAGGTACACACACATACACACACAAATAAACATACACACACTCTGTGGCAAACGCAAAAGGAGTAGGTCTGAATGATATTTGAAGAGACAGAAAAACCACTAAATACATCTGTGCCCATAACAATAATAATAATAATAATAATAATAATAATAATAACAATAATAATAATAATAATAAGAAGAAGAAGAAGAAGAAGAAGAAGAAGAAGAAGAAGAAGAACAACAACAACAACAACAACAACACAGAGCTTACTAAAAATAATAATGACATTTTTATTATTATTTTATTTAAATGCGCTCTGATTGCCTTAAGTGTATAAAATGTAAACGAAGTGCACCCTTGTTGCTTTTTTGTGAATACAATGTAAACAAATGTCCTCTGGTTGCTAATTTAAAAGTAATAAAATGAAAACAAAGGGCCCTCTGGTATCCTTCAGTGAATAAACTGTAAATAAAGAACCCGTTGGTTGCTTTTTTGTGATTGCATTGTAAAAAAAAAAAAAGAAAATTGCCCTCTGTCTTCTTTTTGTGTGATCAATTTTAAACTAAGTACTTCTGGGACCTATTCTACGAAGCGAGTTCGACCTAGCGAGGTAGCCTTGGAGCTACCTCGTTCAACTTAGCGCGGTAGCCAGCGGTCTTGCTAAACGGTCTTACGACGCTGGTTATCAACCTCGGAAGTGGATCCAGCTTTGCTATGAGCGTGTGCACGCATGTAAGGCGGAGCCCGCCGCATCTGACCAATCCCATACATGGACCAGCCTGGAGCGTCACAGCAGGCCGGAGAGCGAAGGACCGCGGAGTTTACAAATGAGGAGCAGGAGACGATCATGAGAAAGTATGAAGAATTTAAATCTATCATAAACCTCAAAAGCAACACCGTCGCCGCTGCAAAAGCACAGAAGGGATGCTGGCAGAAAATTGCCAACAGTCTCAATGCTTAAGTATAGTGCACAAAAAAACTTTGATGCCATTATCACCCTGAAATAGCACTGTTCAACATGCGCTTTTAACATGCACCAGGCGTGTGTAATTCATTTCCAAGATGAATTCATTCATTTGTTCATTCCTATCGTGTTTACATTTTCTGTGTGATATGTAGGCCATATGAGCCTTTCATAAAGGTGGCAACTGGAAAAGTAAGTGCGTCCGTGCGGTCCCTGAAAACTCTCACCCGCCAGAGTGCTCCTCGGACAATGCGAGCACAGAGGTTTATAGCATCCTCCAAGAACAGACAAGCCATTTTTCGAGAGAGCTCATTGGTCCATGGGCGGGGTTTTTATACTCAGTGAGTTCAATCTGGAACTTAACCTGCCCCGGAGCAGGTTAGCCGTTCAGCGTATATTGCTATGGAGACTCGCCTCGCTAAGAAGTGAACCCGCGTCGTAGAACAGGAAACCCCGAATTTATCCTCGAAGTTACCTCGCTAAGCAGTAATCCTGCTTCGTAGAACAGGCCCCAGGTTAGCCGGTCAGCATACGTTGCCGTGAAGACTCGCCTCGCTAAGAAGTGAACCCCGTCGTAGAACAGGAAACCCCTTACCTTCGAAGTTACCTCGTTAAGCAGTAATCCTGCTTCGTAGAATAGGCCCCTGGTTGCTCTTTTATGTTTAAAAATTTAAACAAAGTTCTCCCTGTTTGCTTTTTGAGAGAATAAAAGGTGAGTGAGGAGTCTCTGGGTCCTTTTTAGTGAAGAAAACGTTTTAGTGCTGTCTGGTTGCTTTTTTGGTTAATAAAGGTCAAACAAATTTGTTCTAGTAGCTTATTTAAGTCAATTTGTTGTTAACAAAGTGCCCTCAGGTTGCATTTTAAGAATATAATTTGTAAAAGTCGTGCCATTTAGTTTATTTTTACCTTGGTTAAATTTTTAAAAAAGGATATCAACAATTAATAACTTAAAACTATGAATAACTGATTACTATACTTTTAAAGCCTGTATAGCATACAGCAGATGCCCTTTGAATTTTGTATGAAAATGGTATGGTCCAAGAATTATTTTCTTAAAAACCTGATTGCTGAATTTTTGATCCTTGATCTTAATCCTTTCTGATTTGCAATTTCTGAAATGCAATATTCCTGTTCATTAAACTGACACTTGCCTTTTTTACCTGTAAATATTGAAGCTATCAATCTAGAGTTTTGCTTATCCTGTTACATTTTGGTTAGTGTCAGAGGTATCTTGATGACATGTCCCAATGATTGTATTATTAATCTAGAAAGTCACGTACTTAAAATTGCAATAAGAAGGAAATCAGTTTTATGATCAAACCATCACTCCATGGCTTGATTAACAATCAATAAAATTAATATGCAGCCTCTGTTTATTCTTGAAGCAGGATTAACCTTAAATTCTTCATAATTAACATTGCACTGTTTGAGTTGTTGAGAAACATTGACTCAGATCTGTTCTTAATGTCTGTTTAATATATAAAGATGTTAAAGAGTAACAATACTCACCATTAAATGACAAATATTACAATTTTAACTGAGAGCATCTTGCTTTTGATCAGATTATAAGCTCCTCAGGGTCTCCGATATTCAATATTTGTGCAGTCAAACTTAATGTAGCTCCACAACATTAGCAGACCCCTTTTTCTGTGTTGTCTTCACTGCTGGGTCGATTCAGTCTACTTTATTTTTATCGATTGTGATTCTTCAGGGGTTACATTCACAAACATCCTCGAAGAATCACATTATTTTCTGCAAAACCTTTGAATTAGTTCAATATTGATTTGACTCGCACTTCCTCAAACAAAGTTGTACAACTGCCCTGCAAGCTGAATGTGAGCCCTGGAGTTTTCATTATGGCTTATAAAGTAACTTTGCAAGGTAATTATTTCTTACAAAAATAAGTAGAATTTACCTTTTCGGTTTGTTTGTTTGTTTGTTTGTTTGTTTGTTTTTTGCCTCATTGGTAAGTATAGCCTATAATTAGGTATCATATGCATCAGTGGTAAAATGGGTTCCTTGTATGAACACTGATTATTTTATGTCTGAAAAGTTTTTCTTTACACTCTCTGGATCACTTGCAAGTTTACAAATATGGTTTGGTGGGGTGCTTTACATTTATGGAAATAATCTACTTAGTTGCCACACGCTGATCTCCAGTTAAACCTCCCACCTCAGTAACATCAGTAAACAGCCAGTTCTCAGTGTATTTCTAATCTCCCTATAAGCAACCCCCTGGAGTTAATCCACTCAGAGCACATAAAGGGACACCACACCACAAGACACCACATAGGACAGCTGAGTGTGAAAATCTCAGAATCAAAATAACAGCATATTCAATCCATACAGTGTGTGATTTTTCACATTATGGCTTGGTTGGTTATTTTCACACTATTAGAATAAAACCTAAAAATTTTATTTTTACAAGAAATCCGGTGGTTACGAAAGAAGGAATTTACTTTTACTACAAATATTTCTGATTTTACTTTGGCGCAATTAAAGAAAGATGTGTGAAGCTGCATGTTTCAAGGGTTCTGTCAAGAACAAAACTGACAGTGGGACCCAAATGCAGGCAAAAATTAGGCTTTATTAAACAGTCCAGGTTCAGTACACAAAGAAGCAGTCAAACGGGCAGAGGTATCCAAATCCCTAAGCAAAAGCTAGGTCCATCAAAAACAAGATGAATGCTGAAACTTGACTGAGAGGTACAACGAACTGGTGACAAGACTGTGAGAGACCTTAGGTTAAATACATGAGGTAATGAGGGTGATGGGAAACAGGTGGGAAGACACAACCAGGAGGCAGGTGTTACAAGACAAGACAGGGGCAAGGCAGACAGGAACAGATCTGAAACATAGACAGGGGTAAGTGAACTCAAAGTAAAAACACCAGACATGAAATGAAACAAGTAAAATACAGATAACTTAACCATGTTCATGACAGGTTCTGATGATAATGGTTTTAACATAAGGCTTTTATAGGGGCAGGAAGACCACATGGCCAAAAGTCAATTTATCTGGCCTAAGTGCTTCACTTACAGAGGTAGTACAAAGGAGATACTACCTCAAATTTTGAAGTTCTAACAAAATACAAGTGGTTATGATGTGGCCCTAGTGTCATGTTTGTTATTTATGTGTTGCCTAAAATTTAAAGCTATTACCCAGGCCAGATCCCTCAATTACAGATGTGTCTTCGTACAAACATTCCCTCCAATTCTGAGGAAATGACAAAGTGTTTGAGATTATCATAATCATAATCAGCTTAAATAGCCAAGTATGTGTGCCCATACAAAGAATCAGACTCCAAAATTTGGTTTGATAATGATTTGGCCCTCATGTAATGCTGTGCCACATCACAGCCAAAGGTCCATAATAGGGGCCATATGGGACCAAATAGATGATGCTATCAGAACAGATAATTGTTTTAGTAATAAAGCTTTGGGAGGCTCCCCACACCACCCATCACTTGAGTTACCTGGATTTCTTTGGGAGAAAGGGAGCTAAGTGCTGATTTGAGATAGACTGATAAATCAGTTGGCAGATTAATAGCCTTTTCAGGTAATCTGCATCATATCAGCATTGACCCACTGAAGGCTGATATCATCATCATCTTTTCTATATGTACCATGTTATGTTAATTCTGCTGCAGCTAAACTATCAATAGTAGGGGATATCGGGGCTTGTTGTCACATGGGTAAGTTGTCACATTGCAATTATCTTTGCCACCAGAGGGCACAACTGAAAAGTGGAATACAGGTTTTCTTCCTTTACATGGTCAGGGGTCATGTCCTGTCTGAGAAGAGAAGAGCACATTGTGAGCTGAGATGAGTGCAAATTAACCATTTTGCACAACCAAATGTAAAAATGTTTAACTTTATATCTTTTAAAATAAGCTTCTTTCTGATAAGTATCCTAGCGGTGATACATGTGGACTTGTTAGAAGAGAGATTAATGCTGCGTTCCAGTTGTTCCAGCTGAAGTCAGATTTCCGACTCGGAAAGTCGGACAATCTTCACCAACCCTGACTTGACGACAACGTCATAATTCAAGATGGCAGCCCAGTGCATCAACAGTAAAGAGTAACAGTAAAAGCTCTCGTAATGTATTATTTTCTAGCACTTCTGTTTTGTTTTTGTGAAATTAAATAAGTGGTATATGTTGTGCTGCCCAATGTCCAACTTTGAACATGGTGCTATGGTGTTTATAGGGTAAAATACTGTGTTGTGCGTTGTTTACAACTGGTAAAGCTAACAAGAACTAACAACCGCTGACTACGGCTAACAACAGCTGACAACCGCTAACAACAACTGACAATGGACAATGACAGCTGACAATTGAAAAACGACAGCTAAAAATGGGTAACTGCAGGCATCCATCTTGGTTTTCCAACATGTTAACTGGAACGCTGTCAACTTGGGTGTAACGTCATTCCCAGCTCTGACATCCAACGTCTGAGGTAACTGGAATGCAACATAAGGCATCCTGTCATACTGCAGTCATTGTTCTGTTTTAAGCTAACTTTAAGCTAGAGCTATAATTAGCAAACATGGTAGTTTGGGGCAACATGTCATAGTCATTTTGGGGTTAGTTGTCACATGTTTGAAAGAGATTAAAAATAATATAGAGGGTCCGCTTATCAGCAGTTGTCATAATGAAATTCTGACTTTATTTTTACCAAAAAAAAGAGTGGTTCAAAGGAGAGGAGAAAGCAAAAAAACATAATCAGAATTACAGAAGAAAAAACAGAGCGTGGCAGTGACGTGATGCTGAGGGCAGTCAAGCAGATGACCCTAGCTAATAAATCAGTCTGGAGTAAAATAAAGCACTTTAATGTCAACTACCATACCTTGGCTCGGTACTGCAAAACATTAACCCAGCCAAAATACAGAGTCAGACAGATCTCCAAACTCCAGTGCATGTTGCATAATATTTAATGTTAATGTTTGTTCGATGGCTAAGTTCAACGACTTTTTCTAGCTGAATGATAAACATTTTCTGTGCCTGACTTTGTTCACTTTCAAATGAAAAAATTCGAACAAACACAATTTTGTCCATGTTTTATTAGCTGCAAAATCCACTATGACATCTTACCCCATCTAGAGAGACAACTTACCCAATGGTGGGGCAACATGTCAAATGTTCACACTCTCTATTTGATTTTTTATAACTCTGCACTGACACAAGATATGAAAATGACATACAATATATACTGTATACCTGAGATTTGGATCTTTCATCAGGTACACATTTTGTTTATATATGATGTATAGATTCCAAGAAACATATGAGTGTAAAAAGTGTGACAACAAGCCCTGGTCTCCCCTACTTGATACACCAAATAATGTAGTGATGGCATCTTAAATCCAGAACAGTCACTGGCTAGTGTTATATAAATCCTGTTATGATGTATATAATCATACAGTTAAATATTGCTACTTACATTTGTCGGTCACATCATGAAATCTGTAGCATAACTCGTGTTTATGTCTTTTAATCAATTCAATAAAAATACATCTTAAAAAAATTGTTGCATTGATATTTTTGTCTATTCACTAAATCTCAAATGTTTTGTTTCTCATTAGCTAGTATGTTTGTAGTGATAACGTTATATGCAGTTAAAAAAGAAACAAAATAAACAAAAACAATGTTATCAGCATTGTATACTCTATTGGCCATTACCTGACCTGCTCTCTCATTATTTGGCCATTGAAAAACTGGTACTGGTGTACCACTAGTGTTGATAGAGCCTACCATGAAAATAAACGTTAACAAACTAAAAAATATTAAAGAGTGGCTGCCATGTGAATTTGATTTGGGTGACCTAATCAGATCTCATTGTACAGCATTAACAGCCTTTTCCAACATTACCCATCACTGTCCGGTAATGCTAATGAGTTGCCAGCTCTGTTGTGATGAGTTTTGTACCTGTGCCCATGGTAGATTCAAATACAGAGTTTTTATGATGTTAATCTAAGTAGTATGTAGGATAAAAGACCTTTTTTGAGAGAGTATGGCTTAGAGGCCCTTCATCGCGTTCATGGTTGGAGAAAAAGCGATGAAGCTTATGAAAAGTAAAACTTGTCAGGAGAGTAATTCAAGTGCTGACAGAAACGGCCTTTTTTTCCTTTATTACAAAAATATAATAACAGCTACTGAAACCAACCGTAGAATTATACAAGCGGCCTTGAATGCGCCACACACCATTTAAGCTCGCGCTTACCTGTTTGGACCTAACGGTACATTTTCTCCTAGAAACGGCCAGAATCAGCAAAAGTGATGGATTAACCGTCAAGTAACGGCCATTACTGTCATGTTTTAGACAAACGAGTGAATTCTTCAACTTTCTGACACGTACCTTTGCCTTGTAAGTAACTGTAAGCTGTTTCTATCGTAAAGACTGTAGCTGCTCAACGTTGGTTTACATATTAGCAGGTGTGTAGGCGACTAGCTTAATTTATGCTGCGTTCCAGTTACCTCGGAAGTCGGAAGGAGGTGCCAGTAAGGGTTACATGAACTGTTTTAGCTTCGTTTCAGCTAGGCCATTTTCGTAGACACCAGGTGGCATTACTTAAGTTTCAAGCCAAAGCAAAGACAGTTTTCCTTGCTCGTAAACCTAAATTTACAAGAAGATAACTTATTGTAATGTATACAGCTGTTGATGTTTCTGTATGACTTACAAGAGCAAACAGACCATCAGATCCAACACCCACGTAATGCTATCGAGACTTAATGAGGTCTGAAAACACAGGGGTAATAGGTAGCTTTAGTCGATTGTAAGCCACCAAAACAGCCTTTTTTTTCACATTTTCAATGGAGAAACCTCTACTAGGTGAGATTTTTGCTTAAAAAATGACGCAGACCAAGTATAGTAGACCAATATCACCAAAGGGATAAAAGTTATTGCTTTGATTGCAAGGGCTTGAAAATTGACAGAGATTCTCTCAGGAGCTTCAGGTAAAAGTTGATGTTTCACAATCAATGCACTCATCTTACATTTTGTTTCAACAAATCATTTAAACCCCCTACTTGGAGCCTCAGAGTTTCAAATAAACCCCCCAAAAATATCCTTTCCCTAAACCTGTCCAAATGTCATAAACTCTTTGATTATGTCTAACAATGACTAAACAAAACAGCAAATCAAAACACTTGAAGTGCTTGGTATTTAAAAAAAGTTATTTGGTACAAATAAAGTGGCAAATTTATTGATTAACCAATTTTTTTTAATGCCCTGGCATTAAAATTTGAAATTCACATACAAAGTTGCAACATTTTTTTTTGTTAGATGATAGTCCTCAGTGAACTGACATCCACATATTTTATGTATCAGATGATAAGTGAGACCCAGTCATCATCAGAAATCTTGACTTAGTTACACAGATGTAACAGCATGAAACAGGAATAGACACTAATGTGTATAATGGCATCATGGCGTGTAGAAGTCTGGCCTATTAACCACATAAGAGAAGAAGCTTTGCCATCTTGAGATAACGGCGTAATCTGTTATTATGCGAAAACCAACTCTGCCGCTAGGGGCTTATGTTGGTATGAACTGTGCTTTAGGAATTTGTGACAGAGATGAGGGACAGAGAGACTGTTGTTGTTAATGGGCCAATTCTGTGGTCAAATTGAATGTGACATTTTCAGTGATATTACCAAATAATAAGAGAGGCAACACCAATGGCAGAAAAGCTGACTCAACCAACACTTATCAAGAGGACTGTGAACAGCAACAACAAAGGCCCTACACAGACTATACTGCAAGAGGTAAGAGCAGCAGTGTCAGCAGAAGTGTCCTGTTTTCAGAGAAGTTAATGTAATGAACTATAAAAAGTAGTTACTTAAATTAAGAATGGCACTGTCTTAATTGAGGGGTTGGACTATGACTTTTTTTTTTTTTTTTGCACATCATGTGCAGCCAGTTAAGTATGCATGGCTAAGTAAAACCAGTTTTCCTTCTTTTGTAGACAGCGTGGTCATCTGCCAATCCAGAGAAATCCCCCCCAATGAAGAAAAAAACTCCATCCAAACCAGCTTTTTCAGGGTCGGCAACCTTATGTGACACTCCAGCTGCAGGTATGAACAGTGTCACACTGCTTATCATAACAGATAACACCAAAGTTGTGTGGGGAAGTAGTAGATTTAGAGTTCTGTAATGTCAAATGCTTCAGAGGTGCAATGTTTTGTTTGCTTATTTTTGTGGCTGGTTTTAATGGTAATATGGTAATATGACATCCCACTGAATTTATTCAACTAATGTTGTTTGCTTTCTTGCATCTCTGCCTCTGGTTTGCATAGGGAACTCCTATCCAGAATAATTCTATTTCATTTATATTTCCCTGATGTCTTTTTTGCCTTAGAGAAGAATGTTGCCACCATTTGCTGCCACAATTTGTTGTTGGTTAAGAAAAATATGTTGATGAAAAGCCTGAAATGAAGATTCAGTCTTAATGACAAGCTAAAGTAATTTTTGCCTTGGTGTAAGACTTGAACATTCCTTCAATTGTTTTGCTCTCTGAAACAGGTGCAAGTAGGGAGGTCAATGTGCAGTTTTCTCATTTTGCTGGAATGCTAAGGTAAGCCATTTTTATTCCATGTTACAAGACTTTGCAAAGCTTTGATCCATAATTAAAGATTGAGACTTGGTTACCAAACGTGCTTTTGATAATGAAAAGATAGGCTACAAGATAAAGATACTGCAGTTCATTTTGATTCATTCACAGCTACTACTGGTACACCAATAACCAACAGAATAATACTCAAAAAACATGAACTTTTTTTCGTCACGCTGATTGAAAACATTTACAACGATATTGATTCAAGTGTTTATGGCTGATGATTTAATTGGGTCTGGGGTTAAAATCATTGATCATTATGAAAATATTGTCTTTCTATGCTCCAGTCTGTGCTGGCTATATAAACTATTTCAAACAGTGCATGTTACATTCTTTGCCTTAATTACGTACTCTACCTCACTACTGTCTAAACATTGTGTTGACAAGTTCTCTGAGTTATCAGTTTGACTTTAAAGCTGCGTCCTCTGCAAATACGTAGTAACTGTGTGTCACTAAGTATTTACATCAGCCTGTTGAGCGTGTGCTGAAAGAAAACAGCCAGAAGACAATCAGAAACACTGTCTACATGTGACAATTTCTTATTTTGATTACTTTTTTAAAGTTCAAAACTTCCCCTTTACAGCTGATTTGGGTCTGTCATTTTTATTCTGTTTGGGATTTTGTACCATTTATAAAAGGGATTATAATGCTTCATGTAAATATGCCGACTTTCACTTTTTATGGTTTGTTGTAGTGAGACAGCTGCGGCGGACACATCCCAGATGAAGCAGCTAGATGGCATTTTGATAGAAGCTAGAAACTTTGAGTCTTGCCTTAAAGAGAAGAAAAAACAACTGAGGCAGACACTGGCTCTTATTTCTGACAACCTGCAGGGTTAGGTTGCTGCATGGTGGTGGAACAACCCTGTTATCTGCCTGAAGAATGATTTTATGTTTGTATTAACTTCTTTTTTTGTGTGCTTTAGTCATTCATATACACAGTAAATTAGTTGATGAACCAATGTGCAATACTTTTGCAAAGACAAAATTCTGTACATGTGCCATTTTTTCTCAGCATACCTACAAATGACAATATTGTACTTGTAAAATTTTTTGTGTTGTCAATTAAAAAAGGCCATTATTAACTTATTTTTTATTACATTTAAACTGGGTTATTCATGCAAATATTTTGTTTAACAGTCTATATACAAATTACTATCCAAGATTTTGAAATGAAAAGACCAAACGCTCTGTGTGCTCATATCGATGTGGATCTGTTAATATGAAATAAAGTACCCTGACTGCTTAAGAATTTCACCTGTTGTCGTAGTTGTTAGCAGCATGTTTCATGAGTTCAAAGTTATCTCATTACATCTGGAAAGGGTGTTGCTTCATTCCCATTTTTTACAACCACTTTTGCATTCCATTCTACATATTTTTGTAGTTGTGCTGTCATTAGGTATCAAGGCAGTGATGAGTCCTACAGCTGGCCAGGAGAGGGTGCTAACATGTCACCATCTGCTGCCACTGCTTCACTTTCAGTCAGAATGTTAATGCATCAGTGTATTGTCAGTCTGTTTTGTGCAAATTCAATGTTATGGTGTCTAAAATATGCACTTTATCCAGGATTACTTAGCAAAATGATACTGTTGCAGTAATAACATTTTATGTATTATTTAATGACAGTGATTAAAATGAGGAAAACATTACTGACAGGTAGAACAGTTATTTTCAATCAGCCTTTATTTATTTACATAGTGATAATACTTCTCATGCAAATATTCAAAAATGTAAGTCTGGTCAAATTATATACAATGTTATTGTAGCTTTCTCTACCAATTGAACCTGTAGCCATAAAATGCACTTTGTTGTCAGTTCGTGGTTCTTTTAAATTGGTTCCATAAAGGAGTCAAAAATATCTTAACTAACACTTAAACTGATTATTTTCTGCAATGCAAAATTGTTTATTGCTGTCATACTGTTCAGATGACAAAAACTGTCTTTAAAGCCAGTTTAACTTTGACACTTGACTTTAAATGTTCAAATTAAATAAAACATTTTAAAACAATAGTTTAAAGTAGAGAAAAATCATATTTTACAATATTCTTGACAGGACATGATCAAACAACAACTACAACATATAAATAAAAGAGGTTTTCCTTTGTTTTGGTTAACAATACATTCACATCATCTAAAGCAACCCTTTGAACTTCATGAGACGAACAAAACAGCAAAGAAAATATTTACAAAGTGTTCAACTTCTGCCATGATTTCTGAGTCCATGCAAAACCAGAGGTACATTTATTGTCTCTGCCTCGCACGTTTAGGCAGTGTTGTTGAATGCTCCGTGGAAACCATAGGGGATGTTGACAGGCACTGCAGCTCTGCCCAGCTCCTCAAATGTTTTGGCATCTAAAACCAGGAGGAATGTGCTCTTGTCCTTGAAAGAATTAAGACATGGGAGAAAAATACTGTTATGAGCATGACAGAGTTAGAGAAATTAGCACATTGAAATTCACAGACATATAATTTAGTCAACTTGGAATGCTTTAAATGCTAATTTTTTTCTCGTCAAATACCGGTAGAAGAGAAGTCGAAGGATGGCTACATCTGAAAGTCTCTGGTTATGGTACAGTGCTTTCACATAACCCCTTTTGCCTTCTACAGCCCTTTAGGATTGTATTACTGTATAATACTATTGACTCAAGAGCCAGCTGTTTGAAAATCCACCTAGTGTTTCTTTGGTCCAAAAACACTTTGACTGAACTTGACTCACCTCATTCGGAGTAATGACCACGGATAGAACGACACCATCATCTTCCTCAGTTGCATTGGGGGAGGGCACAAAGACAGGTTCAGAGGGATAAAGACCAGGTTGCTCCCACACCTGCAGGAAAATACAGTAGATTGCCATAAGTTTTAGAGTTGGCAGCGGTTTGTGATTTGTGTTATCGGCCTTTGACAGTAGGTAGAGATATGATCCATGCTTTAATACATTGTTTTTTCATTGCACTGGTGGACAGTAATGCTCAAACTCTTAACTCACCTTCATGTTTTTCCCATTGATGTCCATCTTGATCAGTGAATCTCCAACAAGATGTCTGAAGCCACAGCCGTAAAAGTAACGGTAGGGCTTGGTGTTGTATTTGCCATAGTTGATCTGGGGAAACTCAAGACCTCCATATTGATGAAGATCTTCCCCATGGAGGTCCTCATGGGTGCAGAAGACCTGGACAGGGGAAATTAAACAGCTTGAATAATGGACCCAGGGGATACTGGCTGTACAGTTTCAGTTCAAACTGTGGTTCAGTTAAAGTACTATTGACTCAATCAGAAGCATCCAAAGATTATGACAAGGTTAAGGCGTTTGTCTTTAGCTGACACAGCACAAATGCTGAGTAAGTTTTCTTATGTCAACTCCTTTTATGAGCAGACATCAAAATGAGTTTCACATAGTCATATCTTGATGTAAAAAGATCAAGTTAGCTGCTCACCTGATCTTTGGCCGTTTGGATGGCAGTGGCTGTGGTGTCAAAGCGGGCATTCAAATCCTGGTTGAGGGGTGTTGTTAAGTCCACATTGAGGGGAAGAACAAAGCGCCGTGGGAAGACTCTACACAAAGTGTTATACACCTGATGGGACAACATGAACATGATTCTTAACAGCTAAACCAAAAAACCTTGAATGAATATTGGTAGACTGCAACATAAAGCTTCTAGAGTATTGATATTGATCTATACTTAACTCCCTTACCTCGTCAAGGGCCTCACCAGACTGGCGCAGGTTTTGGATGTTGTAGTTTGAAATTGCTTGCCCATCATCTGAAGCACACAGATCTATGATCAAGAAGCCGTTCTCCTCATAAGCATTGATCTGGTGGAAAGTTGAAAGAGCCTGGGCAAAGTACTTGATGGAGCTCACCTAGAAATTGTTGATGTGACAGAAGGATAAAGAAATAATACAATAGTTAGAAGATGAGCATAGACGTTACCATTTTACTGGGAATCACAAACCTTATTTTAAAAATAACTGCACATTAGTGGCTTACAAACTTAACCTCCTTAAAGGCTGTATGGAGAAGTGACAAAAGTCTTTTTTGTTTGAGCCTCACCTTCCCTGTCTTCTTGTTAATCAGGTGGAAGATAGTTTTGCGTTTTGGGTCCCAGTAGATGCCGTCACTGATGCTCTTTGTTCTCAGCTTGCCTGTCACGATCTTCAACAGGTCCATTTTGATCGGCTGCTCAATGAACACTACGTAGTTCTCAGACATTGCTGTAATTGTATGAGATGGCTGTGTTAGTTTCCATTGCAGAGCTCTGAAAGATCACTTTGTAGTTAACATTTTTTGTCCATGCTGGAAACAAGTGAGTCATTTATTAAACTTTTTTTTTTTTTTTTCCGGATAGTGTTTCTGATACTTTAATCAGGAATATTCAGCATTGTCATGGACTATTTTAACTGTTGCTCTCATACTCTGCTCTTTTCCTTTTGGCTTGCTCTTGGTGTTTGAGGTTCCTTGTTGATAGTTATTCCTTTCTTTCATTTGACGTAAGTTAAAGAGTCAAAGAAGGATTTGCTGGGGTTATGTTATGAAACCAGTGCATTGTTCATGCAATTTTACATAAGAGTGCAGAGATTGGATCCAGCTTCTTTAAATGGATATGTTTCTAATGAATACTATGAAACTTGGATAAAACTTTAACTTGCCAAAGCTGTGGTAGTAGGATGGTTTGGTCTTGTCCTCTGAGGGAATGGAGCACAACACAGTGGCTCCTTCCAGGGTATCATCAGGTGTTACCTTAGTTGGTGGCACACAGATGATGTTGTAGTATGCTCCTACAAGAATAAAAACAGCTACTGAGCCACAGGTGAACAGGGTGGTTGTTCTGTTTTTGAGGAATGTTGTTTTATGTTTGTAAAGTACCTTTGCTGGTGTAGGAGTTACCCATGTTGTAGGTTGTTCCATCAGCTTCAGTGTGAGGGTGTGCTGTTGCTCCATTCACGGCAATGAATTTCCTCCAGTTCACCTATAAATGTGTACAAGGACTTGTGAATACCTTTTCATATATTCTATGATTTATATAGCCGCTAAGTGCTCATAAGCTTTAACTCAGCGGCTTCTTACAAATGTGCTGTAGTGCTGCTCTCATGTATGACTTTTGATGCCACTCGTCAAGCAGTTCAGTATAACACACTTAAGTGCCCAGTTTAAATACAACCGCTTCCCTTTAAACTAAATACAACAATGCATTACCTTTTTGGTTGTCTCAAGTGTCTCAGGGTCCACCCTGTGCATGACGTTGGTTTCTGTGCTGACAAAATAATCCCCTTTGTAGGTCACAAAGGCCACGTTGGCATTATCTGTGGGCTCTGAAGGGGAAAAAAACAATGAAAATGTAACCACACAGATCAGGACAGCTGTATTAATATCTACTATTCTGTATTTCAAATGCAGTGTAGTTACACCTCAATTTAGTAGTCTGTATCCTATCCATTTAGTGACATGTAGAGCAAGGCTCCGTTTAATGCAGCTTGATCACATACTTACTTGGTAACTCAAATCTTGACACAAAGCGCTGGAAGAAGTTTTTGCAGGGGTCTGGCATCATGATGGTACCAAACTCTGACACTGTGATGCGGTTGTGCTCCTTGTTGGATTGGTAACTGTCACTGGACAGGAAGCGGCTTTTGTAAGTCACCTGACCCTTGGATATTTTAAATTGGTGCAGCAGGGCCATGCCATCAAACCAGTGGTTGAACCTGAAGAGAAATAGGAGAAACATGAAAACGCTTATTCAAGCCGTTATGCCCAGGTCTAGACTAAACTCACTGTTGATTTAAGGATTTGTTAAAGAAAATTAGTTAAGGGTTAATTCAATTAGCTCCAAGACTTCAATCATGAAGATAATCTCATAATAGTGCATGAATAAGAGCATACAATTATGAGATTATCCCCATGATTTGCTCTAACTTAGCTGTACAAATGTCCCTGCTTTGGCACACCATCAATATAAAATCAATTTTTAGGGTTTTCTGAATGACTGACATACCACATCAAACAACCTCTTTAATCCTACACAGTATTGTTGTCTATACTTGCAATCACAAGCAAGAAAACCCACCAAGAGTGCATTTAATGGTTTTCCAGTTTCAAACAAATGACTTTTATCCCACAACTAGATGTTTCCAAAATACTCAAGAGCATTGTCACATTTATTTCGTGTAAGATCACCTATACTCACTTCTGGTTCCCAATCTCAAACTTCCCTGGTCCGTTTCTCAGAAAGCTTCCACTGATCCATTCTGGGATTTTACCAGTGATTGTGGTGGTGATGGGCTCAGGGGTTTCCTCAACAGATCTCACTATATTCTCGATGCAAGGCAGCCCATGCACATCAGTGAAGTGGTTGATGTTCTTCCTAGACTTGGACTTTTTGAGTGCTGTGGGAAAAAAAAGCAAAACTGCACTTAATAACAACTCAAAGCCAAATTTCCATCATAGAAATCTAGATATGGTATTCTTATTCAAAATTCAGCTCAATTTCAATTAAAAAACTTCATTTTGCATAAACAATGACTCTTACCTGTAGCACTGTCCTGTTGGATTGTGATGTCGGACATGGCTGGAGAGTTCTTTGTAGAGTGTGTGACAGTGTTGAGTCCTGCACAGTTCTCCTGTAGTGGTGTGGTTTTTTTTTAGCCTGAAACTCAGCTTTATACTGTCTGCTTGGCTGCGACGCCCCTTTTAACCTGACCCTAACAGATAAGTGAGCATGCAGGCAATGATTTCAGACTTACATAATTCTCTAAAAAAATGGAAGTGTTTCATGATCCGAAGATAACACAAGTCGTAACTTAGTCACAGAGATAATCACTTGATCTTAGAGGAAAGCAACACAATTTTACTGTGACAGCATTCATTTTTTGTATGTTGCATGGTGGTTTATTCTTTATTCTGCATGCTTAACAAACAAATGTGTAGTGATTCTGTGAGGATGAGAAGCTGGTCTGGAAATATTGATAGTCACACTATCAGTTTTTTGGATTTATCAAAATTTTGGATTTATCTAAATGAATTTATCAAATTTATTTTGATTTTTATCAAATTAATAATTCAGTTGATTTATCAAATCAACTGAATTATTTATTGTGAACACCCTTTTGTAGTGGGACAGTTAGGTGATAATAGGGATGGAGAGTGGAGCATGCAGCAAAGGGTAGAGGCTGAGAGCACAACAAGCTCCAACACTGATTCTGCATGCTTTGATCTGTGAGCCAAATCCAGATCTGGATTTTTGTTAAGAATTCTTTGATGGGGTAGGCTATAGATAAAAATAATGGTCTGGTGTCTCACTAATGTATATCATCCATAAGTTGATAACTAACACATTTTATGGTTTGCAGCCAGGGCACTGAAAGGTGAATCTGTTATCAGTTGCAGGTCAGGTGAACTGCAGAATCTAAATGGCCCATTTATTGTAGGTGCTACAGTAACAATGGTGAAGGGGCCTCATAGGGGATCATTTTTTACATGTCATTATCTAATACAAAATGCAGGTCAACATCACCAAGGTGGAGTGTATGGTATCTTCTTTACATGTTCTCAAAAATAGTAAATAAGCTTTATTAGCTCTGACTATCTCTTATCTATATTAGCAGGATTGAACATTGTTCTTTGTCATGTGTAGTATGGGGTGAAACAGAGGGCATGTGTTAACATAGCACTACGCCCTCCAGAGAAGAGCTGATGCAGCTGAAGTACTCAGTTATACTCAGTTCACCCCTTCACTCATCATTATACTCAGACTATTGAATTAAAATTAAGAAATAAATATTGGTAATCTTATATTAAAAATGAAAGTTAGGTTTGTGTTAACCTATATTGTGAAACAGTTGAACATCAGGTAGAAAGAAAGTACTACGTGTTGTCACTCCACAAAATTGGGAAGGCACAGTGTTTTTACTTTGTTAACAAGAGGGGATTGAACTAGGTAAGGGTTAGGATTTCATGTGTAAAGTTTGTGATATCTGCTTTAGTGTAGCTTTTGCTATTTAGAATTAAAATTGGTTGTCAGAGGGTTTTGACCAATCTGACCCAAGTATTTGACACAACTGGGTGATTAGAAAGAATAAAATATAAGAAAAGCTTTGGGGACGACAGTGCAGGGGCAACTTGTTAGTCAAATAGCCCACCAACGGGCAGTGAGTTTAAGATAGATAGATAGATAATCAGCATTCACCCACTTATTACTTATCAGTGAGTTAGGAAGGTTTTGTCAAATTTTAGCTTTGTAGTTTTAAAATACTGACTTTTAAAACATAGCGTGACTTTATTTTTGGATGTTCCCTTGAAATCCCTTTAACTGCTGGTCAAATCCTGGGGGAGTGTAAAAAAAAAAGATAAGTCAGATTTCCCAAATTTATCCTGGAACCTGAAACACAACATTTAAATAGCCAAACAAGTATTTTTTCCTTCCGCCTGCCAGTCTTTGAGCAAAGCTCAGCAAGGCTAATTGGCTGCCATCCTCAGTGTACTGATAGCCTCTGTACACCGATTCTTTATGGAAGTGTAGAATCTGCCAGACTGCACAGATTGTGTGTCTTGCACCCGTGAACAGTCTTCAGGAGAACAAAGGGAGCAGCAATCCCTTCTTATGATACTTGTAGGTGGTCATCTGTTTAACTATATGTTTATTGCATTTATTCCCTTATCAGTGGAGCAGTTCATAGAGGAAACAACAAAGAAATGGCAAATCCCAGAGAAAAAAAATGCTTCTTATGCAGTTATTACAAAACTCATTTGGAAGTTCCCAGAAAAACAACTTGTGTCCTCCAGCAATGTGAATATTGATTATACGAAGGGTACAAAAACAAGGACACAACTAAATTATTTGATTTTTGCTTTATGGGTGAATCGTGTGGTGTGTCAAAATTTAAAATTTCTCTTTTTTTTTTTACCAACTGATCCATGGTTCACAATGGTGCACTTGAGACTTTATTATCCCAAAATTCCCTGCATGATTTGAACAAAGACCGGCCTGTATCTGCTGGTCAGCACTGCAGAGTGACCATGGATGAATTCAAATCTCAGCAGCAACAACAACAATCTGCTTTCTGCATGTCACTGTGCTGAACAACATACAGTATTTTTTTACATTTTTGATTTTTCTGGGAAAACATTAAAGGTACTGAGGAATGTTTAACTGCGTTTTGAATAGTCAGGCTCTAACACGGACGCCTCTTCATGACCTACATCGTAAAATGAGATTTTTAGTGACTAATTTGGTTATTTCTTTCTACTGGATTTTAGTGCCTGTGTTTGGGTTGGATTTCAGTCTTGGTTAATAACTCTGCTGGTGAGGTTTGACATTGAGGAATGAGGGTGATTGGACAAATGTTCTTTACAAGCCAATTAGGGCAACAAAACATGACTTGGATTATGTCTGAAGAGTAAATTGTATAATACGTGTCTGACAGGTGCTGATTCTATCTTCAAGCCCTTTGGTTCAACTAAATTGCAGTCCAAATTAGACAATGTCTGACATTGAATCAGATTATTGCAAGGTTTACTTTCTGCTAAGGCTAGACTGTATTTGTCACAGGATACCTCACCACGGTTTGTCATATACAGTATGTAAACATAATCCATAAGGATTTTTTTGCTGTTTGTGATACAGTCTTAATTCAATTTATATGCCTGTAACACCAAAAAGATGCACACAGTATCATCAAAAAGAAACCAGTTTGTTATGGGGAAATTGTGAGTCAAGACCTCTTATACCCCATTTAATATTCATTCTTGTAGAAATGGAAATTTATGAATAAAAACATCACCAGACCTGTGACCAACTCATATTTGGAAAAGACATTCCTTCATAGACAGTTGTCATGCTTTTATTTTGATATTTTTTATGTCTTGCATTTATCTGCTGCATTGTCAAACTACGCTTTCTGGTAGATCATAAGTTAGATCAGAAAATAACAGTTAATTGGAAAATTTTCAAATACATTAAACCAGGACAGTGGACAGAAAATGTTGGGAATAAACCAGTTTACTTGGATCGAAATGATACTCCAAATCTCAGCATTGTTTGTAGTTTGGGTTGACTTGTTGTGCCCAACTTCATGGGCTGTGGAATTATCTTCTTACACAGGTTATTTTTGTTTCTTGGCTCAAGGAAGTCAAATCCAGTATATCAGGTCCCTGATATAGAACTCTTCTGGGAAGGGAGCGCTAAGGGCAAACTTCTTAACAAATACCCACTCACAAAGAAGTTGGTGGAAATTTAGTTGACCAGTCTATAAGATTTATTAGCTCTTGATTATGTGTGGTGTCACTGTGTGGGGCTATCAGTGTGCTTTTGTACCAGTGCCTCAAACTTCTGCCCAGTACAAAGGCGTTTCCATTTGTGGGTTAAATTCCATTGTTTCTTAACAGGTCATTCTCACTGTTACCACGATTCAGGAGGGGCAGACAGTAAAAAAATGTCTTTTGTAGATAAGTTCCATTTCTTCCACAGCAAGTGAACTTGGTGGTGATAAAATGCACTCCCACTGTGAACTGTTGGGCAGCTGATTGAGATAGTTGACGTAAACCGAGGATGTGCAACGAGAGGGCACACTGGACTGAATAACCCAATTATTGCTCTTATCTAGGCAGCCTGTCAAGCTGTTACACTACAGCCTGAACAGCTGTGTTAAACTGGGAGTCAGACAACTAATACCTGATGCCTGGTTGCACTTGCATGCAGATGAGTAGATGGCCATAATTAGTAATGCACCATTTTTTTTCCCAGCAAATGTCAAAGCTCGATTATATGTCTTTTTTCATACTCATTCACATTACCGAGCTGCTGGAAAACTGCTGAGTGTTTCCATTCCAATCGGATTTTAAGCTTCCCCTTTTATCATGATAAAGAGATCTATCAGACAAAAACAGCTTTGTGCTGTTGTTTTTCATACTAAAAATGCCTTGTGGGGAGTAAGTTGGATAAAATAGATTCTTTCTCTTCTGTCACTAGCCATCAGCAAAGCAGGGCAGATACGAGTTTACTGGTCACGTGCAGTAAACAAGCCCCTTCATGTTCTGGTTATAAATAGTCTCAAGAATTAATATATCCTCCATATAAAATCGAATCAGAGTAATCTGCCCAAAACTAATTCAATTATCATCAGCTACAAAAGGGTTATGCATGTCTTCATAATTGATCAAATGAAAAACTGAACCATGCAGACATTTAAACTGACTTTCTGTCTATCCTGACCATGTGGAGGTAAATGTTCAGGGCTGTATGTTGTTGTGAACTGCTGCCAGGTTGCAAGTCGCCCAACAGTATCTGTTGCGACATCAATCTTTCCATTCATACCCATTTCAGAGAGACACTGTTAAATGTCTATGTGCCTAAAGTTGGTGTCCACGGCTGGGAAATGCCCAAATAAAGCTACAGAAAAAAATGCAGAAATCATCAACAGAGACCTGCTTTGTACTGTACGGCTTTGTAAGAATGAATACTTTGTATTAGTTCTTCCATATTACCGTGGTTAACTCAAAACTGTATATGTATATATATGTATATGTATATATATGTATATATATATATATATATATATGCAATTGGATT